CGTTTGCTGGACGCCTCGTGCCATAGGCACTGCGGATTTACAACACTGCAGCATAAACATAAGCAACACTGCTGTGCTGTGTGCGTTGTGTGTCACTGTCTTGTTCACTGTGCATGTACAAACAGACAAACAAGCACTGCTCCCAAGGAGCACTGGCAAGCAAAGCACTGCTTGTGCTGAGTGTCACTGTGCAGTTGTGCATGTACTGTTGTGCAGAAAGAAGAGACTGAGAGGAGAGAACCACGTTCACTGTTTTCGTCGATTCGAAACGATTTTTCACTGTTTTCTTCGAAGTTGGAAAACTGTCTTTTACATGTGTCATGTGTAGAAAGAAAACTGTACATAGAAGTTTGGGTTGCACTGCTTTGCATGCTGTGTTTTTGAGCGACTCAAAAGTCACTGCCTAACTGCCCTCTGCTTCCTCACTGTTCTGTAGACTGCCGCCATGTCGAATGCCATCGCAAATGTGGCAAGACTGGCCACTGATGAGCCAATGCTCCAGATCACTGAGCTCGAGCAAAGAGCTGTGACGACTCACAATGGCAGACTGGCCACTGAGTTGAATGGAGCCACACAGCGCATGTCACTGGCAAGTCAGGTGCCTGAAGTGACAATGGCGAACTGGCCCTTCAATGTCAGTGAGAGGCCACTGGATCATATCCAGGTTGAACGGCCGCCGGTACTGTTCCATGGAGGAACTGTCAGGTGGTACTGGGTGTCAAATGCTGAGTATCCAACTGTCGAAGGCTACCCCAACCACTGGCAAAGCTTCGCTGATCTGCGACTGCTGCTCGCAAAGGAACTGGCCAAACTGCGCGATCTGGTGCAGAGAGCGGCAGATGAGAAGGAGCTACTGGAGTGCACTGTGCAGGAAGTGCTCACATCATGTGGAATGCACTGCTTCTTCGCTGCGCAGACTGATGGGACTGAGAGGGTCAGACTGCCTCCAGCTGTCCTCAACCTCCTGTATGACTGCACTGATCTGCTGATGGATGCTGTTCCAGAAACTGTGGATCTCTTTCCATTTGTCAACTGGAGCAGCGAGTATACGAGGGAGGAAGCTGCACTGTTTGGCAGACTGACAAGTGAGAATGGTCACCCAACGAGTGTCTTGGAGACACTGGTGGCCAAGCACTGCTGGATCTGCCTACGCACTGAAGATGCGGAGACATTGCTCACGACTGGGCAATTCTCACTGCATGGGATTTACGCTGGACAGTTCAATCTGTCGATGAGTGCTCGAGCCGCACTGTGGCGCCGTGGACTGTGGCAGACACAGACCGAGGAGTCCACTGACACTGCTGAGCAGACGTGGACACTGGTGGCGTTTCGGTTCACCACTGTGCATTTCATCGATCTGGTCACTGAAGGCGCACTGCGGTTTTTCAATCGCAGGTACAGTGATTACATCGTGACCACTGACCCCGGGCTCACTGAGGTGCCGTTCACACTGAATGCGCAAGAGCGAGTGTCCGTTCGTCGTTGGACACTGGTCGACTGGGAGCCGAAGGATCTCTTTGCTCGGTCGACTGCCGCTGACTGGCATCGCAACTGTCGCCACATCGTCATCGGGGCGACTGTTTGGACTGAGGCAATTGCCATCCAGCTGGGAGAGTTCATCACTGATGAGGACCAGCCCACTGGCACATGGAGGCCAGGATTCACTGGTGGTGACAAGGCACAGGCCACTGCTCTGACCACTGTGGTCACTGGCCTGAGGCGAGCCATTGGGACTGACCACCAAGTCTCAATCACTGTCTCGCCAGCCGAGTGAGAGACTGCAGTGAACTGCAGATAGTCGATGGGGGTATCCACTCATGCCATGTCACTGACATTCGACTGGCCTCTGAGCTGGGGACCCTTTCCGACTGAAGATGGAGAGTGACTGCAGAGTCACTGGAGCCCTGAGCCCTTGAAACTGGCTTGGTCGTTGAGTAAGCTGCAACTGCCGACTGTTCACTGGTCTTGGTGACTGTTTTGCAAGCTGCAAAGCTGAAGTGAGACCTAGCAGCACTGTACAGGCCAGCTGCTGATACTGTTCGCAATTTGCAAAAGCACTGGATGAGCCTGATTCGTTACTGCTGCTTTCGTTGAGTGTACTGCGATATGTGATGGTTTTGATTTGATAGTATACTGCTGCCGAGTTTCTCGCAACGGCCGAGACGACTGATGTGAGTCGAACACTGAAGTGTTGACTCAAGGGACTGTGTTAGAATACACTGTTCCCTCTAGAGCCCTGGCAGTATTCACTGCCTGATCTGACCAAAGCTGTCGTCACTGCTTTGGCTCAAGTGCTGAAACAAGTGTGACTGATGAATTGCTCACTGCTGTGAATGTTGTGATACCTGAAAGTGTATCCCAAACTGCTCCATTGAACTTTTCAAGGCGGGTCCCAGACAGTTCCCAGAAGGGAGGACTTTTTTCGGTTCGGGAACCCCAAGCCCCAGCGGGGGGGGGCACCCCAGACCCCCCCAAAAACACCAAAACACGCCGGTGCTTGGTCAGCCCTAGGTCTGAGGCGTAGCCAGTCAGTGACGCTCGGTCGGGGACCTCGGTCGAAGCCTCGAGCGCCCATGCACATGGACAGCGGCGCTCTCGGCAGTTTAGGGTTTAGGGTTTAGGGTTTAGGGTTTAGGATTTAGGGTTTAGGGTTTAGGGTTTAGGGTTCAGGGTTCAGGGTTCAGGGTTTAAGGTTCAGGGTTCAGGGTTTAGGGCTTAGGGTTTAGGATGTAGGGTCTAGGGTTTAGCCTAAAGTGTAGGGTTTAGGGGTGGGGGGGGGTGGGGAGGGTCTGTGGAGGGGATGTTCAGGGCGCTTCTTCTGCAGGCCTGACCTGCCCTTTAGGTTTCCTTGGTGTTGCCTTGGTGTCGATGAGGTCGGCTGAAAGTTGCCGCTTCTTCAGAGGTCTTTTGTGACCGGTACTTTGCAACTCCTTAGTTGCCTTTTGCGAAAGGTTCTTTTGTAACCAAAAGCCAAGTCCAAGACTAAGGAAACCTCTAACTTGTCATGCTTGGGTCTTTGATCTTTGAGCCTCCCTCAGCGAGATGTTTAACACCAAAACACAAGAATGTGCGGAGACTTCCCCGAAAGTCGTTAACAAGAGGCCTGGGGGGGGGGGGGGGGGGGCCCCCCCCCCTTTTTTTTCCCCCCCCCCCCCCCAATCAGTTCCCATTTTTTGCCACGGGGCCTGTCGTGAAGATGCCGCGAGTGCAGCCAAACGCTGCCATTCCTGCTGCGCAGACTTTCATTCATCCCTCGCGCCCCTTTTGCCTGTTGAAGCGTGGAATTACGGATCCGCAGCCTCTCGCCTTGCAAAGAAGACAAAAACTCAATGCCTGGTCCATTTTGTGCAACCAAGGGGCATATTCCCAAAAAATCATGGCCTCTGGAGAGGCTCGAGCCCCAAAACGCGGCGCGATATAGCAATGTAAAGAGCAGGGTCACCACACTCCTTCAGATCGTGCTTGTCAAGGGATGCCCTGAAACCTGCCGCAGACTAACCACGATAAGCATCTGCAGGAATTTGGGGGAGGCACCTTATATCCCCTTGTGTATCTTGTTCAGGGATGAGGCGGAGTACCTCATCCCCAAGTTTCCCTACTAAGAGCCAGTAAGCACCTAAGCCTTAAGCCCCACAAAAGACCCAACAAACCATGGGTTGTGGGCCACACAGTGACAAGGATTAAGCTACTTTCCCATGGTTTAAGGTGCCAGTGCAGAGAGCTGAGGAGTGTGAGTGCTCCCCTTGGGCTACAAGAAATTGGTTTCAGGTACAGGGGCGGGCATGGAAGGGTTTTGGGAGTTTAGGGCGCGGTCTTCAACAAATCAGCCAAAGCTCCGTTTAAATCATCGCACTGCCTCTTCCTTGCGGTGGCTAGGCCAGCCAAGGCAACTATGAAGAAAGTAATGCACATCTGCTGGCATGGAAAGCCCGTGCGCGGACTGAGGGTTGGCTTGTCTCCAGTATTTGTAGGGGAGTGGAAACTTATAAGGCATTCCGGCCTCTGGAGGCGTGGATTCTCCGAAGCTGAGTAGGCTCAAACCCAATCTCCTGTATTGAATAGGCGGCACTTGAATCTGCGAGGTTTAACGTTGCGAAGCGTTCTGGGTTGTGATGTCGGGTCGACGCAGGGATCCCACATGCCGAGATCATGCGCTGATGCGCCGATTCTACGATTCCGTGTGGATGCGAATGCGCATCCGACCGTGGCGGTAGCTTCTCCGAGCATGATCATCCCGTAACCTACTGTCAAGATGGGTCGAGTAGGGCCGACAACTTCTGTGTTCCCTACAACCTCAGGCCCTGAGAAGCAGCCAAAATCAAGCTCTGGTTCTGTGCCCTTCAAGTAGAGGCTACCCTGGACAAGCAGTGTGTCTGTACAGCTTTAGCGTGAAAGGCGCCCTCGAATGCCCTCCGTTTGGGGTGTAGGATGTAGATTGAAGATGGCCACAGGCCTCAGGCAACCCCACCCAAGGCAGCAAGCACAGTTGAACCACACAGCCGGACTGCCGGACAACGCCCCGGGCTTCGCCAGGAACGATCTGCGAGCTCTGCGCAGACCCAACTTCCCTTTGGGAAGTTGGGGAGTTCAGAGAGTAGGGCCCTGGAGTCCATGAATGTCCCTGACCCCACTCCGGTTCGTTCGCCGAGTCGGCCCAAGGCCGCGTTTTGGTCTACAGACCTTGTGCTTTAAGGGATGTTCCCCCCCTACGAAAAAGTCCCTCAGAGGGATGAGAGCAACCCCCCCTATTGGTAAGCCTCATTCAGGCCTGTTCGTATTGAAGGGGGAACATCCACCGACCTGTGCTTCTCAAGCCGCGGAGTCGGGCCATCCAGAATCCCTTCAGAGCTGCACACACTCTGCACACTTGCCGAAGGTTCAAAGCTAGTTTTCAGTTGATTTTGAGCGGTGCCCTCCCAGCGAGACAAGCGCCTTTCAAGGAAAAGCTGAAACCTGAGATGCTACACTCCCCGATGCCTCAGACCAGGCACCAAGCTTGTTCAGAATTCGTCGGAGATGACCATGTCCTCATTCGAAGCGACTCCGGTCTCTTGGAGATCGGCTTGTGTGAGGGTCTCAGGTCTTCCGCTTTAGGGGGGCCGGCTTGGACAGTCAGCGGCATAGCTCCTGAAAATTCGGTAGCGCGTACTTTCGAGCTTCCACCCTCGCCATCCCGACTCGCAGCCTTCGGGCCTCTTGGTGCAAACCCCTCAAGATTCCAAGATTCTGTGGGACCATCCTGACTATCCCGAGATAGATCCTGAGGGCCCCAAAGCCAGCCATACGCTTCTGGCTGCTATGCCATGCGATGAGTTACGAAGCTGCGGAACCCTGGGCTTAGTTGAGCCCTGGCCCGAAAGCAGGGAGCTCAAGAGCAGCAAGAACAAAAAAGAAAAGAAGCCCAAACCCCAAAACGGCGGAGGCGCTCGCGGGCTTTCGTCCCAGAGTGTCATCGGCCGGGTCCGGCCAATCACCGCATCCTCCAGGCGCCGCCTGGGAGATTTCAATGACACCAAGACCCTGCACCACAAGAAGGCGAGGGCTTCTGGTTCTGCGGTTTGGGGGGCGGGGGTTTTTTGGGGCGTGCGAAACCTGGGTCGAGGAGGCCGCGCATTCGGGCAGGATGACACGGTAATTATCCCGGAGCTGAACCCCAACCGGCTTCTCTTCGCTGACGCGGTGCTGCTGAGCAGTCAGCATCTCCAGCAAGTCCACCTTGCGATCCTCTGCCACAAGCTGACCTGGGACCAGAAATGCGCATTGGTGGAGGAACTTGGAAGTCGTGTAGGAGGAACAGCAACCTCCTAGTCCCGATTTTCCTTGCTGCTCCCTGCCTGAGAGGATCTGGTAGCTCTCGGCGGTGAGTAGGACGGTCCTGGCTCTCGACGTGATGTTCATGTAAGGGTTCGGAGAGGGCAGCAGAATCTGGGAAGCAGCGACACAAGTGAGACAAGCACAGCGGGGACATGGCGAAGGGGGGGGGGGTGGGCTTTATGGGGGCTTGGCCAAGCGGAGCGAGAAACTTGAGATTCTATAGGGCCTTGGGGCGAAAGCAGGGTGTGCGAACATTCTTGACTTGTGCCGAGCCAGCAGAACGGGCTTGACTCTACTTAAGATGGAGGGGGCCGCATGATCCTAGCCAAGTCTCAAGATGAAGATGTTATGAACTCATCGCTTTCGACTTCTTTGAAAACAGGGTCAATGAGGGACTCGGAGGTCGTTTGGCTATACTGATATACTCCAGTATGAGCAGATGTAGCCGGCTTCTCTCTCCTCTCTCTCTCTCTCTCTCTCCCCCTCTCTCTCTCTGGCTTTCGAGGCCCAGTGTCACACCACTCCCGTGCTTCACGATGCGCGAGAAGTCCATGCACTGTCCTTGGCCGTTGCAGAGCTTGCGGAGCCCAGAATTCGAGGCCCAATCCCTCCCCACCCCAAACCCAGACCACACCTCCACACCTCCACACCTCCACACCTCCACACCTTGGGGGCAACCTTCAGGCGTGGCACGGAGGAGCTTCAAGTCCTCGATGTCCTCAGGGGGCAGGGGCCGAAGCTTCAGAAAACTTTGGGGCTGGTGAAGTTTTCGCGATTCTCTTGAGAGGGTCGACTGCCGCGCCAGCAAGCAAGCTGCCGATCTGCGTGCATCCATGATAAGAGCCCTTCATGAGACGATGCGCCACCAGAGACACGAGACACAAAAGCCAAAGCGGCGGCACACAGAGTCCGAGCCACATTTCCAAAAGGGCCCCGAAACCATCGAGCGGTGGGACGATGAGTCCGAAAACGGGCTCTAGGAATTCTTTGGAGGTCCGGGCATCAAAAGATATCAAAAGGCGGGCTTCCGCAAGCACGTAGCACGGAAGCGCATTGCGGCACATCGAGAGGACGACACCCGAAGGTCCAAAGGACAACAGTCACGACGATCGCGACCCCCAACCGCGAACAGCTAAACGCTGTACCCCCAGATGAAGCAGAATTCATTTGGGAAGATCTGTAAGAACTCTAGGTAGATTTCCTGTGTGGGCTTCGGGAACCTCACCTCAAGTTCGGTCCTTGGCCATGGTGGCCAGCGAGGAAATGTCCACCGTCACAGTGGAGCCGTCCTGTGAAATTTGATTCAGTTTGCCCAAAGCTACAAGCCCTCAGGAACTTGGTCTATCCCGGGTTTGACACGGCAAGGAGCTGCGGCTCAGGGCTTGCGGAGTCGGGTGCCGGGCCTGATTCAGGCAGCGGTGGTTCATTAGCTTCCCATAGAGCTCCACGAGGAACTGAAGTCCGCGACCTGAGTCTGAGGAGGTCAACTCCGAAGCCCGACGCGAGCAGCGAGCACCCTAACACTCTGCAGTGCGCTGCTAAGCCGCTACCACCTGCGTTGCTGCCGGAGTATGGCTGCCACCCGAGCCGCGTAAACCAAGGCCCGGATTCGCCATGGCGTTGGTCAGGAAAAGCGGCAGGTATTGGAAGATGAAGGCCTATAAGACAGGCTCCACATCTTGAAGCGAAGCAGAGAGAATAGCCCCCGAAGTGGGCGGCCTTTATTCGAGACTTTGGGGCTTGGTTGGGAGGGCTCCGGAACAAAGGCTTGAGGGTCGAGAATTCAAGCCCCCAAGCCCCCATTCCGCTTCGGTAGTCCTACATCCTATCTGGGGTGGCGATCTTCACAGCCGGCGCTTCCTCCGCTCGACGTACTCCATTCCATGGATTTGCAAAGTCAATCATGCACATAGGGCCCCCAGCTGGCAACATTCGGGTTGGGCGGCGTCACGCTGCATTTGTTCATGCATTTCATTGGGGGAGGTGTCGTGCCTTGTCGTAGTGGCCATCAGAGAGGAAGATCTCGGAAAGTGCGTCCTGAGCAATGCGGTGTGCCTTTTGTGGCTCGTGGCCCTGTCGGACCAAGGGTTTCAGAGAGTACCGAGAGTACTGAGTACTGAATGCTTTTTGTGGTATCTCCCCACAATCCTGAACACGCAAATCAATCCCTTACATGTCAACGAATCGCAATCTCCAGAAATTGTGGGCCACATCTCCGCAAAACCCCAATCTGAGACTCAGGGTGTTCACTTGGTACTGCCCCCAAAACACTTACATCGATCATCCCCACCCTACGGCTGATGAAAGCCAAGTCTCCCTCTCTGCGTCCGTCAGCTGATCCCAGTCACCTGTAGACACGGGCACTGAGAACCCCTTCTGATCGTCCTTCTGTTCGTTTTCAGAACCATGGCGAACCTGATAACGGCTAAAGGCGGCTAAGGCCCTCGACAGCAGGGAGCTGTAGAATGGGTCCATGGTCTCAGCCCTTTTTGCAGGAAAGGGACCGACCAATTTAGGTTCAGGGCATTGGGGCTCTGCAAAATTCAGGGCTTTCATCGTTGGTCTTGCCAGCCTTCTTCTCTGCACTTAGGAGTGCCCCCTTGCCAGCCTCTCTCTCTCTCTCTCTTTCTCTCTGCCTCTGTCTCTGTGAGGTGTTAAGACTTCAGCAGGGTGGATCAAGGTATGCGGTTTCATATTTATGTTCAAGCTGCGTGCTTTCCGGAGCTCAGCGTGCGAAAGCTTTTGCTTCGGCGAAGGGGGGGGGGCGGGGGGGCTGCTTCTCTTGCACAATGGAAGCGCCACCCTGTGTGCGGAGCGACGCTCACTCGCAGACTCGGCTATGCCTAGGCCTATGCCTATGCGGATTCTGCGGCTTTCCGTGAAATGGCAATATGGCTCTCGAGATGGTGCATGCTGCACGCGGTTCCGGTACCATGTGCCCCAAACCCCAGTGTGGAAAAACCTGTTTCCGAAGTCGATTTGACAAAAAGGCGGGCCCTTGCACCCAAAACGTTCAAAACAACGTGGCCAAGAGGTGCGTGGCCAACAGGCCGCCTAGCTTGGAGCTTTCGGGCCCCAAAAGGGTCAAGCTCCAAGGGGCCTGAAAGCTCCTCTTAAAGCCTCTGAAAGAACAGAACTTCGAGACTACGCTCTACTGAGAGCCTTCTTTTTGCCACACGTCTCCCCCAAAGGGCCTGCAAGAGCTCGGAGTGCCGAGGGCTCCACCGTACCTTCCAAGGCATGCTCGAAGGCTCCAGAAATCCGACGAGGCTCCAAAAACCAAGCTCTGAAGCTGGGGGTTCTGGGTGGTTGGCAAGCTGGGAGCCGCTTTTAGCTTTCGAGAACCTTTGGGGGAGGAGGAGGGGAAGGACGGAGACGGAGACGGGAAGGCAAGGAAGGAATACTGAAAGGAGTGGACAGACAAGGAATAGCAATCACGCTCTTGCGCTCGGAACCACACATGTGGCAGCACGGTTGACAATACCGCAACTAGGACCCGCTACGCAACCAAAACCTGATATGTACAAAAAGGCTCGTGCATGGAACAGCCTTGCGTTTGACAGAGATACTCCAAGCATGAAACCCAAGATCTCCTTTTCATGTGGCATCTGTAACAAACACTGTGAGGTCAGCCCATGCGCCTTGTGGACTCTCTCTTCTTGGGGGTAGCACAACCGAACGCCCCTCGTACTGATAGGCCCAGGGGCGTGTCAGGCACGCGAGTCTGGCAAGGACCAAATGGCTCGGGGTCTGCACATGCAGCTCCTGGAGGGGCGGGGAGGGGGGGGAGGAATTCTAGGTGGGCCCTTGATTGCGGGTCCTCCTCTGCATAGTGTGTAACTTCCGTAGAAAATATATATGTGTATGTATACATATACATACAGGGCTCCTATCTTCTCCCTACACAAGGCCATGGGCCCATGCCTGCAGCCCTAGACAGATAGGAACTCGAGAGGCGTAGGCAAAGAGAGAGATCCCCCCAAAAGCACCGAAGGGGGGCTCCAGGGCTTCTGCGCGGCTGGCGATGTAGCGCCAGTAGACTTTGTTCGGATCCACGCCCTTAGCACGACTTGGCATGGGGGAATGGTTCGGGTGGCCTTTGGTGGGGGTCTTTGCAGTAGGGAATTGCCCCACAGGGTGCCCTTTCATGGGGAGCTGATTTCCTACAAGCCCTGAGCTGCTGTGAGAACGAGTAAGGCTCTGAGTAAGGCCCACGGCTAGAGTTCAACCTCGGGATCCTTGAAGCTTGCAGGGCCAGGTGCCAAGATGTTCTGCAGGCACGCGAGGCCTGCCGAGATTCAGGGCCCTAAGCGTGGCATGGCCACTGGAACCGAGAATCTCGGGCTTTCTGCGTTCGGGTTGGGACTTCTGAGTTTCAGCATGCGTATTGCATGAGAGCTTCGGATTTTCAGAGGTTTTGGCCAGCTCCATGTGACATGTACTTCACGGATGTACAACACACACAAAGCACAGAGGCAACTGCTTCCGAGGTGTGCAGAGTGACACTCTTCGCCCTGCCTTTGAGCACGCTGCGTCCATTGAGCTCGCTGAGAAACATCGAGCCGCGAAGTGTGATGTTGCCTGTGACCTCGCCCGTGCAGAGCAGCTCTAATCCGCATTCAGCACTGCACCAAAGAACAAATCTTACAGTATGCCGAGCGCGAAAATCCCCAAAACAATTTCAGTGATTCGATCTGCTCGCTCCATTCGGCGAGGGCTTCAACAAAAGCAAACAACTGACAAACTCCTTGACTCCAACACCACCCAGATTCAAACCGTGAACGCCCAAACCCAGCAATGCACCGATGCCCGAAATCCTGAGGCCTGTGGAGGGTTTGACCGTGACATTGCAACCTTCACTCAACTCAACCGGCTCTCGAAAAATCCCGAGCTCTGCTCCTGAGCTGTTTGTGGAGATCCGGGGCTGTATAGTAAATGTCGCAGCGGATCCCGGGAGTTGGAGATTGCTGGGCCCCCGCACTCCACAAAGAAGGCAAACCTGCACGAAAAGGAAGGTCCTCGGTAGCTCGGCTGATGGAAGCTTCTACTAAGGCCTGGCGATTAGCTGCGCTCCTGCTGCGAACCCACTGTCCAAGCCAGCTTCCCTCAAATTCCTGTGTGTAGGGTTCAGAACTGAAAGAGTAGGTGCCCCTCATCAGGCGTATGTCATACTGGTACCTTGCTGGACCTGTCAGGTGTCCCAGGCACGCATCTGAATCTTCCCTGAACCTTCCTTCCACTAAAAAGTGCGCAGAGTGCATGAGAACGATTTCGCGCACTTTGCCAGCGCAACGGGGCAGTCACTTCCAGGCAGCATGCTCGAATGTGAGTATGTTTACGAAGAGCTGACGTGACACCATCGCAGCAAGACCAGCAAAGTTGGTGCATGCCTTGCTGATAGATGTCACACAGCATATGCAGCCTTTGATAACCAACAACAAACCATCCACGCTGAACCTGGGAAACCGGGCATTATATGGCACAATCAACTCTGCTCAACACCCAAGAGTTGTCAACGTCCCATCGTAGGCACTGCCCTGGTTCGTGATCCCACCCAAACCCATCCAGCCCACATCCCAAACCTTCTCCACAGAAGCACACAGTGACCTCACCGCACACTTCACACCGCAGGATTTCTGGATGTCCCAACAAGCTCTGCATCAAACAAGACACAACTACGCCCCAGCCTGAATACCCCAAGAATGCTTCTGGGGCTTCCGGGAATCACAGATGTTGTAGAACTGATACGCGCATCATCCCCTGACAGTGTAGAAGGCCGGGTGTCTGGAAGACCTCCTCGCCCTCATCCTCAAGCGACCCCTGCCCACGAGCGGCTGCTGGTGAGTTCAGGCCGGAAGCTTTCGGCATCGTTCGACCCTTGTGGCCTTGACCTCCCTTCATATCCCACCTACATCAGTCGAGGCAGGCCAAGTTTTGTCGGGTCGCGAGCCGCCGGCTTTTTGCAAAAGCGTTTTGCAAAAGCTTTCTGCAGAAGCCCTCTCATGAACTTACGAAAATTGCCTCGAAAGGCTTCCGGCTTTCTGAGACGGGGCAGGGGAATGCTTCGATGTCAAAGGCCTGCTGGGCGCCTTTTGTCTTCCGAACTCATACACCCTCATACACCCTCTTGCATTCCCAACTCAAATCTATACCCGGACAGTGCGCCGACGCAAACGAGGCATAGCACTGACATTGAGCAATTGAACGGCCCTGAACTGCATGAAAGAACGCCGCGCCTGGAGCTGCCAAATGGAGTGAGGGTTGTTCTCCTCGGCGGGTGAGGTCTAGTGTGGCTCGGAATTGCTTTGGGCCTTCAGAACGCAAGCATTCAGCTCTTTTTGGGGGCACCTTCCCACGCCTCGGAGTCTCCAACAACCTTAACCCAGTCCCTCCACTTCGGGCTTCCAGTGTTGAGTTTTCTGTTGCGGTCCTTTTTGTCGGTTTCTGGGCTTCTGGAGCGGTTGGGTGCCAAGTTCAGGGGGGCTCGACAGGGCTTCCGTGCAGGTCCAGGCGCGCCCTGCAGCAGCTGCGCGAAGTTAAACGCGCCGAGCATCCGCACCTGCACAGCACAGGTAATGTAGGGGTCGGAAGAATTACTGACCCTATATTCGGTCACTCTTGTCAACGCCAGAGCTGGATCCGGAATGCGCGCCGTCGCCGAGAGGATGTCGTACGCATCCCCGCGGAGGCTTGCGATCGAGGGCAGGTAGGCGTCCTTGGAAACCGCCGACAATCTCTGCTTGAGGTTTCGCAGGTAACTTCCGATTCGACAAGAACGGCCCTGCAACAGCCCCATCCAAGCCCTACTTCGAGTCAGCGCTTGAGATATACCGTGGGGTGAGCTGATGCTGCGCAGCGGCCCCGGCGCATCATGTATCAGATCGTGGGGACTTTGGGCAGTTCAGTGCAAGTCGGGCAGAGCCGGGGTCTGTTTACGAGGTCGGACAGCGGGCCTCTGGGGCTTTGGGGCGCTTCCGCTCGAAGACTCGAGAAGCCCGCAACGAGCACTGGGGAATTGGTGGTAACAGTCGCTTAGCAATTACATCCATCAATGGTACAAGAAAGATGCAACATTACTTATGATATGAAAATGAAATAATGAAGAACAAAACTTTTTGTTTTACCATATGCAGTACGGCTAATATGCTTATACATCTGTGTACTATATATATGTATATATATATATATATATATTATGTATACATATATATATATATGTATAAATATATATATATATATGTTTATACATATCATATAGATATGCGTTCACATAGATATGAACAGGCCGAACCATTTCAAGCCCTATATGGCCAAGTGACAAGGTTGGTGGTGGCGTAGGCCAGGACCTGTCGCACATGAGGCCCTCGTCCCTGTTCTTCTCTGAAGTTGGGGACTTCTCGGAGATTCCTCATCTTTAAGAAACCCTGAAGTTGGCGTGTTTGTGCGGCCGCTCTGCGTGGGTATTCAGAAAGGACTGGCCTTGCCCTTACAAGCAGTTGCATAGAATCCAGCTGAGGTGCCGCCCCGTAATGCAAAGCTGGCAACATTGAGACGTCCTACGTGAATCCGAGCGAATGAGCGAACCTCGATCTTCCAGTATGCAAAGCCACAGCTGATAGCAAAGCAGCATCATATGACGTGACCAATCGCGTTTTGGGGACAGAATTACAAACCGATCGAGAAGCCGCTGAGGATTCGGAATGCAGATATCTCCTAGGTGGAGCGAACGCTCTGTGCGGAGCGCTGCTGCAAGTGAAGGAGGCACTTGTGCCTCATCTTGCGAAGTCAAATACATGCCCAGCAAGGGTCGCACATCGGCGCCGGGAACTGGTCAGGGCTTATCATACGTATAGTACGGCTTAACATCCGAGCATCAAACTTAAGACCAAATTGGGCCGTCATGCAATCCTTGCTTGTGTGGTCGAAGTCCCGAGCCGCACACTCTCTGCAGCTTCCGTGATCCAGACGGTGGTTCTAGGTCTCTCAAGCAAAGTAATTCTGGGATTTTCTGGGCCTGGTGGTCGGTTTCCAAACACTTCGGGGCACCACCACCTGGTCTGTCTGAGCTACACACCAGCATCTGAAGCATCTTGCTGAGCAAGGTGTTCCTTGCTCTGCAACCGCTTTGATTCTGAAGCCATCCTACGCTCACAATACTCAAGAGTTCACCAGACAATTGCAAGACTGATGAGGGACAAGCTACCCCGACGTTTCTCCACATGAGACCGAAACCATCCAAAGTGTCTGCTTCGCAAGACCCAAACATGCAGTTGTTGCAACCTTCCATCCCACTTTGAACATCGAGCGAGGAATCTAGCTATTGCCCCCGCCCCCTCAACTTGGAAGGTGCTAAGTTGCCGAAAACTCTCGCCCAAGGCTTCTAGTGCATGCCTTGACCAGGCGCGGATGTCATCCGGCTTTTCCTTGACGATTAGGCGGAGCACGTCCATAAGCCTCATCGTCTCAGCCTGCGCACACGAGCATGGAGGCAGGCCTGGAGGAGTCCCCGCAAAAAGCGTGCCCCACTCTGCCGCACTCATGGTGGACGGCTTGAGGCTGGCCATTGCAGGCCCCCACGAAGCTCAGGCTGAACAGTCCGGTGGCCAGCTTGCCATGCTAAGCATCGACGCTGGGAAGAACAACACGGCTCGCATCTGCTGGATGGGAGCTTGGAACTTCTGACCCACCATGCACAGCGAGTGAAGTAAGCAATGGTACCACTGCTCAACACAGGCTCCCGCCAGTCGAGCACCTCAAAAACCGTCCTCTCATGCAGCGCGAGTGCCTCCCTGGACACCTCAGAAGTCACACAGTTCTGCGTGGACTCCAACCACCCCGCAAAGTCCTTGATCAAGATCATCCAACGGGAGCTCTGGCAAAGGGCCTGGCCGATTCGCACTTCAAGGCAAGGCTCGCTGAGCACGCACAAGTCAGCGGCAGCTGTTCCAAGCGAAAGCTGTTGCTTGCTGCGAAGCGATCAAGAAGCAGGGCCGCGTGAAACCAAATGCCTTGATCCGAAGTATATGCCCGAAGCAGGTGGGAAATGCAGCGCAGAGCATAGGGACGAATTGATCCGTCAAGCGACATGGCCCGTATCGGAAGATGCGTCATCTCGTCATCCTCTTTGAGGTAATCGATCGTGTCGGAGGAGGCGCCCCGGCGATGAAGCTCCTCCTCTATGTTCTCGGAGATGATCATTGGCTCGCACTGGGTGTTTTGACCCTGGACGGGCTCAGCCTCCATGATGGGCAAGTAGACGTGGCTCGGCACCCCGGCAAATGCGAAGTGGAGCCCCGAGGTATCCTAGATGCCCTCACCTTCTTAGCCTTGAGCCGAAAAGAAGCCCTGGCCTTAGGGTTCCGGGTCTGGGATCTGAATCCAGTCTCCGTCTCGTTTGTGACCACCTGCCAAGCTGACTGTCTCTTGGGGTGCTCAGACCCCACTGCTGCCCTAGTATGGCCCCTAAACCCTAAACCCTAAACCCTAAACCCTAAACCCTAAACCCTAAACCCTAAACCCTAAACCCTAAACCCTAAACCCTAGACCCTAGACCCTAGACCCTAAACCCTAAACCCTAAACCCTAAACCCTAAACCCTAAACCCTAAACCCTAAACCCTAAACCCTAAACCCTAAACCTACCGAGAGTCGGCCAGGCCACCAAGCCGATGCCCGGGTGCAAAGAAAGAGCTTTGCAAGCAGCTCTCGGCCCCCGAGGCAGAGGCTTAGGAAATAGGGTTTTGGGTTTAGGGTTTAGCTTTTAGGGTTTGGGGGTTCAGGTCTCGGGTCGAGATTTAGGGTGTTCAGGGTTAGTGAACGATGCGCTACCAAGTAGAGCATGTGTAGGCACTTGGCCAGCGCCCCTAGAATGCCCGCTGCCTTCTCCGGCGTCCCGCGCTCCGACGGGGGGCAAAGCTTTGCGAAGTCCGCGTTCTTGCTCAGGCCGCCTGGGGAGGTCTGAGCTGTCGGGAGCCTAGGTCTGAAGTTCTATCCAGCACTCATCAGATCTCCACAGCGTTCCTCACCCAATCCAAACGAGAAGTGCCGTCCTGGTCCTTCACAGGGGTCCCCCGGCCCTGGGCTCTCCAGGAGCCTGCGAGCCTCATCCAAAATCCGGGAACTCCCCCAGTGGAACCCAATGAAACCCGACAACAGCCATGCAGACGGCTGGCGCAGCGCGAGCAGGATCAGAACAGCCTCGGCTGCTTCCAGCAAACACCAAGGGCGAAGCGATTCTTAGTCCCTTGGCCCAAGCTCTTGCTGAGGCACACAAACTCAGGGTATGTGCCGGAAGGAGGCGGGGTGGAGGTTGAGGGGGCGAGGGAGTGTGAGACAGAGAGAGAAGGATAAAGAGGGAGAGAGGGGGAGAGGGGGAGAGGGAGAGAAGGGAGAGAAGGGAGAGAAGGGAGAGAAGGGAGAGAAGGGAGAGAAGGGAGAGAAGGGAGAGAAGGGAGAGAAGGGAGAGAAGGGAGAGAAGGGAGAGAAGGGGAGACGACAACAACAAGCCCAAGACGTTGTTGACATCCCCAAGATGACTGGAATTACCTGAAATATCATGAAAGAATTCGTTCGCAGCAGAGCAGCGTGAAGCTGTGCTTCCTTCATCCGGTTGCTACCCAGGAACTCCTCGGGGAGGGGGAGGGAGATGGAGGGAGGGGTGGGGGGTGGGGGGAGGGGGGGTGGGGGGGCCGAGCAAGAAGGGATTCGGGAGGTCTCCTGGCAGAAGCAGCAAGAAAGAGACAGAGAGAGAGAGAGAGAGGCGTTTTTGTTTGGGACTTTTCAGTTCAACAGCTTCCTACCTGGAATTTGTCCACACAAGCATAAAACAGGCTTTCTGGTTGGCGGAGTTGTAGGTGTGCTTTGGGGCAGCTCTGCACGACTCCTTGATGAACTGGAACGTCTTCGGCGACAGCCTGCGCTCTCGTGGCTGGTGCTCTCTGGGGTTGCTCCATCTATGTACGAGGTGGGCTGGAGAGACCACTCAAGCAGAAGCTTGGGATTCTGCACTAAGCTTTGCAAAAAACATTCCCACAGGTTCCCGCGCTCGTACCTCCTTCGCGAACTTGAAGGCCTGGGGCCCTGGCCTTTGCGTGATCTTCTGGCAGTCCACCATGCTGTTGTAGTCGTCCTAACATCTTCGACGCACCGAGGCCCGGAATGGACCCCCCCTCAAACTCCTGCAACACACACCTGTAGAATGGGTATTTTGTCTCTGCTTTTTGTTCTGCTGTTAAAGCCCCTTTGAAAAGGCCGGAGGGACCAGCAGCAGCCACACAGCGCTGAGCACAGAGAGGATGGCACGATTCACTTCTTCCTCGCACGTCAGAAGTGTTGGAAGGGCTTCAGGGTGCTTCGAGCGTTCTGCAGCCATCTTCCATCAAGCTCGGGTAGCAAAAAAACACCGAAACTTGAACCCTCGGATTCAAGTTCTGAAGCACACGTGAGCATGGCTTCTCAGGTCCTCGAACCCGATCGCCATGTAGATCCCATCCTCCCGGAGCTCAGGGACGTATTCCTTGATGACATCCATGCGGGCCTGCGCGGGTGTCGGGCCGGCCTTGTGGGATGTTCACTCAGAGTTTCTTCGGGTCCCAACCCAGCGAAGATGCGAACACCCCACACAGGCACACACTTCCCACTTTCATTCCGAGGTCCTCGTTGTTGGCAGCCTGCCGAAGATCGTCCAAGAATTCTGCGAAGTCAATCTCCTGCTCAAACTAAGTGTGCAAAGGTCTGCTTTCGGTCCCCCCCCCCCCCCCCCCCCCCCCCCCCCCCCCCCCCCCCCTTGTATCAGTGAGTGGAGTGATGAAGTTGCTCTAGCATTACTAGCTTCCTAAGCCCCAAGACCCGAGAGCGCAGGGCATGATGCAGGGGTTCCTTTTTTGATTCGAATGGGTATGGAAACCCTAACCCTAAACCCTAAACCCTAAACCCGAAACCCCAAACCCTAAACCCTAAACCCTAAACCCGAAACCCTAAACCCTAAGGGATTCTGAGAGGACAATCTTGGCAACTAATCGCCTCCGTGGACTTCAGGTTGTTCACACGGCCAGTGCCCGGGTCCAAGAGCTCCTGCGCCATGGGGGGTTTAGGGTTTAGGGTTTAGGGTTTAGGGTTTAGGGTTTAGGGGTTAGGGTTTAGGGTTTAGGGTTTAGGGTTTAGGGTTTAGGGTTTAGGGGTTAGGGTTTAGGGTTTAGGGTCTAGGGTCTAGGGTCTAGGGTTTAGCGCCTGTTCCGGTTACAGGCTCCTGTTAGAGTCGCGGCTTTTCCCGACTCCGCGAACTTTCTGAAGAGGGGGGTTCGGAGCTCAACAAGGGCCCTCTTGAGGGTTACACTGGACCCTGGTCCTGAACTTGACCCCGACACCCACCTTTGCAACATCTTGCAACAATATGCAACCACGCAGCGGCGAGCTGCGTGTGCGTGACGCAGTCGTCTGCCGTGGCCTCCGTCGGAAGAGGACTGCAGATCGAACTATTGCAACAGATCTGCGGCGTGATGTCCGACCGTTCAGGCTGCGCAGAGATGTGCCGCCCTCACGTCTCATGATTGTTACCGCAAGACTTGCCGGAAGCAGCACAAGCCCCAGAACTGGCAACCATTCTATTCTCACCGAAGAGGAAAACAACCCAAACCCCGGCTACTGTAAACCAACCCCCCCCTCCCACCACAACCGACCCCAACCCACCCACCCTGCGCATCGGCAATGCAGACTCGGCCTGCGCCAGAAGCTCCCAGCAATCCGTCTTGCTGGGCCTTAGCAGCTTTCGGTTCATTGAGGGGGTCTGGAGTTGAGGTCTTCCGATGGCTCAAGAAGCCGGAGCAGCAAACACACCAAACTTCCAACATTTTCCAAATGGCCTTGACACCGCAACACCCTTGCCAGAAAGGCGTTTCGGGTTTGGGGGGCGGCCGCCACATCTGGCCAAGCGTCTCCACGATGTTGAGAAGCCTCTTCGCATACCTTCCGAGGAATTGCTCTGAGTGTTCTCCTGTGGCTTTTTCTTGTGGGGGCGACTTTCGGTTTCTTGTCGAGGGGGCTTCGAGGGCCTGAATGCCTGAGTTGCGTTCTGAGTTGCTCGTGCACTGCAACCACGGCAGCAGGGGCCGAACGGATCGCCTGGCGAGGCAAAACCAAAGAGACGGCCCGTTGCAGAAAGTCTTCGCCCCCAGGCCCCAGGGCACTGAAAGCACCCCCAAAAAACCTCCCCGCGCGCGAGCACGCGCATGCTCGCGTCCGCGCCCTCGGCCGAAACAGCCGCTGCCTTCACGTAATCGCCGATTGGAACTGTGAGAACCTTGGAGTAGATCTTGGTCGTCAGGGTCACCGTGTGGTTCCTTGGGGCAGAGGCTTCAAATGCTTCAAATGCTTCGAGGGCTCTGTAGCTCCAGGGGTCAGTCGGGGCCTCTGAAATCTTCAGCCGACTGCGCGCCCCAAAAATACTGGGTACCCGCATGGCTTGTGCAGACTTTTGTACACAAGCGCATCCTTCACCTGATTTGGAACAACAAGTTCGAAGGCTTCAGCATCCTGAGCTGTTTTTTTTGTATCCGGAGTGGTCCGATTGCCTGTCTGATGGCCGCCAGGGTGCACACCGGTGTAGAGGCAGAGCTCCTGTCACAAGCAGGCCGCAAGGGGGGAAGGCTGCGGCAAATTTCATACAAGACCCCCTGAAATATAGTACAAGTATGGGGTCTTTTACACTAGTACTCAGTTGTCCAGTAATCTGGGGGAACTAAAGTAACTAAAGGTTAGCCGGTTGACCTTTGGGATTATAAGTGGATTCTACTACCCCAAAAAGGTGTTAAGGATGATAGGTGGATGGGTTTGAGCAACCTTAAAGCCGCGCCCTCGGCGTCCACACGCTGAATCGACTGACCGGCACCCACTGAGGCGTCCGCTGCAAGCCAGGAGTCTTCCTGGATCGTCATGCCTGGCGGCGGCTGGCTTCGATGGCCAGAAAGTCTCCGAAAAAAAAAAAAAAAAAAACAGGGGAGGGGCTGTAGGGAAGGCAAGAGCACAAACACTCCAAGAGGAGCTCGATGATTCCGAGGCTCGGGTTGCAAGGGGTCCAACCCTTGCTGCAACTCGGGCGCTGGAGCCCTTGATCGAACTGATTCCGCCGAAAAACCCCTTTTTCAGCGCGCCTTCGGTGGAGTGTCCGGTCCCGGACAGCCTGACGGATTCAGACTTGATGGCCTGGATGGTCGACTTCTCCTGCGGAAGATTCACGGATTCTTCTTGGGAGGAGGTGCGACGAGATAGAAGCTTCGCATCTCGGATGCTTTTATAGCCATAATACGAGTACCCCGCGGGTCCGAACAAGACAGAAACCGCCGGAGACCTCTGAAGGCCTCAGAGCCCCTCAGCTGGCATAGCAACTCATAGCAAATCAGAGCAACCTTCAAAGCGGTGCCCCTGAAGATTTCAGAAGGGGAAGGGGGGAGGGAGTGCCCGAAGCCGCACAGGGCGCTCCCTGGCGGTGCCCTTCGACTGGTTCAAGAAGAAGAGGCCGCTCTGTGTGATGTAGAGGCCTCGCGAAAAAGCAAAAAAATAGTCAAAAACCTGAGCGACGGCTGGGGGTTCGTCTGATGCTCATAGTTCGGGACTTGGGCGCCATGTTCTGCCTTGTGGAGGCTCAGTCGTCGCATTTATTTACCCCAGGTCGACGGTTATGATCACGCTACGCAGAACGGCTTGGCCCTTGCAAGAAGGACATGCAAATCCCCATGCAGACGCTGTCGACGCATCCACGCAGCGACTTGCCTCGAAGGTTCCCCCTCCCCCCCCCCCACCGCATCCACCTGCTGATGCCCAAAAGCAACGCGACGACGTAGCAGATCGCAGAGAGTGATCACTCTAGTCTATGCAGTAAGCGTACGCAAAGTCTGGCTGCGTGTATTCCTTTGCCTTGAGGGGCACACCCCCACTAACTCACACATCCAAATGGCTTCCCTGCCTTCCCCAGGTTTCCCATTCGTGAAGACATTCTCCCCCTGCACCTGCTCTGTGCTCACAACACTTCGGCAACCAAGCAAGAACTTTTCAGATGCTTCAAGTTGGGCTCAAGGGCTGCGCGGGTCCGGGCTTGAAGTGGCTTACCAGACGCACACACCCTATGCGAGAAGCAGAAAGACAGGCGAAACCCCCCCCTAAACCCCCCAAACCCGCCATGAGCTCCCCTAAGCCCGCCCTAATCCCGCCTAAACCCCTCCCCCTAAACCCCCCCTACATCCCCCCTACATCCCTGCCCCCCTGGTGCCGCGTTGACTTCCCGGAAGACGGCGCTGAGGCGGCCGGCAAGGCCCAGGCGCTCCTTGGGCCCGGGACCCAGAAGGCATCAAATTTTGAAGGTTTAGGGTTTAGAGTTTTGGGCTTAGGGCTTAGGGCTTAGGGCTTAGGGCTTAGGGCTTAGGGCTTAGGGCTTAGGGCTTAGGGCTTAGGGCTTAGGGCTTAGGGCTTAGGGCTTAGGGCTTAGGGCTTAGGGCTTAGGGTTATAACAAGGTTGTTGGTTGTTTACTCTTTGAACAACGCCTTTTGAGGGCCGGGCTTGGGACTTCGAAGCTGGCATGGTGGACTAAACCGAAGCCCACCCACCGGACCAGAAGCAAAGCCGAGGCTCGTCCATGAGCATGTGGAATAGGAGGTGTGCACCGAGCCTTTGCAAGCTGCGGGAAAAATGTGGTTCGGAGGGGCAGAAAAGAGGGGGGGGGAAATTTGGATTCCAGCTGACCCCCCTGTGAGCGCCTGGATTGAAGAATCGGGCCTCCTCAAGACTCGTCTTCGAATGCGGGGTGCTGAAAGAGCTGGTTTCTGGAAGGGGATTGCCGTCCCAGGTAAATCCGGAGGCCAACATCACACACATCCGGACATCCATCATCATCGAGACAGAGAGAGAGAGAGAGAGAGAGAGAGAGAGAGAGAGAGAGAGAGAGAGAGGTGAGAAGACCGAAGACCTCTTGGGCAGATGTCAGACATACCTGCACGGCCATATTTTTGCAAGCCATCGGCTGTGGATGCTAGTCGCACGCCACGGGCGTGTCGCTCTGTCATCTTGCAATCAGCTCAGAGATCTGCACGGCATGACGCAGCCCCTGCCAAACTACGGAGAACTCCACCTTTTTGAGCCTGATGCAGGGGCCTGAAGAATTAGAACAGGGTTTTGGGAGGTTGTTGTGTAAAATCATAAAGGGACCATATAAGGGAATACTATTAGCAACGATTCCCACCCCTAAAGTATCCTGCAAAACCCCAGTGGAGCCAACTCGGCAAGACGCTTCTCGCTCATCTTCACAACCCGGAGCTCGTCCAGGAGGCTGCTGGGCAAGAACCTCAGGTTCCAGGACAGAAAGGGGGGTTTCCAAATTTGGGGTACCTCATTGGGGTCCTGTTTTTAAGAGAATCTTTGCATTTGGGGGTCGATTACAGGCGTCCCTCCTTTTCGTAAACTCACAAATCAACAAAGAGTGGTTGGGCCTGTTTGCGCTGCTACATGCTTGTGAGCATCTTAGCCGGTGATTCGGCGGGGTGCGTCTTTGAGGTCTCTTGAAAAGACCAGTTCAGGGAGGACAAACCTTCCACGGGTGTATGGGAGAGCTGTTAGGTCGTGCACAGACTCAGCGCCATGTGAAAACATGCACACCATCACCTTCTGAAAGCTACTGTCCTCACCCAGACCTTTAGTCCGCTAGTGCTCCGGTACTGTGGATCTCAAGCCTCAACCTGCTTACACTTGGCGGCATGTCAGGACTGCACCTTGTGTGAAGCAGACTCCAGCTCTCACGAGACTCAAAGCCGAGACCTCGCTGCTTCCGCAGAAAGATCCCACTGTACAGCAGAGAGGCTTCAGGGCGATGGGCTCCTTGACGTTCAGGGGCGAGTCCTCCCAGGTTCACATGGTGGCACCCAGTGCTCCCCCCCCCTCTCCCCCCCTCTCCCCCCCCCCTCCCCCTCCCCCCCTCCCCTCAGATTCACGAGGCGCCTTGGAGTCCAGCACATCGTCCAGCGACGTGAGCATTCGCCTTCGTTCTACTGAGAGGTCTTCAGTCTTGGAGGAGGTTTTAGGCTCAGGGGTTTTAGGGTTCAGGGGTTTTAGGGTTCAGGGGGGTCAGGGGTTAGGGGGTTTGGAGATGTCTGGAGTGACCGCGGGGGTTGAGGGCTCGAGATTGTGGAGATCGGCTCTAGGCTGTACATCGGGGTGTGAGATGTGCGAATAGGGAGCCATTGGTGGCTGCCACCAAGCCGGCAGCTTAGCTCGAAATGAATCCTGAAGCCCGGCAAAGCAGGTCTTGCAGAATCCTGAATCGAGTGCCTGCTCACATGCCCGAGAACTTCACGACTTTCATCCTCGGTATTCCGCACTCTTCCACTCTTCGCCACGCGGCCGGGTCAATCGAGTCGGTGCATTCTTGCGCTGGAGGAAGCGCTGGAGATCCTGCGACCCGCGGTGCTCAGTTCGCATCGATTATTCATCGAGGGTTGGGCCCCTTGGATCTTTGAGGGAAAGGAGAAATGAGAAGGCCGACCAAGACCTAGACATGCAGAATTTCCGCATGCCCCCCCCCACTCTGAGCGTCTCAAGTACTGCAAGGATCTTCGGATTTTCGGCTTAGGCTGCAAAACCCTGTTCTGCGATTGTAAGCCCGGCTACGTACCCAGGCCGCGGCCCGACAAACCTCCCCGTGACACCGGGCCCCGGGCTCGGCGCACCATGTCTCGTTCCTTTGCTTGTCGGAGTTGCAAATGATACCCTAGAACAGGCTTGGGCTTAAGCTTCGTGAGTGTGCCTTGTGAGAACACTGGGGCCAGCAGCCTGTTGTTTGAGTCGGACCCAACAGCGTCTCGCACCGTGCCCCACCGCCCCCCTTCAATGGGGGATCGCCACAGGGTCAAACACACAAGCCAAACGCCAAGGGCCGGGCGCGGGCTTTCTCCTTCATCGTGTTCCTGAGCGGCGCAGGCCCCACAACAACAGGAACCACACATCCACACAGCGGAACCCCGTGCTGCAATTTGGGGCTCAGGGACCCTCATCCTTCTTACGCGTCGCGGCTCCGGGGGCGGATGTCCTCGCTCTTAGCCTGTGTAACCTGATCACGCCAGCCCACGTCTCCTTTCAGGTGCCCCGAAGAACCCCTTAGAAGACCCCCGAAAAAAGACCCACAAGGAACCCAGAGCCGCCCTCTCTCCCCCCCCCCTCCCCCACCAACTTGAGCCAAGCCGACAGCGTGCCGCCGATCTTGCCGATCTGAGCCCCCAGGAGGGGCAAGCAGGTGAGGATGATCACCTCGAACTCTAAGAGAAGTTGGGGAGGTGCATGAGGTGCTGTTCCTAGAAAAGGGTACCCCTCCCTGATATCTCACACCCCAGCAACCTCCGAGTTGGGGGCCTTCTCCAAAGGGGTCTCTGCTTTCAGGCTCTTTCCTGCGAAGTTCTTGGGCAGGTCTTTGGGACTCCATGCTGCCGCAGCCGCGTGCTGGACGCCGGGCTGCGAATTTTGAATAGAAACCAGACCGTGGGCTTTGTAGGCTTTGTAAGCTTTGGGCCTTGGGCATGGGATGCTTCGGGTACCCCCTGCTGAGCCGCAGTATTCCAGCCGGAAACTGGCCCCCGCCGACCGAGTGGCGATGATGAGCAACTGCTCCATTTCGTTGTGTGGTTGCTTGGGGAAGGGAGCCGGCGTGTACTCTGCAATCACCCAATTGAAGCAGGTCCTCAGTTGTTCATGAGCAAGCTTCTGGCCAAGACCTTTTTGGGGCTCCTGGGGGGAGGGGTAGGGGTTAGGGTATGAGCCAAACATTCTGGGTTGAGAACCGTCAAAGTACCCCTAAACCCAAGCCGCCCTTTCAAAGCCCCGCCGTTTTCTCGCGGATATTATGTGGCCGCGGCGCATGTACTGCGACACGGAGCTGTGGTTGTTCATGTCGTACTCATCGAGCCAGTTGTCTCAGAGCTTTTGATGGGGGTTTGGATGTCGTTTGGGGGGTTCCTGGCTGAGGGCTTGGATGCCTCCAGTCGGGGTCAAGTTCCACTCACAGTGATTCAGTCGCCCAGCCCCCGAGACAAACTTCCAACGATCCGCCGAACGTGGCCGAAGAGACCAAGCAAGGACAGGGTTCAAATAACAATCCTTAATAGAGATTGAAGAACCCCAATTGTAATCCCTATTAAGGACATGCCAACATGGCCCAACCATACCCCCTCAACAATTGGACACTGCTCTCGAGAGCCCGGGTGCTCTCTGCAATGAGTCGTCCGAGTCGGCCCACGTAGAACACGACGCACGCCAGCACGTGATTGACAGCAAGCCTCGGGCTTCGCAGCTCGTCAAGAAACTGGGCAAACTTTCGAGTGCCCGAAGGGGTGTGGGGAGTGTGGCCTCCGATTTCGGCGCCGGGCGCGTCGTTTCTTTGTTCCACACACACACACACACACACAAATTTTTGAGGCCTCTGTCATAAGTGCTCTCTCTACGGGTTGGGCTCCTCCAGGGTGCACTCCGAGCCACACCGTCGCGATGCACTGGAGGATTGTCAGGTACGGCACTGCTTTCCTTGAGCTCTCGGACCACTGGGATGAGAGAATTGGAGACTTAGGGCGTTTACGTCTTATTCTGCCTTCTCTGGTATTATACTACTCTACGAATGTACTCATATATTCTTGTACTATTATGTTTCCATACGAATAGCTGTTTATGCTATTCTGTTGTGACAAAGGAAGCTCAGGATCCTCAGGAAGCTGGAGCCTATGTGGTTTTGGGGGAGGGAGTAGACTCGTCATTTTGGTTGGTGCAAAAACGGTGCACGATTTGTGCTCGGCTGCTCCTGTAGAGGTGTTCTCTGTACGTTTCCTTCTTCGTATAAGACACACATATGTTGATTGTAGCTGAAGGTACTGCTGCCATTGGGCCCCAACAAACACGGAGAGGCCTCCTCAGTTCCAAATTCGGGTGAACGGGGGGGGGGGTGGCCTAGGAAGAGGCGGGTGGCATGTTCCCTGCAGCGACGAGGCGGTTCTCGAACACGGTGAGCACCTTAAGAAGCGTCTGGGCATGAGGCGCGCTTCCTCCCTTCCTGAAGCTATCGGCTATGGCATGTTGTGCGTGCGCCTTGTGTTTGAATATCGGGCGTTCGGTGCCGCAGGTCAAAGTCAGAAGGCTTGGTGATACGTGCGGGTTCCTAGGCTTGGGGTTTGGGCGCTTTCGACCCCGCATTTTCCAGAGTGATGTTGCTACTCACCCGAGGATACGAGAGCCCAAAACCTATACAAGCCTATACTGCCATGTAGACGTATCGCATTGTCAACACTCTCCCACGTTCTGCAGAGCTCGAACACCCCAATTGAGTCCCTCCGCTCTGCTTTTGCGGCTCTTGCGGGCCGGGCTGCCCTTCTGAGCTTCAAGATTCGTATCAGCCGCAGCAGGGTGAAGACGCGGAAGTGCTCCTGGCAGAACACGGGCTCCCAAGATGCTTTCTCGGAACAATGCCTGCGCCCGCGGAAGCCGACGCGCCGCGCTCCACGTTTCTCCACTTATGCGGGAGCATCCAGAAGCGTGGCAGCACGTCCTTTAAACAGCTGTCTTTAGCAGCAGACTCTGTCGGACCGCGCAGCTTTTCGAGATGAATTTCGACAAGAAAACGAAGACATTTTTATGCCGCGGCTGCGGCTTCTTCCACTTCCTGGTGCATTAGCCCCTTCAACCCGATCGGCGCACCTGCAGGACGCGCAGCAGCAGGACAACATCCAGGATCACCAGGGACAACTGAGGAGTGGATCAAAAATGGATGCTCCCCAGAATACGGGTACTAGTACTAGCACCTTCCAAAATACCTTGAAATTACGATGTGTACTGTCACTGTAACACCAAGGATGAGAGGAAGGAGCTCCTTTCGAGGAAGGAGCGGACAGGAGTTCTGCGGTGCCGGGGGTTGGGGACCTTCGCAGACTCCAGGGACCTACCTAGGACCAGGGATTGCCGAAGCCCTAAACCCTAAACCCTAAACCCTAAAATGTGTTGAAGGGAGCGCGACACCGAAGCCCTGGGGCTCCCGGCATCAATCGGGAATCTGGAACCTTGCGGAGCTGCGGAAAAGGATTTTCCCATTCTTACCATTGTTGCCGTTACGAGTACTACTAGTACTACTAGTACTACTAGTACTACTAGTACTACTAGTACTACTCGTACTACTAGTACGACTAATATTACTAGTACTACTAGTATTACTAGTACTACTAGTATTACTAGTACTACTAGTATTACTAGTATTACTAGTATTACTAGTATTACTAGTATTACAAGTATTACTAGTATTACTAGTATTACTAGTATTACTAGTATTACTAGTATTACTAGTATTACTAGTATTACTAGTATTACTAGTATTACTAGTATTACTAGTATTACTAGTATTACTAGTATTACTAGTATTACTAGTATTACTAGTATTACTAGTATTACTAGAATTACTAGTAGATGTACTGTCATATCTGTTGTTAGTAGTATTACTATTACTACTTTCTTCATGCGCGGTTCTCGGTTTAGGGTGATACAGGGATTGGAGATGGAAGGGACAATCTAAGCTGACGAGCGCCTTTTTTCAAGAGATCCTGAATTTCTTGGCGGTTGCCAAGCCCAAACGCCAGCCCAACTCAGACAGCAAGCGGACATCCCAGAATACCCACGAGCACCCAGTAAAAGGTCCGAAGCTCAATTCATCAGCACTTCCTCTTAGAAACCGAAGGAGCTTTGGGATGCTGCTCCACCTCAAAACCCGAAACTAAACCCCTAGCTTAAGGCCCTGTATCGCCACTGAACTGACTCCCAAGCCCTAAGAACCAAATGCAGTGGAAGCCACAGACGTACCTCCTGGCCAACTGCAGCCTCGCCAAAGAGTTCTTAAAAAGCTAAATTACACGATCTGATGGAGGGACACGGACTCGAACTCTCTCAGAATTCGCTGAAGCGCTCGGTCTGGGATGAAAACCCGTTGCAAAACTTCGTAGGTCACTGCTTGAGGTTGGCATCCTCCAGCGGCTAAAGTAGGTCTGCTGGTGGCGGGGCTGAATTCCCTCACTGGTTCTCTCAGTCGCCGCCCGGTGGCTTGACCGACACATCCTTCTCCAGAACAGCCTGGGGTCGGGTCAGTGCGGTGGCTTCATCGGGTTTGTTTAGGGTTTAGGGTTTAGGGTTTAGGGTTCAGGGTTCAGGGTTCAGGGTTCAGGGTTTAGGTCTCCTTGGAGGATCTTTTGGCACCCTCGGGCGTTGGGCAGCTGGTCTCCTAGCTGGACGTGCTGCCTCAGCTTCGGAGCTTGGACCCAAGGCAGCTGCCACTTAAACCCAAGGGGGTGGATTAGGGTTTAGGGTTTAGGGTTTAGGGTGTAGGGTGTAGGGTCTAGGGTCTAGGGTCTAGGGTCTAAGGTTTAGGGTTTAGGGTTTAGGGTTTAGGGTTTAGGGTTTAGGGTTTAGGGTTTAGGGTTTAGGGTTTAGGGTTTAGGGAGCAGCTGCCAAGGTGCCGGGCCAAAGTTCATCAGGATGTCAAAGCTCCACAAGAAGGGTCCCGCCTGCGCAGCGAAAACTTCACCATTTTCACACCTGGCCTCTACAAAAAATTTGGCAGAAGCCGCCTCTACAAAAAATTGGCAGAAACCGCCACCTCCAGCGAGTCTCAAATGTCAAATCTCAAGAGGACCTTTTGCCAGGTCGGACTGGCAACCTGCCCCCCACCCTTTTTCTCGGAGAAGTAGCCCTTCAAGGTACCGCAATTTCGGTTGGCTGCCCGGCATCAAGAATGTGCTTGTGCGGGCTGTTGCGCTGTGCCATCATGCCACAGCCGACAGCATCGCAATGGTCTGTTGTCCCCTCTCCCCCATCCCCTCAAAAAATTGAAAAGAAAGCGCTCACCGGCTTGGGAACCGCTCTCCTCTTCGGCACCTATTTCCGAAGAGAGAGACAGAGAGAGAGAGATCCCCCCCATAAGATGTAAGCAGAATGTTAGTTCAGGGTTTAGGGCCTCAACTCTCGAGCTACAGAAGGGCCACACCTGGAAATAGAAGAAGGAGGGGCTCGGAAACGCATCCGAGTCCGGCCACGCCAGCGTGATGGGAATCAGGGCTGTATCCTTGGACTTGGACTAATGTGGACATGGAGGAAAGCTTCCACTGTACATGGAGGTGAAGACATCGCCCCAGGTGTCTGAAATTCTCCAGGAGATCCTGGACGCCATAACCTAGCCCATTGAGATTCCATCAGAAGCACAGAATCAACCACCATCTTGACTCTCTTAGTCTTAGCCCAGGGAGCCAGGACCACAAGCACCAGGGTGATGACCTCCCAGATGTAATTCCAGGTCGAGACGATGGCCTCTCCTGGGAGGCAATTTGGCGGTGGGGTCCCTTTTTTGGGGAATCCCCAGGTGGGTGGCTGTCGAAATCATGATCCCTTTTGGGGTACCGGAAATGTTAGGTGCCACACTTTAATAGGGATCCAGAAAGGGACCTGTCCCCACATGATTTCGAGAGCTGCCATCTAAACGGATGTCTGTCATGAGCTCATCACCTTGGCAAAAGAAGTGGCCTAATGAGATCAACGGTACGTAGGTGCAAGCGTCAAGTGGCACCCTCGCAAGTTCAGTGGACCAACGTCGACCAGAGACTTCTAAATGTACATGGGGGTAAACGTGATTGGACTGTCAGTAGGTTCAACCTCCACCGTTGTAGTCGTGGCTCTTTGGCAGATCTGCCTACCCAGCTTCCGGACCACGCTGCTCCTGCGAGCGGGCAGGAAAGAACGGAACTGCTGCAAACATGGGTCCAGACCAGAATGAAGATCAATGGTAGATGCATGTGACTGTCGGCGTGAGAACTCGACCATCAAGCCGGGAGAAAAAGTGAGCACATCATGTGACGAGAGCATGATGACAACCTGCTACAACAACCATATAGCCGCTGGCGCTGCAGGGCACCAGCGTCTCTATGAATACCCCGAAGCACCCAAGAACAAACCTCCCGAACTCGAGAACCCGGTCTCCGGACGCTGGACATCGCTTGCTTGCTGCTCTGGTGCTTCTCGCCTCAGAAAATGCAAAGCGTCGCCCCATCAGTGTTGCGGGGGGCGTGGGTTCAGGGATCACAACACGGCGTGTGATCCCACAGGTCTGTCAGCTTTCAAACAGGTTTCGAGAGGAATTGGGAAGTGTCCAGCCCGGCGCAAAGCTCCCCAAAGTGGGGGCCCTCAATCCTTGGCTCAGCTGGGCGGCCATAGAGGTTGGTGTAGACGTTCGTCGCCTCCTGGGCCCAAGAAAAGCGTAGGGTTCAGGGCTCAGACAGGCAGAGGGCTGCATGCAGTCGGCTTAGGCGTTGGTTTCAGAAACCGAAACCCCTTAGCCCAGAATTCCAAAACGCCCTGACTCCGGCCTGTTCGCTGATGACGAAAGCCTCGGTCCAGTCGTCCAGCAGGCGGACGCCTTCCGTTGCTTCTTGAAAAAAAGTCGGGCAATCGAGGGCAGTTTCAGGGAGCTCCGCTCGTTTCGAGGTCCCTCACTTGATGAATCAAGTGTTGTACCAGAGGGTATGCATGCCGCAAAACAACCTACACAAACCTCTGCCCCCCTCAAGACACGACGCCCGCGCGGCGTGATCAATTCAGGGTGCATGAAGCACCAAGGGCCGGCACCCCGAACAGGACGCGAAGGAACCCTTCACACGCCGAGAAGTTCATGCCAGCGCCTGACTTGCCCAAGGATACAGTTCCCGTCCGACTCTTGGCATATGGAGTCTTGCGCATGTTCAAATTCCTTGGCTTGTTTCGGCTTAGCGGAGGAAATCAGTCAAAGCAAGACATCCGTGCACATCAGCAAACAGCACTCACAACCCATGCGGCTTCGGCTTTGCTGCCAAACAGGCCAGTCCTGTGTCCTTGCAGCCCTAAACTCGAACTCGTCAAAACTTAAGGCCAGGCTCTTCGTCAAAGTTGGCACTCCTTCCTTTGTGAGCTGGTACTTTTCCTCGACCTTGTTCGCAGCCTTCGCAGGAAAGGGAACGTAACATTCCCAGCGATACTTAAGAAAGCGATTCAACAGCATGTCTTGCGTTACTCTTGCGTTGCAATGCAGACATGCACAGACGCCAAGCACCAGCCTGGGCCTGACACGTCTGTGAGGGCACTTTTGAGTTTTCTCATGCGCCTGGCCTGAAGAAACTTCTGGGAGCATCTGAACTTGACAGAGTAGTATGGATGTGTGTTGGACTCTTTCGTGGATGCTTTCAGAGTATAGCCAATCTCGAATAAAAAATCTGCGAGAAATAACGAGAAATACACACCCAGCCACCCCTCCCCTTCACACGTACACATACATACACTTAGAATGTCCCTGCCCGAAAATCCGCGCACAAGTCTTCCCCCCCCCCCCCCCCCGCCGAAATCCCGGAAACCTTGAGCCGACCCTTGCCGAGCAACTTGGGACGATGGCGTTGGCGGAGCACTCTCCGGCCGCGAGGCCGGCGAAGCTGGCACCACCTCCCGTGGCTTGAGTAGCTCGGCAGAGGTTCTCGTTTGCAATGACTGAACTTGGTGGCCAAGGTTCAGTTCTTCAGTTGGATCACAAAAAAGACATAACTACAGCGATGCGACCCCCCACTTTCTTCCACAGCGACTGCTAGTAGCGTCAGACCCCCCGGGTCAGTTGCCGCGGGCTTTGGAGGAAACGCCCCAACGTGCTGTTTCGCTGCCAAATGCTTATTTCCATGCATTTCCCCAAAATAGGGGTACCCCCAAAACACGATCATCCTGATTAGAGGAAGTCCCCAAAAAGGGTACCCATACTCGGAGAAACCATGGGCTGCCCCCAATGAGGACTGGCGTGACACAGCCAGCATCGTCACACAATTGACTACGCTGACAGCACCCGCTTTATCTAGACTTTACCTGAGTCGAGGGGCGGCACCAAGAGTCCAGATTGAAAAGCCCAATCCCCCACAGCTACCCGGCCGGGCTAAACTCTTGGAATTTTCATGTACTATGACTGGTGCTAGTGTTCTGCTCAATATGACTTTGAGTATGTTCCTAGCGACTGTTCTAAGTTCTAACTCGTATTCTTGCTATTGAGCTACTTGGTGTTCTGACGCCGACAAGACAAAGCCCGGGGCTGCCGGGAAACCTTTCGGTGTCTCTTGATCTTCTGGTCTTTTGGGGCCTTTTTGGGGCCTCCTGTTAGGCTGGGGCCTGCTGAAACCTTCTGAGGTCTTTTCAGGGCTGGGGGCCCTGTGGGTCTTTTGGGGCCTTCTGACAATCCCAGCCTTGCCGGGGCTTATTTTGGACTTTCCGAGCTATTTTGGGGTTTCGTGAAAGCCTCCAGAACCTATTTTTGGGTCTCCGAACCTGAAAAATTTGGTGCCTCCCGGAGCCTATTTTGGGGCCTCCCGGCACTTATTTTGGAGCCTACCGGGCCTCCAGGTTTGGGGCTTCCTGGGACCGATTTTTGGAGCCTGGTCTTATTTTGGTGGCCTATTTGGGGGCCTCCCGGTGCTTATTCTGGGAACGGGCCTCCCGCACATTTTTGGTGGCTTATTTTGGGGCCTTTTCGGGCTTATTTTGGGGCGTTTCGGGGCTTATTTTGGAGCCTCCAAAACCTTCCGGCACCCTGCGGCCTGCCAGGGGGCCTGTTTTGTGGTCCCGGGCCTATTTTAGGAACCCTGAACTTTCACGGGACTGGCCCAGCTTAAGCCCAACCTACCCTAAACCCTAAACCCTGAACCCTGAACCCTAAACCCCAAACCCCAAACCCTAAACCCTAAACCCAGCAGCCCTTTCTCACCGCACCTGGCCGGCCGCGCCGAGCTCAGGCCAAACGCCCGGCATTTGCTCCAGGGCCCCCTTGATGCCGCCATACGTCCGCTGAAGGACCTGGCATTTGTCGAAATCCCACCACCAAAACGTCCCCAAAACCCGGCCTCAACGAATGACCCCACTCTGTCTGAAAATCAGCGCCCTGCGAGGCCAACACTTTAAGCCCACCGAGCTCCAAAACCCTGCAACGCTAAACTAAAAACACGGAACAGCTGCGAAAACCCGACAGCACAGGCACGAATCCCACCTCGAGAGAGCCAGCGAGCTCCTTTTGACAGCGCAGGAGCTCGGAGAAGCATTGCTGCCCTCCTGGCAAGCTCACTTCACTTGGCGTGTGCAGATGTCTAGGTTTGGAGGCTTTGGGGCACTTGGGAAGGGGCCTTCCGAGTGCCCCTTTGATGACGGGGCTCTTTGGAGAGCAAAAGGAGTCTGATTCGGGAGTCCAGCCTTCGGCTGGCGCCATGGCTCAGCCTCCACTCTCTTCGGCGTGATCCGTGATCCGGCGTGTGATCTCTTGCTCTATGTGCGTGCCATTTTGCTTTCTGTATACTGTATTATTTATACTTATATATATATATGTATATGCATACGCCAACTTGTAGTGCATTGCATAGATACTTTCCTTGCCTTTCATCTGGGCCCAAGGAGACCCTGGGGCCAGGCCGAGGAAGCTCGGCCAAGCTCTGCCTAAGTTCCAAGGTAAGGTCTCTTTTCTACGCGTCGACTGCCTTTCGGCTTGAGATTCCAGGGGGCGACCCGCGAGACCGGGCGAGAACCCTCTCCAAAAAAAAGGGCTCTCGGGGGGGGGGGGGGCAGACGACACAGAGTCTTGAGCAACACAAGGTGCTTTTGCTCTTGCATAGGCGACGCGGCGGGTCAGTGAGACTGTTCCCCATGTTCGTCCGCCTGGGCACACACAAAATTCGATACGTGCTTGAAGTGTGGGGTGAAGTGTGGGGCCAGAAGGCTGCCGGGTGGTTCAATGTTCTTCACCTCCTGTCTTCGGCTGCTCTTTGGGTATTGCCCGTGCAGAGCGTCTCTACGGCGGTGTGAGGCCAACTGCTCTTCGGAGGCCGGTGCGCTGTGACGAACAGCAGCACGCCCCCGCGAGCTCACGGGGCCGCCTTCTCAAGCAGTGGGGTATACACAACGGCTTGCAAATAACAACGGTACAGAATTTTTGTACCGGGTAACCGTACTGTAACCGTGACACAAGCATGTCTTGCAAGCTGGCGCAAGATCTGGCACAAGTCTGGCAGACGCGGCTTAGGGCAAAGAGGGCGAGTACCAAAGGGGACCCTGGAATCGCCTTCACGTTGAGCTTGAAGTTGTACTCCTGGTCGCAGCCCTGGCAGGAACAGATTTCTGCTTGCACTTCTGGCACGCAAGCATGCTCGGACCTGCACGAGCTAGCCAGCACCCATGGCGTTGGAGTCGGAGCATCATATGCTACATAGCACTTGATAGAACACTTCTCGCTGAGATTGAGTTCGACATGGAGCAGAGTCGGGCACCGCAGCCTGGTAAGAGTCCGACATGAGGTAGAGGGTGTAGTCGAAGGCGCCGGCATCTTCACCAAGCTCGATCTCCAGCTTGACATTTGCAACGGCCTGGCACCCCCTCCCTGTCATGAAATGGCCACGGCTGCACTGACTTCAGTTCCCACAATCCGCTTTCGAGCACCTGAAGATCCACTCAGGCATTCAAGCCCTGAACTTCCTGAACCCCTGAAGCGATCATGGGGCTCTGAGTATCGGCCTTGCTAATGGTGATTCGCTTGATCGCGACCTGAGGCGGGAAAGCAGACCGTGGCTGGCAAGGAAATTCTTGCCTGAGTCCGAGGACAAAGGCTCAGACCAAGGGCACGTGACCAAACTCCCTAAGCTCTGAGGCCTGCATCATATACCTCAATCCCACAAGTGGGGGCCCCACCAGTGCACTCTTCGGGCCACCGACCACCAGCCACCAGATCTCTTCCTTCTCCTGCTGGGCATGACACTGGAGATGGGTTCTTGATGTGGGGGCTGAAGCGCTCTCTCGTGACATGGCACCCACAACTCAGCAACGGCTCTTCTCAGCCGCCCCCCAACCCTTCAAGTAATAAGCAACTGCAAGATGTTCCGCCGCGTCCATGCTTCGAGGCATGAGGCATGACACGTGGGCAGCACACAGAGACAGTCGACCTGCACGTGACTCCATGATAATACCATGAACCCATCAGGAGCCTTGGGGTAGTACATGGCGTAGACGGGGCCGACGGTGGCACCTTCTTCCTTCGACGTCATATGACATACGAGGCGAATTGTGGCTGCCAGGAGGTTTGCTTCATTCTGCCTGATGCCTACAAATCCTGCAAACACTGCCAGTGGAGAAACGAAAGAGGTCCCCATGACACAACTTGGATAAGACCAACAAAACTACAATCGTTTCCGCTGGAAATGGCAACTACTTGCTTTCCCGTTTCCGTGGTAGTTCCTATCGGAGTCTTTGGGCTCGTTGAAGAATTGTGAAAACGTGTCTCCCTCGTCTCCTCTTGTCCACCAATCCTCTGAATGTCTTTGAAATACGAAATACTGCGACATGGCTCTTGGGACTTGTGACCCCCTCGCAAGCTGTGCACTTTCACCATTGTGTGCTCCCCTGTTCTCTCTCACAGAAACACGGAGAAAGGGAAGTGAAGCGCAGGAGGCCTCCATGGCCTCCCGGGAAAGCTTCACCGAGATCTTCGCGCTGCCGCCTGCGGTCAGCGCATCGGAGTTCTGCACCTGGCATTTATGGAATCTCAGGAAGGCAGAGAGAACGCATGTCAGCGGAGTGCTCTCTCTCTCTCTCTGGCGCCGACGCCCACCTTGTACTCCAGGGCAATGCCAGGGAAGCGATTGCAGGCTCTGGCGACATCCGCGAGCTGCGACCTGTGCCGAGCTGTGATGCCCCGAGCCTCGGGGCGGCCCTTTGAGCATCACTTCACTACGGAAGAAGAGCGCACCTGTGTGAAGCCGAAAACCAAAGCTCCGGACTCCGACTTTTGAAATTGCGCTCCCCCGACGTGCTTTGCACTCCGAGGCGCTGAGACAGACCGTCGAGCAGCTTCTCGCGCGGGGCATCGTCCATGCCCATGACCTGCTCTCCACTGTCTGGGGGAGGAGTTCCGGGAGGAGTTGCGAGTTGCGCGGAGTGTGTAACGGGAGCGCTTCAGGGGGAAGTTGCTGGGGGGTCGGGTTCACAAACACGGCGGCAAGGCATCGAAGATGTCTTCGACCTTCAGCTTCCTTGCAAAGGCGGGGTTTGTTCGGACAGCTGCATGATGTTGAATTGAGTTCTCTGCGGATCTCCACTCTGATTCAGACGCGGTGCTTGGCTTTGTCCACCATCGCGGGTGTGAAGTGGGGCAGCTGCATGAGCGGACTAGACGTGGAGGTTGTAGCTTGCACAACCATCTGCGACAACTCCATGGCAGACAGTGCCGGGGTCAGCCAGCCACAGGAAGAAATCACATCCACCAAGCCCTGCAACAAGCGAACGGAGTGCTCCAAGATGAACTTCTGGTCGGAGGACAAGTCCGTGGTGATCGGGCTGCGGGTAAAGTGCGCGTTCAGGAGCAGCTGCGCCTTCGTGTGCGGGTCGTTCAGCTTGTCTTTGTCAACCTTCATGCCCAGCGACTGCGCCAAGCCATACAAGGTGGCCTCTTCGCCTGACCGCCATCCCTGGAAGCTAGAGGATGCCTGATTACCTGCCCCCCCTAAATAACCCCCTCTAATTTCCTCTTTAAGGGTCAAGCCCCCCCATATCGGAACCCAAGCAAATTCCCCCGCAAAAAAGGGGACCTTGAGATCACAAAAAGCTAACCACCAAGCTCGAGAGCAAGCGGTCGATTCGGGGCCTGGCCTGATCGCACCGGCACCGCGTCGAACTCGGAGGCCGCGCAGAGGATGTCCAGCAGGCCCTTGCGCTTGGTGTTCTCGTTGACCTCAATACTTCTACTCCCAGGCAAACACCGGTTGCTCGGATCTGGGAGAAGGAAAAAAACTAGCCCCTCAGAAAAGAGAAAGAAGAAGACGAAAAGGCTACTGCCAGGGAGGGCCCGGTGACGCAGCGGGAGAAGGTCTCGATGGTCGTGTGCCGAATGTAGTAGTACGCACCAATGAGACCCAGATTCGCCGGTGCCAGATCAACATCATCCTGAAGGATCACAACACTGGTCTCTCCTATCCCTAAACCCTAAACCCTAAACCCTAAACCCTGAATCCTGAACCCTGAACCCTGAACCCTGAACCCTAAACCCTAAACCCCCAAACCCTAGCCCTAAACCCTAAACCCACCTTGGGGAGCCTTAGCCTGTGCACTAGTGCAAGCCAGAAGGGCCTCGATGCTGCAGCAGCCGAAGCGCTCCAGGCCCTCCACGGTGTTCTCCACCACCTCCGAGAGATGATCACTCAGGTGCTGGTGGGTGACGCCCTGCAGACCATAGTAGTTCGGATTCTGAGATAGGCGGCGGTAGTAGAAGGTCCAGGTCAGCCAGTCTACTGCATCCTGCTTGTTCTCGATGGTCTTCATGACGATCTCCGCGTTCATGTGGTCTGCCATGCGCTGGTCAAGGTGGCTCTCGACCGGCAGCGGCTCGTAGATGAACTTCTTGTAATACTCCTTCTTGGAGTTCTGGGTCAGCAAGACGACCATTCCGGACTGATCTATCCCAGGTCGGCTTGCTCGTCCCATCATCTGCAGCACGTCGTGGATGGGATAGTCGACGTATCTGTTCTCTCGACCGTCGAACTTCTTGGTGTCCATGATGACCACGAGATGTGCCAGCATCGTCATGCCCCAGCATAGCTGCTCCGTGGCCACCAAGACCTGGATCGCACCCGCCTCGAACAAGCGCTCGATGACGGCCCGCTCCGTGTGACTGAAGCCCTCATGCAGGAAGCCCACGCCGTACTCCAGAGTCTGCTTCAAAGACTTCTCCCGGGCGGCTGCCAGGTGTGGCCGCATGGCGTCATCAGAGACCTTAGCTGGTTGGACCGTGCGACCGGTTCGGGTCCTGACGCCCAAAAGCTCACCGTCACAACAGAACCCGCCAAGACAAGGGACATGCAGGAATCTCTTCGGCTTGTCATCGGATGCAGCGTGCAGCAGCAAGTCGATGGCCGTCATTCGTGCCTGCTTTCGATCAGGAACGAAAACGATCACTGGCTTCTCGGGCGAGTAGTGCTTGATGGACTGATACACCTGGGCAGGGTGGCCAAACGCAGGGATGTCACTGGCAATAGGACTACCCCGTCCGGCTGCTCTCATGTCGCTCTAGACGACATCCCATTGTCAATGATGCATTAGACTACATCCCATTGTCAATGATGCCCTTGACTTGATGCGGGCGTTGGTGGGTTTTGACACATGTTCAGCTGCCAAAGTCAGATGCTGGCTTGATGCCAGAACATCTCTGCAGGCGCGACCCTTCCCCCGGTTCGGCCGAAGCACCGGTCGGCTCATGGCCAGCAACCGCGTCGACCGATGGTGGATGTCGAAGCCCTGGATGACGAGCTCCAGAGGCACTGTTCGCACATTCGGCGAGAAGTTGAAGAGGCCGTTGCTGCCAGCACCGATCCATTCACCTTAGCGGATGCTCTTGTCGCTCAAAAATGTGCACAGTCAACACAAGTCGTGCCCATTCAGAACTCCTGAGGTTCGAAGAATGACACATTAAGCAGCTTCTTGAAGGCCCTGCCCGAGCCTTACATCTTCAGCCCGGTCACCCACATCCTTGGCGTTAGCCAAAGAGGCTGCCAAGGCCACGATTCGGATGGGCTGCTGAACCTGGGACACTGGGATGTCTCGATCTCCAGCCATCAAGGCTTTGGGAGTTCTCTTCCTTAAGGTCCTTAACTTTACGACCCGCGGGCTTGTCTCACATCAGGTCGCGAGAAATACACATCCCCCCATTGTGGAAGGTACAGAGCACGGGAATACACATCAGCGGCGGAATTACGCATATTAGAGGACACAGAAAAATCCCCCAAGTAGACGCCGGAATTTTAGGCAAAATGCAACACCTTAAAATGCAATGAGTCGACTCTTCGACCCTAAAGTTCCCCGAATGATTTGATGGAGAGCCTGAACGGAGATGTAGCGCATGCGGCTGACCACCGCCTCCAGTGTGGGCCCCACGTCGCTGTCCAGCAAGTGCAGCTCATCCACCACAAAGAGCCGCACCTCCTGCACACTCCTGGAAGGAACTCAGGGATGGGAAGTTTCGTGCCATTTTGTGCCCCTCAGCGGCACCCTAAACCCTAAACCCTAAACCCTAAACCCTAAACCCTAAACCCTAAACCCTAAACCCTAAACCTAAACCCGAAAAAGGCGGGGGCTATTGAGGGCAGGCCATGGGAGCTTGAAGAGGGGCCGCTTCCTCACCCTCAGAGCAAGGATTGCGCTTGAGTTAAGTACCACTTGGCCTTTGCAAGTTGCTCCCTCCAGTTTCATTGACAGAGATGTCTCTGGTGTCACAACACTCTATGGTGTCCACAATACGACCAAAACATACAACACTTTTCCACCAAGCAAGGCTCTTCCGGGTCTTCCACCTTCGGCTGATCAAGTCCCACTTCTCTGGGGTAGTGATGATGACCTGCTGCACGTCTCCACATGGTGTTTTTTTGGGGGGTCCATTTGGATTTCCCTGGGTTCAACATGAACTCCGAGTACACCCTCTGAGCGTCCCAAAGACACCACCGACCACGGAAACACCCAAGAGTATTAGAGCTCATGATCGCGCGTATGAACTCTCCACACACCCACAGAGTTTGATCCACGAAACCCTGTTCATAGGGGATTAGGGGGACCCCTTAAACCCCAAACCCTAAACCCTAAACCCTAAACCCGAAACCCTAAACCCTAAACCCTGAACCCTACCGAGGAGTTCAGGGGGTCTGTTGAGCCCAGGCGGCGTGGGAGTCTTCTAAGATCTTGACGTCGCTGGTGGTCTCGCCCTGCAGCTCGGCGACCTCTCCAGCACATTGCATCATTGGGGAGTTCTTGGAGTTGGGCAAACCCTAAACCCTAAACCCTAAACCCTGGAGCTCTGGAGTTGCAGAGTTGTGGAGAGGAGAGTCTGCAGGCCGGGGACTCAGGGAACCCTTGCGGGGGCTTTTGGGGAGAGCACCCGGAAGCAGAAAGACTGCACTCTAGCCATGATTCGGGGGGCAGGAAGGAACTCACCGACTTGATTACAAACTTTGATGGCATATAATGGAGCCCTATACAAGCGAGTTGAGGGTAGAGCCCTGGACCGAAGCCGACCTTGTAGCCCATGGTCTTGCCAAACTTGAAAGACCACTCGTTGAAGCGCTCCCGCGCGGTGGAGGCGTGGGGTGCCACGTAGACGCAGCGCTTGACCTGTAGCTTGGGGGGGGGGGCCACTTTGAGACTGTGGACCCTGCAGACATCATTGAACCTTCACGCTGCGCCACAGGAGAGAAAAGAGACAAAAGTGCTGTGCGCTAAGGGCATCGAGCCGCAGGATCATCTGAGGTCAGCATCTTGAGAACGGCAAACTCAGCACAAATAATCTTGCCACTCGCCGCGGGCGCGCAGACCAGAACGTTGTCGTTGCTGGCATAGAGCATGCTGAAAGTCTGAGTCTGAATGGGGTTGAAGACCTTCAGCCCCTGTGCGGCATAGAGCTTCTCTGCATCGGGGCATCGCAGGGCTGTCAGTGGCAGCGGCTGCAGGTCAAGCAGCTCCGTGTGCGGCGGGTACTTGTCCGGCAAGATCAAATGCCGGAAAGACACTGGCAGCAACGTCTGTGCATTGATCCATCTGTCGGAGACGACCCGAATGAAGTACCTCAAGATGCACCCTCAAGTGCAAACGTGCAACTCTTGTAAGAACTCTATGGGTTCATGAGTCGATGATCAACTACACCACACTTTCGCACATCTCTGAAAGTGCCTCCGGGCTGTGTAGTCTTGTGTCAGCCGAGCTGCTGCGGCGGCAGCGGCTCTGTGATAGGCACAGTGAAGTTCAGCGTATGCTCTTCCTCAGCACCTCGCTCTTGCAGCACGAACATCTCCTGGTGAAGGATCTGCTCGCCATTCACATCCTGCCATGCATCGGGGGCTGTCAAGATCACATCAAAGGCAATTCACGCGTCCTAACCACCTGGCGGTGCAAGCGCTGTTGCCCTTCTTCGTGGCGCACAGTGACAGTGCTGTACGACATCGACTGGTTCAGGCCAGGCCTAAACTCCCTAAATGGACAATGCTGCAAGTAGAGGCTCCATCAGGCTCAGGGCAGGGTCCTAAGCCTACATCCACTCCACTCACAAGCCTCCACGAAGACCCAGAAAGGCTCGGCGCGGCCGTGTACTTTGGGGTCCCACTGGAAGTCGGGGGTGATGGTCAGCTCCACCATGAGGCAGGAGCCTCGAATTGCAAGGGAGCTTTCCTTCAAGGGGGGGGGCAGGACAGCGAAGAAGAGCGGCGCAACAACACCAAAATGTCGCTCTAGGCTCCCTAAAGCCAAAGCCTTCCTCCCTCCCCTGAACTCAGTGCCCAAAAGTGGCTGCCAAACTTATCTTGGCCTTGAGGTTTTGAGCGCTCCGGGCTGGAGCATTCCAAAGATCTCAGAACAGGCACACAAGCAGCCAGAAGGTGCCCTAGAAGCTTCGACCCCCCCCAAAAAGAAGCGGTCATTCCCTGCGTGAAGCCGAGAAGCGTGTAATTGGCTGCACATAGGCGCTCAGGTCCAGCTTGGGGAACTGGTGCACAAGCTTGTGGATCGTCTTGCCTCGAATTGCTCTCCGGTAGAGTGTCTGGACTCGCACTCGCTCTCATTTCTTCATGCTTGCATGTCGTGTGCTTCGTGGCTTGCCCCAGCACACCCCGGCACATCAGGGAGCTGCCATGCGCAGCTCCATCTCTACATCTACTCTACCCAACTTTTGCTCGGCAAAGCGGACACGTTCAAGCGCAGCAAGTTCTCCACTTGCAACTGTAGCAACTACTATTTTCCGCAGCTGATCACGATCCGAACGGCATGCTGTTGAATGAACACGTGCAAAGAGTTCTTTTGAGTGGTACTGTAAGGCCATCACCCATCTTCGGGAATCGGATCAGCTCTCCGATCTCTGCACTCGACAGGTCGTAGTAGCGCTCCCATGCGAAGTCCTTCAGGCGTTCATGCTTTCGGCAGGCATGGATAGTAATTTGCGTGCACGATGAACTATGCTTTGGCGCTGCCCTGCTGACTGAATCATTCGCCTCCTTCGCCTGCTTGTCTGCGACGCTGGGTGGGCTAAAATCGCGCAGAAGCGCACCGCCACCCCATCTAGACGCGAAACTCGGGCGACACCGTGTCATTCGTGCGGAAAAATGAAGCGCATGCAAGCTGCAAGTGATCTGCTTACCTTGTAGAATACGGGCAACATGGATTTCCGACAATCTGAGTCGGGGCTCATGGTGTGGGATGCGTCCCCCATGAGCCCATTTCATCCTGTGGAGTTCTTTCTCTCCATGCCACTATCACAACATTGTTCATTGCTTGATTGGGATATGGGCAGGGGAGGGGGATAGTAATTGCAGTGGCCCCCATGCAACTCGTGCTGCGACAAGAGGTGTAACAACATGTTTAGAGCGAATGCTGCTTGCTACATGCGTTACGTCACGCACGATTGCGAAAGGCGCGCGCCCCCTGGAACGAGCTCAGACCCGCGCAGGCACCTACTCAGTACACTGCTAGTGCTGTTTTTTGCAGGCCCGGGGGCGCCTTCTTCTCCACCTTCCTGAGGATATCCTCGGCCAGGCCCTGGTCAAACGAGCACAAGAGCACAAGGCAGGATTTGGCCCTAGAAAAGCTTTTGCAGGAGCCACCTAGCAAAGATGGGGCCGCGCATGCCGAATCAGAGTCTCCTGAACACAACTCCTCGTTTCATTCAAGGGGTGTCTGAGTCATCTTCGAACTTCGAGTTCACCAGTTGAAACCCCCTGACAAACCCGCGGAGCCCGCGCCTTGAAGTGTCTCAGGGGCGTCTGGCTTGCCCACATCCTCTTGTCGATCATCTTGCACCTCAACCCACAAGGGAGTTTCTCCCTCCCTTTCCCTCGCTGCATCCCACCTAATTGAAAGCGAAAGAGCCGAAGCGCCAGAGCGTCTAAGAAAGTCTCGTATAAAAAACCTTCAACTCCCAGTGTGAAAGTGAAGTGAGGCTGCGGCCAGTTCAGGGCCCTGAGAGCCAAGGCGGCCCAGCCTAGCTGGTGTTCTTTCTTATTCTCTTGAGAGGGAGAGGGGCTCCTTTGATCTTATGTTTACCTTCAACAAAAGGACTTCACGGCTTGACCCAAACGTTTCGGGTGATGAGCTGAGTGTGGGGTTTGGCCCATTCTTAGGGTTCAGGGCGTTTTGGGTTTAGGGGCGCAGGTTTCGGCTCACAAGAACTCAGCTCCACCCACCACCGGAGGCCTCGCCGCAAGCAGATCTCGAAGATGGCGCGCATGATTCGGCCCGCCGACTGCTGGACCTGGGCAACAAGAAAGCTGAGGACATCTACCTGTAGCCAGGTCCAAGGGCGTCCAAGCTCAGGAGTGGGAGTCCCGATACACCATGATACACCTCAAAGCATGCAGCAACGTCAAGAACTTTGATTTCTACAGGGTGGGTGGCGTAGACCATGTCGGACATCAGCGCGAAGCCCTCCAACTTCAGCTTCGAGATGTAGGCCTTTGCCAGGCTGCGGCACCCACTCAGCAGCCCTGTGTCGAAGAAATTGTACTTGGCGAGGCAAAGCCAGAAGCTGCCCGGCACAAGATTCAGACTTCGTGGCTTTTTTATTCGCTTTCCCCTCCTGCCCCTCACAAGTCACTCTCAGTGCCGCCTGGAGTAGCACATTGACCTTGCTGGAAGGTTCGTCTGTGCTGCCCTTCACAGGAACTGGCACGCGCTCCACCAGCTTCTGCCTGGCAGAGGGCATAAGCTTATGGCTCAACTGTTGTAATTTTGAACAACGCGCTTTGCAATTAGACTTAACTCCTGCACCGAATGTCAAACTGGCCGGTTCCGCATTTCCACCTTCTCCTCCTCTCTCACCGGGATGTACTTGAACCTGAAGAGAAGCCCCCCTAGCATCATCACTTGGGCGACGCGTGCGCTCGACGCACGAGCTCTTCCCTCTACCAGACACGAACCACCTTACAGGGGCCACAGCATGAACAGTTTCCACAGAAGGACTTGCCCCAGCGTTGAACTGGCAGTACAACGCTTCAGCCCGAGTCCCTGGCTCGTGAGACAGCGAGAAAAGACGCAGCAGCTCGATGTCAGACATCATCGGCCGCAAATGGTCGTTGTAGGTGGCGATGGATGGGTGCTGAATGTAGTAGTGGCCTGTCATCTTTCGAAGTCAAAGCATCAGCAGACAGAACATGCTGACTTCAGCCCTGTCTAGTCAAGCATGTCGGCCGCGCTTGCGACACGCCCGAGGGCCGTGACCTGCAGCTCTTTGCCGGGGTTTAGAGGCTTGGCGTCTTCGAGGATCACATATGGAACGTCTTTGCGGGGAAAAAACAAGTGGCCCGCCCTCTCTGAGCTTCCCCAACTGGCAGTTTCCGAAAATAGAGGGTACCTTTTCGGGTTCCTTATGGTAAGGAGATCCTACTATGTGGGGATCTATATTGGGGGCGCCCTAATTTCGTAAACCCCCAACTCTCCTAAGTGGAACCTACAGGCCCGTGCCTCACACCGACAACATTGACACACCCAGCGCTGCACACGCCGCGGCCTGCACCTGGCCCGTGCGCTTGTCGTACTTGATCAGGTTGTTCTTGTCCAGCAAGGTTAAGGCGCTGTGGATCTGAGCACATGCGAAAAAACTCAAAACTCTGGCACTCCTTGGCTTCTCAGGCCCGTGAGGTGAGGAGGCAAAACTTGTTCTTTTAAGATCTTCTATAGGTCAAGAAAGCGGCAGCTGTTGATGGGCCCTTTCAGGACATCGACTGGGAGCGGGGCCAGATCCACTCGCCTCTGCTCCAGCAACCGATCCTCCTCGGCCTCATCCGGGGAGATGCCATAGAGCCTCGCACAAGGCACACTTGGGAGCAGCAACAGGGTTGCACCTCAGGCCCGTGACGCCTCAGTTAAAGCCCCCCCTTGTGTGTAAGAGTGTGTAGAAGGGGACCCGGGGACTCAGTCTAGACTCATGCTCCCAGGCACATGCCCCGACATCTTCCCCGCACCTGGGAGCACGCATCATTCGCACCTCGGGTCTCAGAGCACGTGTTGGGAAGTAGTGGAAATTCATGCGTCTATGCCATCGGGGCATGCAGCAATCCTGAATGAGCCCTCCACCCCCGCTTCCCCCCCTACAGCCCGCCAGCTGTAACGTGCCAAAGACGGTGTGGTGCTGAGGGCTCCCAGACTGCAAGGTCCAAGGAGAGGGGTCCGGGTCTTTTACGTACTGGCACCTTCTGCATTCACAACTGCAGAGAGCTCCGAAGCCATGAACCAACGTACACAAACTCCTTGCAGCAGTACCAGTAGGCCTATGGAGTACAATGGAGTGGCGTCGAAAGGGCACTTCTCAGGCAGGCGCATAGAGGTAGGTGTAGCCCAGCCAATTCACAGCATCCTCTCAACTCAGACAACTCAGAGAGAGCTCTCTTCTTGGCTAAGAAGATGTGCAGGTCATGGGTTGTGGTTTCGCTCTCTTCGCGAGTGAGGGGGCGCAGGATCCCTGGATCCCTGAAAAGCTCAGAGAACACTGACCAAAGTCGCTGGTCGGAGTGGTCAAGACCGCTGACCCGGCAAAACCCTGCTTTCTTCTCCATTTAGTTCCTCCCGCCACATGGGTTTGCTAGCAGCCTGAATTTGTGATCAGGTGGTGGTGGTGGCTTGCTTGGTCCAAGGCCTGCCGCGTCTGGATGGTTCCCAGCACCAGCTCAGCATTCACCATGTCCGGCAGGATGCTGAGCACCTCTCAGCAGCTTCGGGCTTCTCTACTCCCCTGATAAAACTCCTTAGGAGGGCTCCTTGCTTGGCAAGTTCTCCAAACTTGCAGTGTTTCCAAGCCACGACACTCTCGCAGATACCCGGAACCCATCCCAGCCGGAACCCGGCCTGTGACTCAATCGGCAGCTGCTGATTCATCAGCGACAAGTAATACCTCGGCTCAGAGCTACACGATGCTACACGATGCTGCCGTGCCGTGAGAGGCGTGTGCGAGCCATGTGGGTTCCTCCCTAAGCGTAGACGGGCGTTAAGATTGCGACTTCGAGGCAGTTTTTGAGGCACCTCGAGGCATCTAGAGGATCCCATGGGCTCTCAGGTCCAAGGCTCTGAAGCTCGCTGTGCTGCGTGATCACGATGCCGTGGCCCGTCTTGTCGTACTGTGGTCGGCCCGACCTACCCAGCATCTGCATCCTCAGTTTCCATACAGCGACAACCCAGAGGGAGCCAAAACTCCCTTCAGCTACTCCGTTGCTCCAAATTCCCATATGACTCGGCCACAAATTCCAAGTGTCCTGAACCATCTCAGCTTATCATCAACAGTACCCGTCGCCATCAAAGCAATCCTGCAATCTAGGCCATCTTCTGCAGTTTCCCCAGCTGCGCAGCAAAGCTTCATGTCCATGGGAGACAGCTCGTCCCACTGGCCCTTCTGAGGGTTGTAGACCTGGCAGAGAAGAGCGCTGCATAATGGCATAGAGTTGAGCTGGCCGCTAGCACTCCTAAAAGGATCCCAAAAGGACTTACCGCGACGAGCTATCCTTTCACCCCCGTGGCCCCGTACCCCCTTTTAAGGCACTGCATCGACTGTCAGTGAAACAATCCCACTGATGCGGTGTTGAATTTGAGAAGGTCTTAAAGTAGTCAGGGGACCACGAATTACCAGCGCTACCACATCTGCCGGTCTAAGGACAGGATGAAGCGGACGAGGAGAAGAACGACAAGCAGGAGGACGAGAAGCTGAGCCCCTGTGCCGCAAGCGACCCCCCCGAAAGCGAGCATCATGAGCATCAGCCCCCAAAACGGGAGCATCAGGAGCATCAGCTGGGAGGCTCTGAGCCCTTGTGCCGCAAGTGAACCCCCGAAAGCGAGCATCATGAGCATCAGCTGGGCCTTGTGCCGGAAGCGAACCCCCAAAACGCGAGCATCATGAGCATCAGCTGGGAGGCTCTGAGCCCTTGTGCCGCAAGCGACCCCCCGAAAGCGAGCATCATCAGCATCAGCTGGGCCTTGTGCCGGAAGCAAACCCCCAAAACGCGAGCATCATGAGCATCAGCTGGGCCTTGTGCCGGAAGCGAACCCCCAAACGCGAGCATCATGAGCATCAGCTGGGAGGCTCTGAGCCCTTGTGCTGCAAGCGACCCCACCGAAAGCGAGCATCATGAGCATCAGCTGGGCCTTGTGCCGGAAGCGAACCCCCAAAACGCGAGCATCATGATCAGCTGGGAGGCTCTGAGCCCTTGTGCCGCAAGCGACCCCCCGAAAGCGAGCATCATGAGCATCAGCTGGGCCTTGTGCCGGAAACGAACCCCCAAAACGCGAGCATCATGAGCATCAGCTGGGAGGCTCTGAGCCCTTGTGCCGCAAGCGAGCCCCCGAAAGCGAGCATCATCAGCATCAGCTGGGCCTTGTGCCGGAAGCAAACCCCCAAAACGCGAGCATCATGAGCATCAGCTGGGCCTTGGGCCGGAAGCGAACCCCCAAACGCGAGCATCATGAGCATCAGCTGGGAGGCTCTGAGCCCTTGTGCCGCAAGCGACCCCACCGAAAGCGAGCATCATGAGCATCAGCTGGGCCTTGTGCCGGAAGCGAACCTCCAAAACGCGAGCATCATGAGCATCAGCTGGGGGGCTCTGAGCCCTTGTGCCGCAAGCGAGCCCCCGAAAGCGAGCATCATGAGCATCAGCTGGGCCTTGTGCCGGAAGCGAACCCCCAAAACGCGAGCATCATGAGCATCAGCTGGGAGGCTCTGAGCCCTTGTCCGATAGCGAGCATCCGGAAGCGAACCCCCAAAACGCGAGCATCATGAGCATCAGCTGGGAGGCTCTGAGCCCTTGTGCCGCAAGCGACCCCCCGAAAGCGAGCATCATGAGCATCAGCTGGGCCTTGTGCCGGAAGCGAACCCCCAAAACGCGAGCATCATGAGCATCAGCTGGGAGACTCTGAGCCCTTGTGCCGCAAGCGACCCCCCGAAAGAAAGCATCATGAGCATCAGCTGCGCCTTGTGCCGGAAGCGAACCCCCAAAACGCGAGCATCATGAGCATCAGCTGGGAGGCTCTGAGCCCTTGTGCCGCAAGACCCCCGAAAGCGAGCATCATGAGCATCAGCTGGGCCTTGTGCCGGAAGCGAACCCCCCAAACGCGAGCATCATGAGCATCAGCTGGGAGGCTCTGCCGCAAGATGCCCCGAAAGCGAGCATCACGAGCATCAGCTGGGCCTTGTGCCGGAAGCGAACCCCCAAAACGCGAGCATCATGAGCATCAGCTGGGAGGCTCTGAGCCCTTGTGCCGCAAGCGACCTCCCGAAAGCGAGCATCATGAGCATCAGCTGGGCCTTGTGCCGGAAGCGAACCCCCAAAACGCGAGCATCATGAGCATCAGCTGGGAGGCTCTGAGCCCTTGTGCCGCAGGCGAACCCCCGAACACGAGCATCACGAGCATCAGCTGGGCCTTTGTGCCGGAAGCGAACCCCCAAAACGCGAGCATCATGAGCACTTGTGTCGCAAGCGACCCCCCGAAAGCCAGCATCATGAGCATCAGCTGGGCCTTGTGCCGGAAGCGAACCCCCAAAACGCGAGCATCATGAGCATCAGCTGGGAGGCTCTGAGCCCTTGTGCCGCAAGCGACCCCCCGAAAGCGAGCATCATGAGCATCAGCTGGGCCTTGTGCCGGAAGCGAACCCCCAAAACGCGAGCATCATGAGCATCAGCTGGGCCTTGTTCCGGAAGCGAACCCCCAATACGCGAGCATCATGAGCATCAGCTGGGAGGCTCTGAGCCCTTGTGCCGCAAGCGACTCCCCGAAAGCGAGCATCATGAGCATCAGCTGGGCCTTGTGCCGGAAGCAAACCCCCAAAACGCGAGCATCATGAGCATCAGCTGGGCCTTGTGCCGGAAGCGAACCCCCAAAACGCGAGCATCATGAGCATCAGCTGGGAGGCTCTGAGCCCTTGTGCCGCAAGCGACCCCCCGAAAGCGAGCATGGCCTTGTGCCGGAAGCGAACCCGCCCTTGTGCCGCAGGCGAACCCCCGAACACGAGCATCATGAGCATCAGCTGGGCCTTGTGCCGGAAGCGAACCCCCAAAACGCGAGAATCATGAGCATCAGCTGGGAGGCTTTGCGCCCTTGTGCCGCAGGCGAACCCCCGAAAGCGAGCATCATGAGCATCAGCTGGGCCTTGTGCCGGAAGCGAACCCCCAAAACGCGAGCATCATGAGCATCAGCTGGGAGGCTTTGAGCCCTTGTGCCGCAGGCGAACCCCCGAACACGAGCATCATGAGCATCAGCTGGGCCTTGTGCCGGAAGCGAACCCCCACAACGCGAGCATCATGAGCATCAGCTGGGAGGCTTTGAGCCCTTGTGCCGCAGGCGAACCCCCGAACACGAATCAGCTGGGCCTTGTGCCGGAAGCGAACCCCCAAAACGCAAGCATCATGAGCATCAGCTGGGAGGCTTTGAGCCCTTGTGCCGCAGGGGAACCCCCAAAACGCGAGCATCATGAGCATCAGCTGGGCCTTGTGCCGGAAGGAAACCCCCAAAACGCGAGCATCATGAGCATCAGCTGGGAGGCTTTGAGCCCGTGTGCCGCAGACGAACCCCCGAACACGAGCATCACGAGCATCAGCTGGGCCTTGTCCCGGAAGCGAACCCCCAAAACGCGAGCATCATGAGCATCAGCTGGGAGGCTTTGAGCCCTTGTGCCGCAGGCGAACCCCCGAACACGAGCATCACGAGCATCAGCTGGGCCTTGTGCCGGAAGCGAACCCCAAAACGCGAGCATCATGAGCATCAGCTGGGAGGCTTTGAGCCCTTGTGCCGCAGGCGAACCCCCGAACACGAGCATCACGAGCATCAGCTGGGCCTTTGTGCCGGAAGCGAACCCCCAAAACGCGAGCATCATGAGCATCAGCTGGGAGGCTTGGAGCCCTTGTGCCGCAAGCGACCCCCGAACACGAGCATCATGAGCATCAGCTGGGCCTTGTGCCGGAAGCGAACCCCCAAAACGCGAGCATCATGAGCATCAGCTGGGAGGCTTTGAGCCCTTGTGCCGCAGGCGAACCCCCGAACACGAGCATCACGAGCATCAGCTGGGCCTTTCTGCCGGAAGCGAACCCCCAAAACGCGAGCATCATGAGCATCAGCTGGGAGGCTTTGAGCCCTTGTGCCGCAAGCGACCCCCGAACACGAGCATGATGAGCATCAGCTGGGCCTTGTGCCGGAAGCGAACCCCCAAAACGCGAGCATCATGAGCATCAGCTGGGAGGCTTTGAGCCCTTGTGCCGCAGGCGAACCCCCGAACACGAGCATCACGAGCATCAGCTGGGCCTTGTGCCGGAAGACAACCCCCAAAACGCGAGCATCATGAGCATCAGCTGGGAGGTTCTGAGCCCTTGTGCCGCAAGCGACCCCCCGAAAGCGAGCATCATGAGCATCAGCTGGGCCTTGTGCCGGAAGCGAACCCCCAAAACGCGAGCATCATGAGCATCAGCTGGGAGGCTCTGAGCCCTTGTGCCGCAAGCGACCCCCCGAAAGCGAGCATCATGAGCATCAGCTGGGCCTTGTGCCGGAAGCGAACCCCCAAAACGCGAGCATCATGAGCATCAGCTGGGCCTTGTGCCGAAAGCGAGCATGGCCTTGTGCCGGAAGCGAAGCCGCCCTTGTGCCGCAGGCGAACCCCCGAACACGAGCATCATGAGCATCAGCTGGGCCTTGTGCCGGAAGCGAACCCCCAAAACGCGAGAATCATGAGCATCAGCTGGGAGGCTTTGAGCCCTTGTGCCGCAGGCGAACCCCCCGAAAGCGAGCATCATGAGCATCAGCTGGGCCTTGTGCCGGAAGCGAACCCCCAAAACTCGAGCATCATGAGCATCAGCTGGGAGGCTTTGAGCCCTTGTGCCGCAGGCGAATCCCCGAACACGAGCATCATGAGCATCAGCTGGGCCTTGTGCCGGAAGCGAACCCCCAAAACGCGAGCATCATGAGCATCAGCTGGAGGCTTTGAGCCCTTGTGCCGCAGGCGAACCCCCGAACACGAGCATCATGAGCATCAGCTGGGCCTTGTGCCGGAAGCGAACCCCCAAAACGCGAGCATCATGAGCATCAGCTGGGAGGCTTTGAGCCCTTGTGCCGCAGGCGAACCCCCAAACACAAGCATCATGAGCATCAGCTGGGCCTTGTGCCGGAAGCGAACCCCCAAAACGCGAGCATCATGAGCATCAGCTGGGGGGCTTTGAACCCTTGTGTCGCAGGCGAACCCCCGAACACGAGCATCATGAGCATCAGCTGGGCCTTGTGCCGGAAGCGAACCCCCAAAACGCAAGCATCATGAGCATCAGCTGGGAGGCTTTGAGCCCTTGTGCCGCAGGCGAACCCCCAAAACGTGAGCATCACGAGCATCAGCTGGGCCTTGTGCCGGAAGGAAACCCCCAAAACGCGAGCATCATGAGCATCAGCTGGGAGGCTTTGTGCCCTTGTGCCGCAGGCGAACCCCCGAACACGAGCATCATGAGCATCAGCTGGGCCTTGTGCCGGAAGCGAACCCCCAAAACGCGAGCATCATGAGCATCAGCTGGGAGGCTCTGAGCCCTTGTGCCGCAGGCGAACCCCCGAACACGAGCATCACGAGCATCAGCTGGGCCTTGTGCCGGAAGCGAACCCCAAAACGCGAGCATCATGAGCATCAGCTGGGAGGCTTTGAGCCCTTGTGCCGCAGGCGAACCCCCGAACACGAGCATCACGAGCATGAGCTGGGCCTTGTGCCGGAAGCGAACCCCCAAAACGCGAGCATCATGAGCATCAGCTGGGAGGCTTTGAGCCCTTGTGCCGCAAGCGACCCCCGAACACGAGCATCATGAGCATCAGCTGGGCCTTGTGCCGGAAGCGAACCCCCAAAACGCGAGGGGCCTTGTGCCGGAAGCGAACCCCCAAAACGCGAGCATTATGAGCATCAGCTGGGAGGCTCTGAGCCCTTGTGCCCCCGAAAGCGAGCATCACGAGCATCAGCTGGGCCTTGTGCCGCAAGGGAACCCCCAAAACGCGAGCATCATGAGCATCAGCTGGGAGGCTTTGAGCCCTTGTGCCGCAAGCGACCCCCCGAACACGAGCATCATGAGCATCAGCTGGGCCTTGTGCCGGAAGCGAACCCCCAAAACGCGAGCATCATGAGCATTAGCTGGGAGGCTCTGAGCCCTTGTGCCGCAAGCGACCCCCCGAACACGAGCATCACGAGCATCAGCTGGGCCTTGTGCCGGAAGCGAACCCCCAAAACGCGAGCATCATGAGCATCAGCTGGGAGGCTCTGAGCCCTTGTGCCGCAGGCGAACCCCCGTAAGCGAGCATCATGAGCATCAGCTGGGCCTTGTGCCGGAAGCGAACCCCCAAAACGCGAGCATCATGAGCATCAGCTGGGAGGCTCTGAGCCCTTGTGCCGCAAGCGACCCCCCGAACACGAGCATCATGAGCATCAGCTGGGCCTTGTGCCGGAAGCGAACCCCCAAAACGTGAGCATCATGAGCATCAGCTGGGAGGCTTTGAGCCCTTGTGCCGCAAGCGACCCCCCGAACACGAGCATCACGAGCATCAGCTGGGCCTTGTGCCGGAAGCGAACCCCCAAAACGCGAGCATCATGAGCATCAGCTGGGCCTTGTGCCGGAAGCGAACCCCCAAAACGCGAGCATCATGAGCATCAGCTGGGAGGCTCTGAGCCCTAGTGCCGCAAGCGACCCCCCGAACACGAGCATCATGAGCATCAGCTGGGCCTTGTGCCGGAAGCGAACCCCCAAAACGCGAGCATCATGAGCATCAGCTGGGAGGCTCTGAGCCCTTGTGCCGCAAGCGACCCCCCGAACACGAGCATCACGAGCATCAGCTGGGCCTTGTGCCGGAAGCGAACCCCCAAAACGCGAGCATCATGAGCATCAGCTGGGAGGCTTTGAGCCCTTGTGCCGCAAGCGACCCCCCGAACACGAGCATCATGAGCATCAGCTGGGCCTTGTGCCGGAAGCGAACCCCCAAAACGCGAGCATCATGAGCATCAGCTGGGAGGCTTTGAGCCCTTGTGCCGCAAGCGACCCCCCGAACACGAGCATCACGAGCATCAGCTGGGCCTTGTGCCGGAAGCGAAGCCCCAAAACGCGAGCATCATGAGCATCAGCTGGGAGGCTTTGAGCCCTTGTGCCGCAGGCGAACCCCCGAACACGAGCATCACGAGCATCAGCTGGGCTTTGTGCCGAACTCGAGCATCATGAGGATCAGCTGGGAGGCTCTGCTTCGACTGTGACTTTGACTGAAATGGCCGCTACATCTGCCGCTGGGGCTTCTGCTACTGCTACTCACGGTTCCCAAAAAGAACGAACTGCGTTGTTGTGGCCTCTGATTCGACTCCCTGCGGCTTAGTAGGTTTGGAACGTGGTGTTTGGGAATAGAAGCGGCAGCACCCAAGTCATTCCGGCACTCTGTAACAATTCATGTGAGTTCACCATCGCAGACCCTTCTCCCTACCATTGGGCCTGTGTGCCCTTGATGATCACCGTGTGGGCAGGCAAGTTGACGCCTTAGGCATCTCTGGTCACAACCCAATCACCTTGTGAGATGCCCTGTTGGCCAAGCATAGTTGCTTGAGGGCCTGAAGGGAGTAACCCGAAACCCTAAGCCCTAAACGATAGCCCCCAAACCCCAAACTGAGCAATCGAATTTAAAGGAACACTGGGTCGCCCACCCCACGCCAGGGTGGCTGTGGACACGAGGACTTGGATGTGGCGATCGGCGTACAAGTCCTGTTCCGCGCTGTGGAGAAGGGACGCGAAGCCAAACCCCGGGGCACTACCCGAGCATCATTTTGAGGATTCCTAGCTCACTACAACAAAGAAGTCCCTGGACCAACTCCACAAAGCCGCCAGCATGTGCCCTCGATTACCCGAAACCCTAAACCCTAAACCCTAAGCCCTAAGCCCTAAACCCTAAACCCTAAACCCTAAACCCTAAACCCTCTCGGAGCACCTCCACCAGCTTTCTGTCGGCCCTCGGAAGTCCGGCGTGGTGCACGGCGAAGCCGTAGGGCAGCAGGTCCTGCACCTCCCAGGATGGAAATCTGGTGAAAGAGGTGAGAGGACTCCCTAGAGGTATTTAGGGTTTAGGTTTTAGGGTTTAGGGGTTAGGGTTTAGGGTTTAGGGCTCAGGGCAGTTTTCAGCACGAAATGAAATGCAAATGGCGTTGGAATCTGGATTTCGGGACGTTCACCTGTCTTGCTGGAGGCACGCCCTCGCACACCTTGCCTCTGGCGTCTTCATCTGCTGAGCCTTCGGCGGCACCAGATTCTTCTGTTGTCATTATTATTACTATTCTGATTCTGATTCTTCTTGTTGTTATTGGTAGTGGTATTATTGTGTGCATTACTAATATTATTCTTTTCGTAGCATTGTCATTGTGGTTATTCTTATTATTGTTATGACATCGGAGCCATTGCGCCCAGGATTAAACAAAGGCATCGGTCAGACCTGCCTCTGTCTGCAAAATCTCTCGGGATGCTGAATCCTCCTGCAAGAACTTGGCCAGGGTGTCCTTGGCTGCGGGATCTGCTGCACGGTGCCAGGGCTGCTTGGTTTTCAGGGTCCGGATACCTCGAGTCTAACTTGCCTGTCAGCCTCAGATGCTTCAGGGCCCTTGGAAGGACTCAACAAGGACCCCGCCCAAATCTCCACCCCCGGGCCGAGACACGTTTTGCATCGCCAGGTCTCGCAGGGTCTGCGCCTCGGAAGTCGGGGACCTTGAGGTCTGTGGCCTTCATCCTTCTCGGCGCCAACTGAAGCCCAAAAAACTCGGCTTGATACAAAGACCCGTTCGCCGAGAATCTACAGTTACAACCACCACGGCCTTTGAATCTCACGAGGCTTAGGCCGTCTTGACTGTCTCCTTGCGGGAATGGACGAAGATGAGAACCTGGCACAAACAACAGACACTTATGGCTGATGGCGCAAGAGCAACTGTCTCAAAGCAGGCTCTTGAGATTCGCTGGTTCCCAGCGCCTGATTCTTTCCGGCGTTCTCCATCAGCTTCTCATAGCACACCTGCGATGAGCACTGCCAGCGAACGAGGCAGGAACCGAGGGCTGTGGAGGAGCGTACGAATCCTTAAGAAGGAAATGCAATGCCCCTAGATGCCCAACACTTCGTAAGGGCAGGGTCGTCAGCACTGGGGAACGGGGGGGGAAAGGGCGGTGCCCCACGCCTCATTCATGGTGTTGAACCGCTTGATGGCCTTCTTGTCCGTGACACCTCAAAGGTCAGAAAGCCTTCAAAGCCGGGTCTCCTATGTACCGGAGTGTGAAGATGTGCCAAAAAAAATTCCACAGTCTGCAGCAACACCAGGAACAGAACACCACGCAGATCTGGTCTCGACACGTTTGACCAAGTTCTTTTGCTGGTGGATTCCTGCTCGAACTGCCTCAAAATCTTCGAATCCAACTCAAGGCCCGGGCCAATGTAGGTCTGCTCCAAGGGCACCGGCCGGTAGTGATTCCCAAAGTAGTGAAGGCCCTTCTCTGGGTTAACCTGCACTCCAAACGTCGGAGACCCGTCTCTCTCAACAGGGATGGTCGTTCGAAGATTCGAAAACCCTCTGTGCCCAAGAAGGTATTGAAGAAAGAATGTGCAAAGAGACAGGCTCCTGAGCCAAGACCCCACGGACCGACACGACACGCAGAAGCTATCGCGTTAAACGCTCTTTCCCGATGTCTTGCAGCAACTCCTACAAAGTGTAAGTCATGCAATGATCCCATGAGACCACAGAATAGGAACTGCGATACGCAGCCTAAAGGGTCTCGCCACCGGGGCCTCGGAGACTTGCCGAGACTTGCCCCCCCCCCCCCCCTTGCGCGAGCGCTGATGTTCGGTTTCCGAGACTTTGGGAACCCCTAAACCCGAAACCCTAAACCCTAAACCCTAGCTGCGTGCAGGCCGGGAACCCGCAGGAAGATGGCAACGTCTTCATAGTTGGGCAGCGTCGCCGACAGGCCGACGAGCCGGATGTGCTCCTTGGAGGAGGGAACTCTCCCAAAAAACTCTCCAAAAGCCCTGACACTTCCTCTGCTGAACTTCTGCCTTCATTCGATCTTTGGACTTCAACTCCGGGACCCCTGAAAAGACCTCACCGAGAACCCTGAACTCTCCCAAACCTCGAAAAACCTCCCGATGTCCTGAGTGGTCTCGATTTGCCGGATGGTTCGGGCCACGATCGCCTCGAGCACCGGTCCACGGCTGTCGTGGAGCAAGTGGATCCTGCACAAGGCTACGGAGGGCGGGCGACCCCCTTTCACTCCGAAGTCTGGGAGTTCCGGCGGTCTTCTGGCTTTGGCTTCCAGGGGTTTCTGGCACTCTTGTCTCTCAGCATCCAGGCGCAAGTGGGGGTAGTTCTGGGCCTTGAGCTTTTGGGATGCTGTTCGCAGGATACGACTGAAGATTCCGGTCATTTCGCACATCCTCCATGAAGGTCTCAAGGCATATAACGGCCAACGGGTTAACACTCGTGCAATCCTGACTCCACGCTTCGCTGATCATGCCTAGATAACGTACGGCAATTTCAGGGCTTTGCGAAGAACTGTCTCACGTAGATGCTGCAGTTACCAGGGGTCGGGCTCGTCGATGATGACGAGGCGCACGAGCTGCGTATATGCACCTCAGTTGGGACAGCTGTAAATTAAAGACGGTTCGAGAAAGGTTGCTCCCGGGTGTCCAAAAGCTTCTGCAACATGAGCACTCAGCCATCGATGGCAAAAGTGTTCTACAGGACTCAATTGAGTGAGGCATCTACAAGAATGTGAAGGATGTAAAGCAATTCGGCATCGAGACCTACGCTACGCACAGGCGAGCTGTGCACTCCATTCTCCGACGGGCCAGCACCTCGAAGGACACCAAGTTCTGCCGAGAGAAGACTGAAATTTGGACGAGGAACCCGCCAGTCTAAATGCTGGACGAGAGAGAAAAACCATTCAACGGACAAGGTCACACAGGGCACTTGCGCGTTGCCCGCGCCGCATTGAGTTTGTGAGGGATGGAGACAGAGAGCTTGGGAGGGAGTGAAATCAGGATGGAGAGGAAGCCACCCGGTTAAGATAAGAGAGCGAGAGAGCCCCGGACCACTCCGGATCCTGGAAATTGGTCATTAGGATGACGGAAGCTCTGGATGCAAGCACCAGCTCTGTGCCAGAGATCTTTAGGCTTCGCCCAGAAGCGCAAGGCGCGGTCCCCTGCATGTTTAAGGGCTGCACGCTGGTCGCCCGCCTTGCGCGTGATGATGTCCCACCTGGAAAGGTGGACAATAGCAGTGATTCGTGGCAGCAGGAGCTCGGTGCCACTGCGATGTTGAAAGAACCATCAGCAAGATGCACAAGGTTTCGCAGCGCATCCCGAACATAAACCTGAAGAGCAACCGTACACCAAGAGCTATGTAGCAAAAGTCCGCGTGCCACTGAGAGTGCCGCTTCTCGGGCGTGGTAACGATGATCTGCGTCTCATCTATCTGTGCCTTGGTCAGGGCCGAAGGCTTTTCTCTTAAGATTTTTCTCGAAGATCCCGAAGAGCCCACGAAGCGGCCCAGACGGGAAACGCAGCACGCTGGATCGCCCTGGCCTTCGTGAGGTTGACGTCACCACTGAGCTCGCGGATTGTGACCTAGGACTAGGGTGGCTTTGACCTACGAGCGATTGCACAAAAACTGCCCCCCAACGACCAAGCTCTCAAGCTCTCGGCTAAACTGAACAGCTCCCCGAAAGGCGCTCCAAAGGTCCCGGCCCCGTAGGCTTTCTCCAAGCGCTGTGTGAAACTCTGGACCACCTCCTGCACCAGTGCCTGGAGCAGAGCTTTGGTGCGCATTGCCTCTACCTTACTTCGTATGGAGATGGTCCCTTGTTCAAGTATGAAAGCAGGGTAGCTTTCCGCATCGTAACCTTTTTGAGAAAAGGGAACTTCAGACAGTAGGAAGGACTACAAATGATCATGTCGAGAGGTCGTGTCTATGTGCACATGCATAGGATTGTACATGCACGAAACCGACAAGGCGCAAGAGGAACGATTGGGAGTATGTCTGAAAGGTGACGGAGATCACTGCCCATCCCTGGTTGCTCTGCTCCTGAACTGTCCGGACAGTCTCCGCGAGTTTCGAACCCGGGTTTGATTCTTTACCCGGAAAGACATTGTCTCATCTACCTCAGGCAATCAACCTGGGCAACAGCCCATACAGTCCTTTTAACCTTCAGATCCTTCTCATGCACACCGAAGAGGTGCGCGCTGAGCTTCTCATTGAACCCCCTCTCCCCACAAGTGCCAAAAACTCGAAGCTCCCAGCAAAGCCTCACACCGCCTCACACCCCTCATCTTCCATGATCCGAGATCGCCCCCCCCCCCCCCCCCCCCCCCCCCTCACACCCTAAACCCAAGACCCCAAACGCCTTCATGGGCGCAATGTAGACAATCTTGAAGCCCGCCAGGTCGAAGGATCCGTCCTACGCAAGGCATCTGATCTCCCAAGAGCGGCCTCATGCCATCTCATGCCCCCAAGCACTTAAGAAAGCACGGAAGAAAGCACCTTCAACCGGAACTGGTTCATGACATTCAGGATCGTGAGCATGGCCACGTTGGTCTTCCCACTGCCAGTGGGCGCGCAGACCTCACAGCGGGGGAGGCGGAGAGGCTTCTCAGCTGGGACAACGCCTTGCTAGCGGTGGCCGCCATTGCGGACACTCAGGCTTAGGCCAGCATGTTCTCATTGTGCTCATGGAAGGCCGTGGGGAACACCTGACCCAAAAGAGAGTCTGACGGGTCCGAAACCTCAGACCCTGCATCTCGGAGTTTAGGGTGTAGGGCCTGGGGTGACAACGCTCGGCTCCAAGCATTCCAGGTGTCGTTGGGGATTTTGCGCCCCCGGGATTCTTTTGAGAGGTGGGTACTCCAGGGAGTCTCTCTCCGGGGGGGTGGGATTTTGGGGCTGGGCACTCCTAACCGAGGAGTACACGAACAAATATCCCAACTCACATTTAACGGGCCTGGGGTTTGAAATTTGGGGTGTAGGGTTAAGGGCACTGAAAAGAGAAAAACCCAAAAAAAAACAACGGAGAGAAGCGCGGACCTTGCTCTGCACCGTGTTCAACTTTGTGGCTCCCGGGAAGGCTTCCTGGCACCACGTCGGGAGCTTCGACCTGGGAGGGGCTATGGCCTTGAGCACTAGGGGCGGTCTGGATGGCTTCGGGTCCCCGAACCCCAAAAGCACTAAAACCCTCAAGCCCTGAAGCCCAAAAAACCCTAGAGCCCTAGAGTCCTGAAACCCTAAAACCCTAAGGGGTTTAAGGCTTCAAGGCTGGAGGGGCCCCCCGCGCCCAGTTCATCTGGGTTTAGGGTTTAGGGTTGAGGGTCTTTCTCAGCCTCGGACTGCCCAACGGCCGGCACTAAGAACGCCCATGCGTGCGATCCCAGACAGCCCCCACGTGCAAAATATTGTAAAAGGGGGGGAGGTTACGAAAGTAGGGGGCCCCGAAAACAGACCCCTCCAAAGAGTAGGACTCCCTATCAGTAAGGACCCCAACAAGGTACCCCCAATTTCGGAAACCCTTAGCATCACTCTGTCACCTAATAAGAGGGCGGTGTTCAAAATTATGGTCCCTTTTTGGGGTACCTATTGTAATACGGCACGAAATATTTAGGGCACCCCAAAAGGGGATCATAATTTCGACAACCACCCTAATAAGAACCCTAAACCCTAAACCCTAAACCCTAAACCCTAAACCCTAAACCCTAAACCCTGAACCCTAAACCCTAAACCCTAAACCCCAAATAAGAGCCCTGGGCATCGCCGGGCGGCAGCGGGATCAGGTCGTCTGGGGCGATGTCGGGATGCTTGAAAGGCTTGACGTGGACTTCCTCGTAGCCCTGGCGTGGCTTGGCGATGAGGGGTTTAGGGTTTAGAGTTTAGAGTTTAGGGTTTAGGGTTTAGGGTTTAGGGTTTAGGGCTTAGGGGTGATAGGGCTGTTGGGGGCTTTCATTGGGTCTCGAGGTGGGTGCAAGAATGGTGCAGTTGAAGCATCTCCTGAAGCCAGCAGGGAGGGTGCCTTAAGGTGTATTAGGGTGCAGTTGGGCGCATGGGCGTATACAGGGAGTCCCTTCAGGAAGCAACAGCACCCTGCAGTCAACGGGACGCGTCCACTGAGCCTTCTTCTGCACACGGAAGGACCCTGTTGGCAGCTGGCACTTTGCGTTGGCCATGAAGTGGCTGCCTTGGCTTCAAGGAGGACCCCCAGAGATGCGAGACTTGCAGTGTGGAAGCTGCAAACGAGACAGAAATTCTGTGCGCTGGTGGCCTTCGCAGGTTGACGATGCGTTTGCGCGGTTTGGGGGTGAAGATGCGCGCAGACTATGGACGGTCCATACCGCTTGGGGTGGAAACATCCTTCTGATTTTGGACTGCTGGGTTAGTCCAGGTAGGTGCCGGACCCCGTCCGAAGGACAAGCTGTCCAAGTCCAGCATGTGCGAGGGCTTCTTCTGCCTTAGCCGAGCAAGGTGGCAATGCACCCCCCAGATCTTCGAGGCACCCCCTTCTGCGTGGAAATGAGAACTTTCCTCGATCCCCAATAAACCTCTCTGGGGCCCCCGGGCTGTTCCTCCGCCACCCTGGCGCGGCCCCTGCCACCCAGCGCTTGGCCTTGCAGGGAACAGATCCAGAGGGCTCCACGGACTCCGCGGAAGCTCCCAAAGGGGGGGTTTCCAAGGCTCTGGAGGGGATGCTACTGATGCTACATGGTATCTACGTGATGCTAAGATGCTAACTCCCAAGGTTGCTCCGATTTGGCCCAGGGCTGTTTGGCTTGTCGTATTCTAAGTGGGAAACAGGCCGCCGCTGAAGCTCCCGCGGCCCCCCCGTGCCGGCACTTGCTTTGGAATGCGCATTACTGTGCTGGAGGGTGCCAAGCAACAGGGGTTTAAGGGTCTCAGTTCAGGGCTTCGGGTTCTAGACCCGAAAAGTAGACTGCTTCTCGTTAAGGGTGCCAAAAGGACACGAGTTTTAGATCTACTGCGTTTGCTAGAGCCTCTCATTGATGCCTTTGAAGGTTTAGGTTTCTGCGGTTTAGGGTTTAGGGTTTCGGGCTCAGGGCTTAGGGCTTCGGGCTTAGGGATTAGGTTGTTGTTTCTTTTTTTCGTTTTGTTTTTTTTGGGGGGGGTTCAGAATGCTTCCAACAGCCTCTGCGGAACGGACTTTTCGTTGCAGGCTTCAAAAGGTTCCAACATCTGGCCTTCGTCGTCCATGCCTCGCTCCTTCTCGCGAGCACCTGCACACGGCGCCGGGTCTTGAGCTTCCCTGCTCCGTATTGCAGCCTCCTGGCAAGCCACCCCTCCAGACTCCCCACCTTCCTGAAGTTCACAGGTTCCGGACGTCATGAAGCCACCAAGTGCAAATAAGCTGGGGCAACAACACAAATCCGAAAGTCCCACGCCCCTGGTGCTTGAGGATTCCGAAAGGCTTTGGAGAGACCCCCTTGCAGATCCGAGTCTTTAAGACCTCAGGGCCTCGAAGCTGCAGCTGTCGCACCTCCTTTCGCAGATCCCTCGGCAGGGAAGCGGTGGGATTTTGAACAGGAGCTTGGGGTTCGGTTTTTGCTTTGCTTTTCGCTAACCTGATCTGAAGACAAAGGTACCGAGTCTACATTGCGACTAAGACTAAGCTTAAACCCAAGAAACCTACACCGTGTCGGGCCCCGAGGCTAAAAATGCCCTGCAGGCTCCTCATCCCCCGAGCAGCCGCCACATACCCCCACCCTAAACCCTGAACCCTAAACCCTAAAAAAACCTCCGCTTTGTGCGCCTGTTGATGTCGCGCTCGCGATCCCGCTTCTTTGAGGCCTTGTCCAGCTCCTGTGAGAAAGATTCGTCTAAGGAGCTTCTCACACTTAGACCATCCCTCTGGAGGTCCCATACAAGAATCGACTCAGGAAGAACAAGAGCATGGGAGAAAAGTGCGCAGGGAGAAGAGATCCGCGCCTCCAGGACCGCCTGGGCCTCGGGGGTGTTGCGCATGTCTTCGAGCACGGCCGTCTTGTCCTCCTCGGTCTGCGCCTGACCCAGGCGGGTGCAGTACCTGCCGAGCAGTGGGCGCTGCGCATTTTTTTGGGCAAAGCGGTTGGGAGCCTGGGTGCTTGGGCCCATTGGGGGGTTGTGCAATCATGGCATGAATGCCCGACAACACACCACAAACTCGTACCACCGGGCACAGGATCTTCAGTCTGTTCTTCAGCAGCAGCTTCGTGAACTCGAAGTTCTCGTACTGCAGCACCTGCACGAGCCTCGCGGCGTGAAGCATCGTGAAGCTCCGTACGAGCCCTACGATACTAGCTCGTTCGGGGGGGGGGGGGGGCAGACGATCTCGAACATCTTTTCATTGTGCTTTTTTCTCACGTCTTTGCACAAGAGCTTGGCACGTGCATGTTCGGCTCAGCCTGTTCTCACACTGCTGCAGGTCTTTGATCGGAAGAATCGACAGGATCTCCTTCTCGGTGGCGATACACTTGTTGGGATCCTGCATCGTGGTCGGTCTAAGGACCCATCAATGGAATCAATCGAGTTGGACCCTGATCCTGGAAACATGTCTGCATCGAGGGGCCCACCAACAAGAAATTCCAACAAGGCGCGGGGTCTGTCTGTACTTTCGAGACCTTTGACATCGGGTAAAGAACCCAAGCCACAGAGCTTGCACCCCCATCTCCAAGGGGCACATCATCGTTTGCCCCAAAAACACCCAGAAGCCCCAAACCCTGAAAATGGACCCCGTGAAGAGCTGGGCTAGGGGCCTGGAAGATCTTGCCGAGCTCTCGCTGCAGCCTGCCACACAAAGAACATTGCAACTCGGAGCGACTTGATTCAAGGAGCTGAGCCATGTGTGGTGCGGTTCCCATTCCCCAAGTTTGGGGGCATGCATTCGGCGCCCATTCCCACCGGATTTCAGAGATTCTGCTTTCCAGCGAGCCCCACTCTTTCTGAGGAGCTCTTGAGGCGCATGGCAAGCGGTCTCTACCCAGCGAAGGGGCCCCCGAAAGGTCCCCGGTCCCTCGGCCCGCCTCTCCCTTTCTTTCTTTCTTGGGGGCATGGGGGAAATCCCCCCGCGCTGGCGCGCGCCCCGGTCCCGCGTTCAACGGTCTTGTATCTCACGCACTGCGACCGTATTGGCCGCTCTGCAGCCTCTCTTCTTCTTCTTCTTCTCCTTCTTCTTCTTCTACGGGGCTTAAGGGGAGTGACCCCCTGCAGCCTCTCTCTCTCTCTCTCTCTCTCTCTCGCTCGCTCTCTCTGTGTTCATCTTGGCGTCAGAATCGTTGGAATGGTGGAAAATGCTAGAGATCGGCCAGAGGCCCACCGCGGCCAACAAAGCCACACAGCAGCAAAACAGGGCCGGCCAGTGGGCATCAATCTTCTGGATGTCCACGTTGTACTTGTCTTCCTTCTTGGCTTCCTCCTGGGCGGTGCGCGCGACGCTTCGTGATCACTTCTGGACTCTCCTTCTCTCCCCTTCCAGACCTGCGCCTTAGCGAGGCAGCTAGGCCTTCCCTTGGGGGCCCCTTGGCTGAGCTCTCAAGTCGGGGTCCTCCTCGTCATCCGCTTCAAGCAGGGTGGCATGGATGCCCCGATCATCCCTGACATACGTCGCCATGTTTTCACAGATTCTCAGAAGATGACCACATGATTCTACACATTGGTATTCAGCCTTAGGCTCGCTGGTCTACTGCTGCTTGGGAACAGGTCCAAGCTTTCTTGGAGGGGCTCGGGTTCGCGCCTCTTAAGTAGGGCATTGTCACAAACCTGGAGAAAGACCTGGAAAACCGACTGGAGCGAAACACCTAGACATCAAAGGTGGATCCTGGATCCCCCCCGCATCGGTCAGGCACTCCACAAACTTAGACTCTCCAACTGCCCTCGTGTCAGCCCAGCGCCTGTCGTCATCCATCTTGCCGCCCTCCTCGTCGTCATCATCGTCATCGTCGTCTCCCAGCTCGTGGATGTAGTCGCCACCCTGTGCGAAGGAAAAGCGCTTGAAACAATGCAGAGGAGGGGCATGCGGCCTTTGGGCCTTTGGGTCCAAAGAGTTCACACGCCGTGAGGCAATGTGAAGCCCAGAGTCGGATAAACTCTCACGCCTCCCCCCCCCCCGGTTGAGTTCAGTGAGAGCGGTGGAGAAGTCAGATGCGTGTACATCTGAGATACAGTTCAAATATGTTGCAACGTAAATCGAACCTAAGGCCGAGCTGCCTCATCCTCGTCATCTTCGTCGAAAACGACAGCAACACCCGCGGCGTCGTCTAAGCCCTCCTTCGTTCGCACGGTGTCGTCCTGCAAAGGGGCGTGCATGCGCCTCGTCACGTCGTCCCCCTAAGAGTCCAATTGCCATGGCACCGCTGCTTAACTGCTCAGATTCGTTAGTGGCAAACAACAACACATTCATACGCGCCGCGCTCACTTGATTTCTTTGCTGCGGCCTGCTCTTCATCCTCGACATCTGCACCGAAGTCGGTAATCTGCTTGGCAAGCCTGCTAAGACAAGCATCAAAGGGCACATCTTCGAAACTTTCCCAGGAGCCCTCAGAAGAAAACTCTCCGAAGCTGCACCCGGCCTACTTTTTCGCCGTCCCCTTCATCATTCTTCACAGCCGGACAAACTTAAAGCCGCATGCCGAAAAAAAACCGGAAAACCTGAAGAGCTCCGCGAAGTACTCGTCCGTGATGGATCCGAGCACTTCCTCCACGTCCTTCCAGGGTTCGCGGCTGAAGTTCGCGCGAATTCTGTGGTCTTGTCCGCAGCGTAGAGGCGCGCAGTGTGCCATAGTATGCCATAGTTCTCTAGTTCGCCACGGCTTCCAGGAGAGAGGCGCCCAGAACAAGCAGACCAGGATCTGGTCTGTTTCCCCAAGCCTTTCTGTCTGCCTCCCCTTTCCGCCCTCTGGGGCCCAAAAAACGCTCTCCGAGACGACCCCCTGATATTTTTGGGATCTCTGCGACCCCTCAAAATTTTGAGAATCTTGGGACCCTTGGTTTTTTGGGCCGGAACCACCGCCGCTAACCTTCCTCACCCTAAACCCTTCTGGGAGCTTTCTCGAACCCTTCGGACCATGCGCGCACAACACCTCGCGCGGGCCAGCCCTTGCCGAGGCGGCGCACGCAATCGTCTCAACTAGATGGGAGCACAAATCAGCGCTACCCTTGCCGAGCTGGGCAGGTTTCCTTCTTCCGCTCGGAGTCCAAGACGCCCTCTGTCTTGATGGCAGCTAGCACCTTCCGTGTGAGGGGGTCAGCTGCCCACAAAGTTGCCACAATGACCTACAATGACCTACAATGACCCGGATGTGGTATACTACAATACAGAGCATCAGCTTTGCGACCTCAAATGCTGTGTCGGGTTGATTCCAGAGGAGAAGAGGCCAGCACTGAAGTAAACCAGTCCCAAGCCTCATGTGGGAGCTTTCTGCAAAGGTGAGGATTAGGAGGTCTAGTTGGGGTGCCACTATTTCGTGAAAGGCCAATATACTCAAAGCCCTGTGTCTGCGCCCTCCAGGCAAGGGCTTGGTCCCTGAAATTTGCGCCTCGTCTGCGGCACCTCGCAGGACGTCTGGCGCCTGGCAACTTCTGATCCCTAAACCCTCAACCTAAAGGGTTTAGGGCTTAGGGCTTAGGATTTGGGGTTTAGGGTTCAACCCTAAACCCCTGAACCCTAAACCGCTTTGGTGGCCTGGGGGGACTCTGGGAGTTGAGATTTGGAACCTTGGGAACTCTAGGTTTCCTATGCTTGGAACCTTGGGAACCAGACACCCAAAAAACCCCCCCAAAGGGGTTTAGGGCTTAGGGTTTAGGGTTTAGGGTTTAGGGTTTAGGGTTTAGGGTTTAGGGTTTAGGGTTTAGGGTTTAGGGTTTAGGGTTTAGGGTTTAGGGTTTAGGGCACTTCTCCAGGTCCCAGCTCCGCCTGATCTCCCAGGGGCTGCTGGAGACCTCTGCAGCTTCGGCCCAGGGAAGGGACGCCAAGCAACATCTGCACACGCAACAGCTTCTCTGATCCTTTTCATCTGCCCCACGGGCAAGGCAAATCGGCAGTCTAAACGACCTTTGACACAGAAGGCCTTGTCATACCATCTCATACCTTGTAATGCCTTATAATATCTTATACTACCTCAAAATACCTCATAATACCTTACAAAACCGTATACTACCTCATGATACCTTATAATACCTCATAATACCTGGAACCTCAACTACCTCATAATTGTCCTTGCTGTGTCCTTGGGGCGCCACGGTTCAGCAGCATCTCGTAGACCGCTTTGGTCTGTGCGGTTCGTGGGCGGTAGATCTGCATCTCCGTCACATCCTTTGTGGGCTGCGGGAGCCTTCTCTCGAGGCTTAGGGTGCCTTTGAAGGTTCCTTGACTCTCCCTCCCTACCTCCCTCTCTCCTTCTTTTTCTTTTTTTCTCTTCTCTCTCTCTCTCTCTCTCTCTCTTTCTTCTTCTTCTTCTTCTTCTTCTTCTTCTTCTTCTTCTTCTTCTTCTTCTTCTTCTTCTTCTGCTGGGCATGAAGGAGCCCCGCTCTCTCTCTCTCTCTCTCTCATTTTTCTCTCTCCCTCTTGCTCTTGCTGAGCAAAGATTGGGGAAGCTGAGCCCCACACCGTGCTGAGCACCGTCTCCCCCTTGTTGATGTCCATCTTCGCCTGTCTCACACAGCAGAGACCTCTGGAGCTCAACCCAGGTTCCAAGAAAAGACGACGACGGCGGGAGGGGGCAGGGGGGGGGGCCTTCTTGTTCACCACGTCCTCCTCTTTTCGCTTCTCCTCAATTTCAAGAGGACTCTTTTCAACTGTTGGAGGGCTCTTCATAAGGGCGCCCCGAAGGTTTTCCCACTTTGGGCCTCTTGGCGCTTCTTCTTCTTCTCCTTGAACTCTTCGATCTCCTGACGACGGGACTCTCATGGGCTCCCGGAGCCAGCCTACTTCTGAGGGCGGCGTGACAACAAAATAAAGAGAAAAAAGACTGTAGTGGCCGAAACAACTGCGAAGTACGGGCACGTCAGGCCACTGGCCGTCGAGGTGAACTCTGTCCTTGGGCTTGTCGTAGTGCACCAAGTCGCCCATCCTTGCGTTGCAGAGCCCTCTCTTCGGGATGCCGAGAGAAAAGAGGAAAGCAAATTTAAAAAAAAAAGCTCTCTCGGGAAGTGGCTTCTGATAGACTCGGCCGCGCAAGGACTCCGGCTCGCCTGTGCGATGGCAAAACGGACAGGAGAGAACGACCCCAAGAGAAAACCTTGGCCCTCACCCTTCAACCCTCTTGGCCCGGCCTGTGGGCTCATTCTGTGAGGGAGCCGCACCTTCTCGCTGCAACACCTGGGAAGCTCGCAAGCGACTCAATGACCTCTTAGTCCAGTCTTGGCTTCCTTTTTGGGAGATTCTCAGGCTTCAAACTTTGAAGGCAAGCTTTTGCACCTCTGCAATGCTGGGGCTGCCGCCAAGTTGGAGTTTGTGCCTCAGGCGGACTCAAGCAATCTCAAATATACTGTCAATTGTTGATACAGGTGCAGTTCTCGCCCCATGGCGACCCCCCCGTCATGCCCAGGCAAGGTGCGGTATTCGAAACGCTTGAACTTCGCGAACTCCTCCGCCATGGAGCCAGTCGCCTGCCAGCAGCCAAAAAGCCCCAAGCGAAAGCCCAAAGAACTTGCGTGGGGCTCCCGGCCTCGCTTCGGGCCGGGGAAACGCGGCTCTACTGGCTCAACTATAACTACAGGGTAAACTACAGACTCCCTGACCCTGGATAGCCAGTTGCAAGGCGCAGGGCGCAGCATCGCTCCGTGCAAAGAAGGCATGGAAGGTGGAGGTGCAGTTCGCGGATGTTTACAAAGTTGCATCCTGGAGAGATTGCATATCCTTGCAAGCCTTGCACAATGAGGCACATGCATTGCTCTCGCGTCGTTGCGCCAACAGAATCGGCAGCAATCGGGTGTCCTCGGTTGGAGGATCTTCGCAAGGCTGGGCGCCCAGCCTCCTTGGGGAAGGATCGCTTTGCAAACTCTGCGTTTGCAGAGGGCCGAATTAAGCACTTCGAGCGCTGAAGCATGGAATTTTACCTGCCCAGCGCTGGATGGGTGGTTCGTGGCCTGCTTGGCAAGGCTCGGAAACCAAGGTGGGGGCGCAGACACGTCTGAATCAAAGGGCCATGAATGCTGCCCGAAGCGGCCATTCTACTCATTCTATTCTTCTCTGCCTCTTGTGGGCATGCAACGCAGCTGTCAAGAGCATTCTACACAACCAGTCGCACGGGATGGCTCATTTCCCAAGAACTTGGCCTGTCACATGCACATCTGTCATGCTGCTTCCGAGCCCTGAGGAGAAAGAGGCACCCCTGACACAACACAGGCCACGAGCTGCCAGATACTAACGGAAGCGCCATGCACTAGACCCTGAACCCTAAATCCTAAACCCTGAACCCTAAACCCTGAACCCTAAACCCTAAACCCTAAACCCTTAACCCTAAACCCTGAACCCTAAACCCTAAACCCTAAACCCTTAACCCTAAACCCTGAACCCTAAACCCTAAACCCTAAACCCTAAACCTAACGAGGGCCTGTCACAGGCACTGCGGGAGGCAGTGCCGGAGGCAGAGGAAGACCAGTCACGGGAAGGAGATCCCCGAGCGACTCCGGGGCCTTCCAGCGTTCTTTGGGGTTTAGGGTTTAGGGTTTGGGGTTTAGGGTTTGGGGTTTAGGGTTTGGGGTTAGGGTTTAGGGTTTGGGGTTTAGGGTTTGGGGTTTAGGGTTTGGGGTTAGGGTTTAGGGTATAGGGTTTAGAGTTTAGGGTTTAGGGTTTAGGGATTGGGGTTTGGGTTTTAGGCTGCAGGTTGTGGCTAAGAGGGCTTCGGGTTTGGGGGATTTCTCGGCACTGATTCCAGAGAGACGAGGGGCCAGACTGGGGCAGGGTCTCTTGCAACCATTCCGTGCACGCTTCCAGAGTGCGAGCTGCCCATCTTCCCAGGACGAGTAGGCCGTGACCTGACGGCATCCCGCAGGCATCTAGCCGATCTACCTTCAATAGCTTTCCCCAATGATGACATATGATGACATATTGAGACCACACGCCTCTGGGAATGAATCCGGCATGGTGAATCTTCCCGTGTCCATGAGCCACTTCGTGCCATAGTAGCCTCAGCTGAAGTAATTGACAATCCCAAGTCGTTCTCCAGATGCTTTCCAGATGATGCTTTCCAGATGCTTTCTGCTGAGGGACACTCTTCAGTCGGTCTCGCCGTGTGGCAAACAAAAGTATCTGGGGACGGAAGCTTTGGAGGATTCAGCCTCAGTACACACAGGAGCCCCCTGGGCACGAACGCACACCGCCTTTCTTCGCCTCAGAGAATTCTGAACCGACGAACAAACTCACCAAGCTCTTTTAAGGCTCTGTTAAACGACGTCCAGGCGTCAGCTCCTGTATGGCCGGAACGCCCACCACGTAGCGCAGCTTCGTCGCAGAAGAGCAATTGGTACTGGCAGCTGGTGCTCCCTCTGAGCAGCTCTTGTGACTCTCTCCCAGGGTCCTCTTAGCTCTCTTGGCCTCTTGGGTTTTGGGTCTCCTGGCCAGTTCTCTCAATTCGCGTCGGCCCGCAGGCGTCTGGAACAAGCAGACCTAGCCTCCACCCCCCCAACATCTCACCACCCACCCGCCCCGGTTCCCTGTGGATTTTGTGGAATTTGACAGGGTTTCACAGAGAAGCCTGTCTCTGCTGCCTGGCCGGCAGCTCTTTGCTCCGGTCGCTTTCCGTATCTGAAACTCCGACATGGAAACTCCGAGGTGGGTCGCCCAAGCGTCTCGACAATGGTGGCGGTTTGTTTCGAGTTTCCCGTTCTGAAACGTAGCAGGTGCGGGTACACCCGATGAAGGACGCCGGATGGAGGACTCCCGAATGCAGAGAAACAATTCCTGTGTGCGCTCTGCCGCTCTGCCTGGCGTTGGCCGGGATCTCGACGGAGCAAGGTGCAGGGCAGTCAGCTTGACCTCAGCATTCGTTTTTTTTGACAGATCGGCCACTCCTCAAGCTGCCTAAGGCGCCCACTCTCCATATGCAAGGCAGCCTGGAACTCCTGCCAGGCATGGACTTTAACATGTTGTGTTTGGAAGCTGGAGTCCTCGCGAGCTCGGACAGAGCCAGCCCCCAAAGTCCTTGAAGGATGATGTTGGGAGGAGTGCAGCCGCTGGCCTGCGTGCGACGCACCAGGCGCATGAATGCCGTGCACAGGCGCATGCGTGCCGTGGTGGGGGAGGCACTGTTTGTGCGATGTCAACTGGCGGTTTCCGAGGGAAGGTATCTTCGGATCCCTTGCAAGTCCAGCGGCCAGGAAGCATAGCCCATGCGGCGAGCACTGGTCATGAGGCGCGTCACCTCGACTTGATGGCCGGCGAGCGAACATCAATGGCCACAGAAACGCTTTTTGAAACCGGAGGGGGGCCTCGTCGAAGCATCTCCCCTTCTTGACGTCGGCGCACTTCTCCTTGCCGATGTGGAAGGGAATGGAGATGGAGGCCTGGGCATGCGCGCCACGCGGGCATTGCAGGCCATCTCTTTCGTCCACTTGTCACTCGGTGCCTCCACTGTCGACGGATATCCCAGAATGGCACCATCCTGTGTCCTCACACGGATTTCGAATTGAGCGACACTCACTGCTGCGTTGGGGGGGCTGTTGTCTCAGAGCAACTCTGGGCCCTTACCCCTTGCAACGACACTGCACCCTTGCAACGACACTGCTTTCAAGGAAGAGAGGAAGTGTCTCTTGCACGGCACAAAAGTCCCCGCAAGAAACCCCAAGAACTGTTGACCCTGAGCGCGACAGCGCAACCGTTGCACCGTTACCACACGTTGGGTTCTCCGTCCTTCTTGCAAAGCCATACAGGCGATAGTTGCCTTCCTCCAGCATCGAAGTCTTCAGCTTCGCACGGAAGCTTCCCGGTTCGCAGGCTTCCACCACATGCTCAATGACAGTCTGCGGCTCTTCGGCGATGTTGCCGTCGGATTTGGGACTGACCAAAGACTCCTTTCTGTTGCATCTTGAGAAGGGCTTTTCTGCACCCTCCCGATGTACAGTCAGCCAAAAGCAAACAAGTAGTTAGTGCGCTTATCATCCCAATTGTATCTCAACATACAAGGCCAAGATACTCTCGTCACAAACCAGTTGGCCCATGCATCCTGCTCTCCAGTGCAATGGGTCGCCTCAAGACACTCACACTCTCTCCTCGGCGGGGAGGGGAGCAAGCCGCGAAGCGCACGGAGAGCCGCTAGGACTGAGCCCAGTTGCGACTGCGTGCAGGTCCAGTTGGACTTCGGCGCCACGGTGCGCCGTAAACCCCAAGGGCACCGCTTTGTCGGAATCGACGAGGAACTTCTCAACGTGGATCCTGTGCCCCACATGCCTCGCCTTGCCTCGCCTTGCTTGGTTCTGTTCTTTCTTCTTTCCTCCATGACACTGAGGCTTTTGGCTTCCAAGGCTTTTGAATGACTGCTTTTCGGGAGCTTTCGGGTCTCCAGCTCCGAGCTTCATTGAAACAGAGACGTCTCTCATGGAGAGTACGGAGGGCTCCTGAAGGAAGTCTTGTCTATGGGGGCGAACATGTCGTAGAGAGGCTGCCCGATGTCGTTGAGATAGCCTTAGCAGATTGCTGGAGGCGCCGCTGCTCACAGCGTGTGTGGCAGGTGCAACTGCGGTGCAACTGCAGCTCCCTAACGCAACATTTCCGTACCAGGTACACATGTGTCTTCTCTTGCAAGAGCATGTAGTAGTACATTGTAGCATGTAACTGCTTCTTGGTGGCCCTGGACTGGGGCATTTCCCCCAGGCCACTCGTTGAGGAGGCCAAACCATGTCGCGGTCTTCTCCCATTTCCAGCCCCAGAGAAAGACCATGAATGCCACACACATGTCCTCTGATACACTGTGTACATCAGGACCAGGGGCAATATACTCAAAACTCAAAACTCGAAGCACCGGCTGCCTCGCTGCAAGGCAAGCGTCGTCGTCTATGCAAAGTTGCAGCGCGCGCTTTAAGAACTGCCCCTTCGCCGTGGACGACCTCAGAGGAAGCACACTACTCACGACTCATCATGCTTCAAGATTAAGGAGCAACATGGTCTCGAATGAGAGTTTTGCTCCTTGGGTCTGCTTCTCACACTCGGCCCGGGGCGGTTCCACCGGCGCCCCCCAAGATGTCTGAGGCACCTGACACTTGTAGGTCTGGAAGGCCCTGTCTTGTGATCTAAGAGCCCTAGGAGGGCTTTTTTTAGCCTCCACACACGAAGTAGAGGGATCGCGGCTGGGGAAGGATGCGAGTGCTTGTGGACTGGGGGGAGGGCGGTAGAGGGGGGTGAGCAAGGGCGTGCAGGGCGGGTTACCTGGGGTCAGGGTGACTGCACTCGAAGAAACCTATCCCGGGACTTGTGTCTTCACAGGCCACATGTCCAGGAAACCCGGTTGCCTGCCAAGGGCCGAGACCACCGACTTCGGTAAAGGCCTCAGAAGCTTCACTGAAATCAGGCGCACTACCGCCGCAGGGAGAGAGGAGCCACCGGGGGAACATCGAGAAAAACAAACCTGATATTGCATGCCATGGTCTTGGTATGTCGGGTGTACTGATGGCAGGCAAGACGGCTAAGAACACTGCCCACGGCTTGGTCCAACCAGCTTCACGCAGCCGCGCCCCGACATCTCGGATGTCGTTTCCTCGCCACTGGGATGGCAACTTCAGATGTTGATGTCTTTGGCACTATCAGGGACCTTCGGACATCTTCGGACACATAGAGGCCCCTGTGGCATCTGACGGGGACAATCCTGAGCCCCAAGTGTAAAAACCCATGAAGCCCCGTCCATAGATATTGGTGCCCAGGACATCGATTTGTGGGCAGATATCGGCCACCTTCGCCACTTTTCGCCTGATGCGAGCGGGCCCCCAAGTTCCGAAGGGAATTGGGTTCGACCCCACCAGCAGTAGCCCACCGCTATGGTTTTTTGGGCGTGATATGCAGCATCCAGATCTGGAGCAGATGGATTTGTTTCTGGAATCAGGGGGCAACCCAAAACCCAAAAGCAGAGGAGCTCATAGGCGAAGAAACACAGGCCGTGAAGCCTGCTGGGAAGCTCGTTAGGGGAATCCCCCTCTAAACCCTAAACCCTAAACCCTAAACCCTTGTCAGAGGAATCTGTGCAACCCGGGCCGCGGGTTGATTCCGGCAAGGGCGATCCCAACAGCATGGCTTGCGTCCACCTCACAAGGAGGCAACCAATGGGGGGTTTAGGGTTTAGGGTTTAGGCTTTAGGGTTTAGGGTTTAGGGTTTAGGGTTTAGGGTTTAGGGTTTAGGGGTTTAGGGGTTTAGGAGTTTAGGGGTTTCGGGTTTAGGGTTTAGGGTCTAGGGTTGCGGGCCCTTATGATAAGAGAATCCTACTATTTGGGGGATCTATACTGGCGGGGTCCCCTATTTTCGTAAACCCCCACATCGACATTCGGAGCACAAACGGTTTGGGCAGAAGACATATCATACAGCTTCAGGGCTACAGGGTTCTCACTCGTTTCTTTTCCCTCTTTCTTTCTTTCTTTCTTTCTTTCTTTTCCCTCTCTCTCTCTCTCTCTCTCTCTCTCTCTCTCTCTTTCTCTCTCCTCTACGGTATCTATCGGCCAGGGCAGTGCTGGTTGCAACACAACAGGCGCTCAGGGACACATGCAGACCACGAGGCCTCCTTGACCTTCGCAGCCATCCTAGGTCCGGAGCACTTCCCCCCGCGGGAACATGCATATTTTGGCACCAATCACACTAGAGGCGTCTCCACGGGGGGGGGGGGGGCCGGGGCCCAAAAAGTGCATGGGAGGCACGTGTTCGATTCGTCTTCTGCATTGGCCGTCATGCTCCACAAAGGATCTGGTTGCCTGCTTGACTTGCCTAAAGCGCCCAGCGTTACCTGGTGAGACGTTTCGGCATGTCTAGCCTGGAGAGGCCAGCCCAGGGGCTTTCCATGGGACTAGGGCATTAGGGGCAAAGCGGAAAACACACCAAAAGAGGGCATCTCTAAGGTCTGGCAAGCGTCCAGTTCACGCGTCGCCATAGGCAATCGCTTCCCCGCTCCGCATCGATCGGAGTCTCGAGCTCATTGCCGACCTCACTGCGACCCCAGTAGAGCTGAGCGAGCCAAAGGCTAGAGCTTGCCCTGCTTGGGGCGTACGCTTGTCAGAGCGGGCTTTTATTAGGTCCCAATTAGGTCCCAATTGCATCAAGCAGCCAGCCACATAAGAATGTTTCGGTTGAACTGCGTCCGCTGCACGATGTCGCGAATGCGCTTGGCCTCACTCCTCCAAAACTTGCTCTCCTCCAAGTCTGCAGCACAGTGCTCGTGTCCCTTGTAGTACCGAGGGTCACGAGTCATATCGAGGCCAGCCTTAGTTTTGCACTTCTCAACTTCGCAGAGTGTGCTCACAGAGTCCATATGCTCCAAAGGTCTGTATGAGTGCCCCAACGCCTCACTGGGGGGGTTTTTGGGGATCAGACTGGGGGTCTTTCGGGCTGATCTCCATAAGATGCCCGATAAACCTCAGGGCTTTTGAGACGGACTTTGTGAAAGAGGTTCGTGTTTTTGCAGGTTTTTGGGAGGCGGATGTCCACCCTTCGGGTCTGCTGTTCAGGGATTTTATTTGGGATGAACCCCTGTTGGAGTCTAGGCATGTCTAGGCTGCTCGCGGTTGAGATGATCGATGTTCTAAGGCATCCTTGGACTTCTCAAGGAAGACCAAGAAACCGAAGCTTCCGTGCGATTTGAGGCCAGGATTTGTGAGCTTGGGGCTTCCCATGCTTTTTGGGCGTCTTGCCTTTACTTTGTCAAGATTGAGAGGCTTCTCATGCCAGGCTTCCGCGCCATTCAGGGTGCCATAGGGTTGCTTCGGGCCGATTTTGGACCTGGGACTCGCCCGAGGCCCCCCTTCAATCAGCCAGACCGCCATGACCCAAAAGCCCGACTTCAGCGCGTTCTCGAGCGCCAGCTGAAGCTGGTCGACTCCCCAAGTCCGGAAAGCCTGAGCCGAGCGGCGCCAAGAACTTTGAGGTTGAAGCCGACGCCGGCTACGGACACAAGACGGCACGACTGCAGCACCAGACCCATCAGTTCTGCTGATTACCCGTATGCTTTCGCTGCCTCCTCAAACTTCAACAAGCGTGTGGTGATCATGTGTGCCTTCTCTGCGCCGGGAGGATTCCTCAAAAACTCCTCTCAGGCTGCTGCAGACTCTCTGCTTTCCAAGGGGCTTCGAAGCCCAGCTCCCGAGCCAGCTCCTCGTGCTGGAAGCCCGCAACGCCTCAAAAGGCCGAGCTCCGCTTTTTGCAAAGAGTCTTCAGATTCAGACGTTCCGGGATGTTCCAGCTAACCTAAACCCTAAACCCTAAACCCGAAACCCTAAACCCTAAACCCTAAACAACTTTGGCAGCTTGGCAGAATGGAGTCTTGCAAGCCCAACCAGTGCAGGCAAGGCTCCGTAGACCTTGTCTTTCATCTTGGCGAGATCCACATCCTCATGACAATCGGCGACCGCACTTTCAAACACCACAGCTGACGAGTCCACGGAGCAATATGCGGAGCATAACATACGGAGTATGTTACAGGATAATATACGAAGTATCACATACGGAGTATAATATGCAGAGTATAATATAGAGTATAATAATCGGAGTATGATATACGGAGTATAATATGCGGAGTACAATATACGGAGGATAAGATACGGACATAGACGGACCAGAATGTACGGAGACTCATACGGAGCATGCGGACTAATGAGTGCATGTCAAGCTCGTTCCAGGGCTAGTTCAGCAGGCAGCTGCATGTGCTTAACGTGTGGCTATCGGGTGAGCGTCAAGAGGCACGTGTTTCAGTTTGGACTCTTTGGATGGCGCGAACCCGCAGTTCTGCCCCAGCCTGCAACAGGCGCCCGGCGGGCGCTGGCCCCGGCAGCAGTTGTGCCGAGAGGTGCCCCACGTTCGCCAACCTTGCTCTCGGCAGCACTCAGGATGGCCACGGGGCAACTGCACATGCCGAGCAGCTTGACCACCAGCACGACGCCCACGAAGCAGCTCAGCGCGAGAAGCTGCCATCGCTGCCATCGCTTCTCAGTCATGGCGATCATGTGATGGCCCTACGAGGCCATGTCTCGGACTCCCAGCTGAGCGAACCAAAAACTCTTGAAAACTAACGGGGAAAGGACTCTTTAAGCTCCAAAAGAACACCGTTCTCGCGCATCTGGTTAAGTGAGGCCCCGGTCAGGGTGCAAATTTTGTGACCTTGACGTCCCGTGTTATCGTCTGACGTGGGAGGGTCCGTCTGAGTCCCGCGATCTGTTTGGTTCCTCTTTGCTCGTGATGTTCGTTGCTGCGTATGCACCCTACATGTTCCAGAAAGGAATAGTTTGAGCCGCATGTTTTCCTGCATCAACTGCAGACCCAAAAGCACAAGTGGCTTAGATGGGTGGATTTTGGGTGCTTTGCATGTCAGGTTGACGAGAGAGGGCTCATGCAGGACGATTCCACTTACGATTCCACAGCTGGGCCCCAAGGAACACCAAAGACTTCTCTTTGTTGCGCTGCATAGCTCTTACCCTTTGCGCTTGCATCTTCAACACGTGCCCAAAATAATCTCCACCCCGGGTACATGTCCCTACCAACTTTTGGAAGCTCCGGAGAACTGCAACTGCCGACCTCTGAGCTGCGTGCCAAAAACTGCAAAGGACAAGTGGCACTTCGTGATGCGCCAAGTCTGCGCGCGACCTACAGGGCTCACCCCTGTGCCCTAAACCTCAAGGACCCCATGGTCTGAATGTCGAGTTTCACGTGCCCGTCGGGTCACCGGCTGCAGACTTTTTATTACCTGCCGCTCGTACAAAACTCTCCTGCAAACACGCTCATAGTCTGCTGCTAAGCGCTTCAAGGGCATTAAAATCAGCGATTCGGTTGTAATCCTTGTGGCTCGAGTTGACGATCTGCGGGTGGGGGGGGGGCCTGTGCGAGTATGATATCCTCGGCCACCGGTGCCCTAGGATGACGCAGAGAAGCAGAGGGCTGAGACCCCATCAGCTTGCAGTTTGCTGGCAGACGCGCGATGGCCGAGCAACTCCGTTTGACGGAGGCAACGGCTTTGATTGGCGCAGACGAGCCCGAAAGCGAGTTTTGGCACCATGGCGCTTGTGACGATGCTGTCCTTGAGTCCTGGCTGCCAGGGACCAATATGATTCGCTCTCAAGCCCAACTAAGACTAAGAGCCACCGGGCCTTGCAATCTTAAAACTTTCAAGGCCATTTCTGATAAGCCGACAAGCCCACTGCAGCGAACCGGTTGACTTCTTCGCTGAAGACAACCGTGGCAACTGCAGCATGCGGGCTGCGAGCAAAGCTGGCAAGCTCGGCGGAAAGAGCATCAAAAATGTGTCCACTGGGCCCATCGGGTCTGAGTAGAACGGGGAGTGCTCCCTCTCTACTCTAAAGCACGGTTGGCGTGGGCAATACTCTGCCAAACCATTTGGAAATTTAGAGCTCTCTAGATCCTGAAGGGCCCAGGGGAGATGAACACTGTTCAACCCAAGGGTCACCTCAGCATGTGGCAGTTTCCGGCGCCTTTGGCTGGGCGTTCTTGCACCGCTGAAACAGACCATGAGAAAATATGAGAAAGCCACCTCATCCCATGCCCTTAAAACCAAGAGACGGCGCATCTGAATTCCGACTCAACTGGCACAGAGGTTACAGGTTAGATGAACCGCATTGTCTACAGCCATTCGAGCTGACATCCTACACGCGGAGCCTCCCGCAATTGGGCTTTCCATGGCTTTACCAACACCACCTCCATCTTGAGCTTGAGCTGCACCCAAACACAGAATGCCAGGCAAACCCCACGTTCTTTCAGTGTAACGAACCCATGCCCTAAGCCTGCAGTACCCCCCTCTGAGTAAACCTCCAGGCAACCACCAATCATCAATAAGCCCATCTGTCCCCACATGCGATACCCTGCCTCACGCCCCTCATCATCAGGGCATAGAAGTTGTCCTCGAGGATGTGGATTCTTAAAAGCTGCAAACCCAACTGCATCCCTGAACCAGCAACCTTGAACCCTGCACCCCAATGTGTGCTTGATAACCGCTACAGGTGTTACGGCTTGAAAGCTCGGGGTAAGGCTGTGGGTTTTGTCTCACGAGCATTGAGGAGGGACCCCTTTCATGGCAGCTGCGTGCGGACGCCTCTCAGAGTATGTCTTAAGCTGCGTTTGGCATGTCGAGAATATGCCCCCCGAAAGAACGGAACTGGACAGACGATGGAACCGATGACCGCCACAGCAAACTGCATAAAGGTACACAAAGGATGACAAAGGGCACAACTACGCCAATTTGGGTGTGGTTTATAGGGGATTCGGAGATGTCAGAACGACGTCCCAGGCTCGTACCAGTCGCAGTTGGCGTCGCAGTTGGCGTCGCAGTTGGCGGCTCAGTTGTTGCAGCCGGCAACAATGCTTGTGGGAGCGCCAGCATATTCTGGATGAACGCTGCATTTCCTGCAAGTCGCATATGAAATCCCCCAAAACGGCCTGAAGTTGCGGATCCTGGACTTGAGTCTTAAGGCCTCTGGGGGGGTGGTTCAAAGGTTGGTGGCCTGTTCTCAACTCAACAGCACAAGGAGTCTAAGAGTCTCAAGGAAGGCAAGCCATGTTGGGGGCTCGGCTTTAAAGCCCTCAAACCCCCAACCCTGACGGCCTCCGTCGGACCAGGAGGAGGAGCACCCATCGCTCAAGACGCCGAGGCTCCCGATCCTGAGCTGGGGGGGGGGGGGGGGGGGGGCAAAAAGGGCTTCCTACCCCCCGGCCTACGCACCTTAAGGTCGCAACTTTGTAGACGTCTGCCCCGCGGAGTTGTCCTCCATTTTCGCTTTTGTTTTTCTTCAACCACCCTCGCACCCCTGGCGAGGGCCAGGCTGTTGAAGGCGGAAAACCGATCTCCTTGTCCATACTTGTTTCAAGGCCTTGTCTTGGCCCTGCTGCCACACATGCATTGACGTGTCTTTGGTTCCGTCTTTAAACAACTGCTCACAAAATCTCACACATCCCAAGCATGACCTTTCAAAGGGCAGCGTGTCTGATTCAACGGGAGCAAACATTGCCTTGCGGTGACGAGTGAGGAGGGTGCGTCCACTCCACTGGTTCCGGCAAAGAAGCGCAAGCAGCCGCTCGCCATAGTCCAGCCGTGCGACGATCCTGCCTGGCCCGGAACCGCCAGACCCGTCGTTGCAACCCGAATCCCAACCGATGCCCGACTTTGTCCAAGATGGCAAAACGCCTGGCCCAGAGAGAACCCCTCAATGACAAAGTTTCCGCTTAGGTCCTTTGTTGGGCCCCTAAGAGAGCCCTCTTCACGCCACACTCCCTGTTTCACCAAGCGGCTGTCGGTGGTCAGCAGCGCCCGTCCTTCGCCAGTCACCTGGTCAGGCTGCGTGTTTAGGGTCCGTCATTTCCAGCGTCACTGGTTCAGAGATTTCAGGCCTTCTTCCGGGCGGTCAGGGCTTTAGGAGATTTGCAGTATGGAGAGCCATGATGTTAAAAGGCCTCGAGGCTTCGCGCGCCAGCTGATGCCATATTTCTGCCCACCACTGTGCCCTTCCACATATCCGTCCTACTGCATATTCTTCCGACCATCCCTCGCTGCGCACTTCCATCAATGGAAGTGCGCACTTCCTGAAGCCACCAGTCCCTGCTTCGACCCCAGCTTCTGTCGTCCAGCCCAAGTTGACCCCCCTCCCCCCCCCTCCTTCCGGGGCCACGCTCGGCCCCGGCATCTCGCAATGCAGCACCCGTACGGAGAAGCCATGACAAGCATCCGGAGCAACCATACTGGCAGAGCTTGGCTCGACACCTTGGCGCCGCAGTCGTGTTCCCCTTGTCGATCCCGAGGCCCCAACTCAAAAGAGCAAAGCTATTCGTGACAACCACAAGGTTCTGGTACCTCTGCTAAGTGAGGCCGAGTAGTTTTCTTATAGCTCGCCTCGCTGGCGGACGCTGACTCGACGCCCAGCACTGTCTGAACATAGAAGGGGTCACCCCCGTCGAAGATGTCCTTAGGACCAGGTTAGCTATTCTTGGGCTTCTGCTCCAAAACCCTTCTCACAATGCTTCGTTTGCAACCATACATCCTCCCAACCATCCATCGCAAAGCGCAGAAGCGCCCGAAAGCCAAGAAAGACATCAAGCACCCTCAAGAAAGGCATCAAGCCCTTGTACACTAGCCCCACTCTCCAGAACCCTCCACCTCCCCTAGCACCACGACCGGGGTGGCATGCATCACTTTGAATTTGCCCCTTTTCTTAGGGGGCCTTGTAGCCCGAATGGCCACGAGCATTACTGCCATTTAGCGCCCCCACCTACGAAAAGGACTGCCCGTGGACATGTAGCTCAGCTCATGTAACATCACAACTGCACATAGCACAAGTGACACATCTGACTGCATGCACATGTAGCTCATGTGTGACACAGCAGCAAATTCAAAACATGACTGTTCAGCCCCTTTGGGAAAACATGTACATTTAGCCCTTGCAGGGAAAACTCTGCATGTAGAACTCTCACGCTCTAGCTCTCTTCCCCCGGATGGTGGCGATAGCGTTTCGAGAGGACTAAAACACCTTCGATGTTTTAGCAACTACTTGAGAGGTCGGGCTAGCACATACACGGTCGTAAACATCTAGCCGTGCACGAGTGCAATGCACTCCAAATTCGAGGGACCCACAACCTGCCACAAACACCTGAAAAGGTGACACCTCGCCCAGGCACGATGCTGTCGCAGCCCTGGCCGAAGGCCGCGCTGCCAAAGCGGAGCTTGGTGTCAGGAGCTAAGCCTCCAGCGGCCAAGAGCGGGAGCAGGCCTTCGGGGGAGGGGGGGCTGGGGGGGGAGGCTCTTCCGAGTTCAGGGGCCAAGTAGGTACGAAGAGAAGAGATAGATGGACTGAGATGGACACATGAATGCTCGACTCGAAAACCCGAACCCTAGAAACCCCGCAGACTTCCTGGACAGGTGTACGCTCTCAAGTGCAACAGGCACACACACACACACACACACACTCCCCAGAAGTCCCGATCCTGCAAGGATGTCGTTGGCCAGCTCGACACCTGTGCAAAAAGAGCAAAACTACAAAGAATGCAGTAACTTAGTAGCCTTCAGCTATTAGTCCACCGATGCGTCAGAATGCACCTGAACCCGGAGGGCCACGATATTCGCCCTCGAACATCTTGAGTCATTGGCTCGGCACAGTTCGATCTGATGAAAGGCAGTCGAATCGACTTGCCGCTTGACTGGATTCCTTTCAACTTGCTTCATTCGGATATTTTTCCTGGCCCCTCTTCGTGCAGTGCCGTGGCCCGAGGTGGCCTCACCCCTCTGTGCTTTTGGATGCAGAGCTGCGGTTTGGGCCTGGACTCTCTTCCCTGATTCTTCGGCGCTGCAGTCAAAGAAACAGATTCAAGCTTCTCCCACCCGAAGACTACTGACATTCTCAAGGCTCAAGGACCCCCCAGGTAGGGCCGCCGCTGGACTCCTCCGCAACAACGACCATCACACCGCCTTAGCCCCATGGTCTCATGGTCTCCGAACACCAAGCGCCCCTTTGGAAGCCCTGGCTGGAGGATAGCTGGAGGATCTCAGACCCTGACGCGTTAAAGCCTTAGGGCTTGGGATTTAGGGCCTAGGGTCTGTAGGGTTTAGGGTCTAGGGTTGAAGCGTATCATCACTTCGGCCTTTCAGGCGAAGTCGCCAGAAGCGACGCTTGCATTTAGGGCTTCGGCTACGGCAAGGAGCCTGGTGACACGTGAAAGCCTTCAATCGCTTCAATCGCAATCCAGGCGCACTTCTTGTAGTTGTACCAGTCGGCGATGAGCAGCCGCTTCTCTTCTGTGGTGCTGTTGCCCTGTCAGCCCATTTGTTTGCACTTCTGGGGAAAATCGTGGACGACCAGAACCCCGGGCCCCAAGAAAACTCCCATCAAGATGTGCTTTTCTTGTTTGCCTGTGAGTGAGTCAATGCCGTTGTTTTGGGGTGCAACTAGGGCCTCAGCCGTCGTATGCTTTCAAGGGTCGAAACTGCAGGTTCAAAAGTTCATCAAGGCTTGTGTCGCTGGAGAAACCGCAACTGTCTCAACACGCAGATCCTACACTCGAGATCGAGATGACTCAGATGACCCCCGAGAGTGAGAGATGACGACCCAAACATCAGAGGCCTGCGGAGCAAAGATCGTAAGCCCAACTCCATCGAAGTCCTTTGCTGTCAGCGTGTCGAGCAGGCGGCGGTGGACCTTGGCCCACCCACCTTTGCCTTTGCCCACCTTTCCCTGACCCATTCTTCTTTAAACCTCAGAAAGACAACTTGAAGTTGACCTCGCGACTGTGAAGCGCAGGTGACAGAGTGCTGGTGCCGGATGGGTTTATTACTGGTTTATTATGCTTCGATGTCCGCCCGTCCCCTGCCAAGCGGCGGGTGAGTCGGGATCACTGGATCGCTTCATGAAACAGCGAAACACCTTGAAACCGTAGTGCTCTTCCCCAATCGCCCTTCGCCCTGTTTGTCTCGAAGGACTTCCCAGAACCGCACCCAAGGCACCTTTCCGCCTTCTCTCGCAACGACCACCCCGAGGCGGTCGAAGGTGGCCACGTTTGAGTTCGGGCCCGAGATGATGAGCACAGTGCTGGCGTCCTTACACGGGCCATGTGCTACCACGAATGGCCACGAATGGAGACACGCGCTGACGCAAAGGGCATACAGTATACTGCACAGCTCGTATGCTTTCTCTTCTCTTTTTAGTGCTGACCGTGTCACGACTGTGTCCTTGCGTAGGTCCGGGTTACACCAGTGTGGGGCCCGGCTCGGTCGTGTTTTCTCTGCTGCGCGTCCCGGAGCAAATGGACACTTCTCACAAGGGTTTAGGGGTCTCTGTTCCAGTCTCGCAAGCAGAGCTGAGTCATGGGCATCAGGACTGCAGCAGGACGGGGTGGCAGGCAGCTGCTCATTCACTGCGGCCACCTCGGGAAAAGTCTCTCGAGCAAGACTCTTGAACCCGAAGCAACCCGAAGCCCAAACTTGCTGTCACATCGGATTCAACAAGGAATAGGGAATAGGGCCCCTGCACTAAAACCTTGAAGCCCAAACCCAAAACATCCGGAAACCAGCAAACTCTTACCGTCAACCGTGGCCGGAAACCAACAGCCCCTACGCCCTGAGCCCTGACTGAACTCTCACAGCTAAACTGATGCACGACGAGGAAGGAACATGAAGGAACCTTAACCTACAGAAGGCCTGAAGTTCATACGAGTAGGGCTTTGGCCGATCCAAGCCCTGGCCCAGCCAAGGAAAGCAGAAAACCGAGGAAGGCGCGGCGAAGCGCGTGAAATTCGCCGCGCTCATGGTGCCGGCGGCGGTGCTCTGCGTTGCCATGACCGTGCCCTGCGGAGGTCCATCAAGCAGATGTGGGTGTAGGGTTTTCGGTTTTAGGGTTTAGGGTTTCGGGTTTGGGGTTATTCCAACTCCTGTGCTCCCAGTACTTTGACATGGAAGGTGCGATGCTTGCACGGCCTGGCTTTGTCCTGAAGCAGCTCGGTGAAAAACCAGACATTCTGCCCTGGATCACAGACAGTCTTTTGATCGAGCGGGCTGGCTCGGATTTGCACTGAACTGCCTAAGAAAGCTTTGCCCGTTTGCCTGACCTTGACTCGCAAACTACTACACGCGACTCTCACCACGACGCTTAATTGTCACGGGTGCCCGTGTGGCCTATGCGGGCGCTGGGCACTTGCATGTCAGCACGGACCGGAATAATCCTGTGAACCCTGAGCCGAAAACTGACAACCCTGATTCTCAGAGCGCGGGCTTATCTGCAGAGTCGCAGTATGGTACCGGCCCATGAAAACAACAACCACCGGAGTCCTTGTTTGGGACCCAACAAAAGCAAACTCATCACTTTGCCTGGGCTACTGACCACTAGGACCCCCTTCCCCAGCCTTCGTCGCATTCAAATCTTCGTTGACCTGGTCCACCTTCGTGGGTTTCAATGCTTGTCACCAGGTGCGACCCACTACAACCACATACAACCACATACAACCACAGACGTAGCAGTAGGCTTCAGGGCCAATGGCACTGCCTCACCAAATTCTAGTCAGTGGGGATTCATTTTTGCAGCCCGGTGCCTTGGGCTCTCCCATCCTTACGTCCTGATTCCCAAGTCTTGTGGTCTTTGCATCTCTTCGTGTGAGCAGAGCTCGGGGAGGGCTTGAGGTTTAGCAGGCTTCAAGCAAGTCCGTCAAAAGCCAACGCCGCTGGTTGATTCTGTGCACGCTGTGATGCGCCGCGCGCACCCGCGTTGTACACGTCGCTAAAGTGTCCGGATCTTTCCCGCCTGGCCCACCATGATGCTGACATTTTCCTTGGCCACATTTACCTTGGCGGGAGGCGCGACATAGGAGGGCTTCAGCTTCCGAGATCTCGCAGTTCGAAAGCTCAATCTAACGATCAGAAACACCGAAGCCCTGGCATCCTCAGTACACGAGCATGGAACTTTTCGACTTCGAGCGACCGCGCTGTTCATCTCCAGCGAGATGCCTTTAGCCTGCCACGCACCGTCTTCGACCCGAAGAGCACAGCAAGAGACCTCTGCAGAACACCGCAACTACCCCTGCAGCCAGCCCTGCAGCTGCAGCCTCCTGCGCCACGGAGGTGGTGTCGTCAATCCGCCCGGCAAGGCCACCGCTGCTCGTCTTGGGCGTGGCTGGGCTGCTCTTGCGGGGGCTGCTTTTTTCCACAGCTTTCAGGGCTTCCGAGGGCTTTGACACTCGGACGAGCGCAGCGTTGTTCAAGGCTTGGGAGTGCGGCTTGTGTCATTCTGGTGTTTGGCGAGGCTTTCGTCTTCCAGTGCTTTTAGGGACGTTGGGATAGCGGCTGCGACCAAGAGTCTCAGTCTACTTGCCTCCAGGCCGATCAAAATCATGCTGGCAGTGCAAACTGCTGGCATGCCGCCCCTAAGCCCAAGCCAAAGCTCAGGCGTACTGTTTGACATGTCCGAGGTTTAATAGAGCGTTGGTGGCATATGATACATCGTCCTGGGGTCTCAATTGAAAGTTAGGGCTGTTGTAATAAGTGGCTTCACCAAAAGGAGCACGCATAACACCGTGCTCGATGAGAAACTGCTAGGAGTGCTCTAACCCTACGATCTGCATCCGTGGGAGCCCTGTACCTTTCAGGCCTTCAGGAGGCGGCTCGTGGCGAGCCCTGAAGTGTGGCTCTTGTGGCAGACTCAGACCGCATATCCCACCGTACACCCCGCAATTTCTCTGAGTTGGAGAAAAAAGAAACAAATCAGAAGCCTCCCCCTGCACTGCTCTTGTTTGAGGGAGCACGGTGCCTCCACGAGCTGCTTGACATCCTCGAGGTCCTTCGTCGTGTCGTGCTTGAGCGCATCGTACGCAGTCTGGGCCAGGAGAGGCTTCCACGGGTGTGGCGAATGAAAGAGGGATGTCTTCAGGGCTTCTTTGTAGGGGTTTTTTGCTTATGGCGACAGCAGCCCCCAAGACTTTTCAAACCGTACCGACGTATTGAATAAACCTTTTCCTCCGTTGTCCAGAAGCGGCGTTCCAGCACTCCTCACGCTCCAACTTCTCCACACATCTCCACACCCCACCCGGCCCCACCCGCAACTCTCGCTCCTCGAAACGACTGAGATCTCGACACGCTTTCGAAAAATCGTTCCGAAAAATGCCTCATTCTGGATCCCAAACTCTGGAAGCAGTCCGGTTCTTTCTTTATGTGTTTCCTTTTGTTCGTATACGTGATGTTCCTTTCCTTTGTTCATGCATTTTTTTCACACCATGTTTCGTTCTGTCTATTTGTTAATGTCGTTGTTCTTTCTTTTCTTTTCTTTTCTTTTCTTTTCTTTTCCTTTCTTTTCTTTTCTTTCTTTCTTACCAGGGGGTAGTAGCCGGGGGGCAGGACCTTCTTCCTTTTCTTTCTCTCTTTTCTCACTCTCTCTCTCTCTTCTTCTTCTTCTTCTTCTTCTTCTTCTTCTTCTTCTTCTTCTTCTTCTTCTTCTTCTTCTTCTTCTTCTTCTTCTTCTTCTTCTTCTTCTTCTTCTTCTTCTTCTTCTTCTTCTTCTTCTTCTTCTTCTGCTTCTCTCTCTCTCTCTCTCTTCTGTCTCGCTCGCTCCCTCGCTCTCTCTTCGAAAAAGTCAGCTACAAGTAGCCCATTTTCCAAACACAATGCAGCAGGGAAGCAACGGCAGTGATCACGGACGACTGCCAACCAGACAAGCACTGGATTTGGGTAAGGCCCCAAGGATTCGAGACCTGCAGTCCTAACTGCCACAATCAGTTAGGCCCGATTGCACATAGCAGCTTGAAGAAGGGTGCCTTTGAATTTCCCGGAATTTCTGGGCTCAGGGTCTGGGGCGGCTGAGTTCGAGATGCGTCGTGCCTCCATCTCGCCCTCCAGATCAGTCACCTCAGGCAAGTTGCAAGGCTGAGCCTTATTGCAGAGCTGAAGTTCCAAGACTCTCCAACACCAAAAAAAAACGATACAAGACGAACAGAAGCAAACAAATCTTAAACTCTCAGCCTGACTCAGCCCTGTATGCCTTCATTCGGCCACCCAGGCGCGCTCTGCGACACGTCGCTCCAGATCGCAGCGTGCTGGGTCTGAGCCCAGGATTTTCAGGGTGGTCAGGCTGCAAGTCCCGAGTTGAAGTCTCTAAAGCTTTGGGGCTTCACTCAGTGGCTTCGCTCAGCTTCACTCCTAGTGCGCGGATACAGCTTCTCAATGGTTTCCTTGGGTGTGGAGTGAGATCGCTCGGGCTACGCCGAATTCCAAGTGCCCACCCCAGGGCTTTGCTTGCGTTTTGAATCTGACTCGTGCGGATGCTATCAAAATACCGAGCCTGCATCGCGCCGTCGAGTTTGCTCACCTTCGCCTCCACGGTCGTGAGACCGTGGTCAAGAGCTTCAATCTTTCCGTCGATGGAACTCACCAGGTCACGAAGGTCCTGAGACAAGTTCGTTTTTTGACTCAACCCATAAGCCTCAAAACAGCTGAAAAGCTAGGGGATGCGGAGCGTCCCTGCAAGATGAAAAAAGTCATATGGAGCACGGCGGGAAGCGTGCCCTGCGCACAAGCCAGTTCCCGATCAAGCCCAGAGACAAGATGGGCTTCAGCAACTTCTTTGACCCCTCTTAAAACACAGGGACTCTGGCCTTGGAAGATAGAAACTGAAACTGAAGCCCTAAACGGGACCCTGAACCTTTGAAGGCTGTTCGATTGCTGCACCTTCATGTAGTCGTTGCTGTCATCGTCGTCATCGTCACCGTCTTTGCTTTTGCCACGCTTCCATGAAGCCTCGCGCGCACAAGTGCAGAAGTGCTTCTGGCCAAAGGAAGGGGCAACCCTGTCGACTGAAGCTTGTGGAGGTTTCACTGAACCAGCCGACAACTTATGCATTACTTTGAATACTGTATATGAAGAGTTTCCCCAGACCCTACTAGCGCTACCATGCTATGCACAAAGCGTATCTATAAGAGCCGACTCTATATGGGGGCTCTGTAGGCTCTACCCATAAAAGTCATAACCATATATATATATAATATACATATAACCGTCTTGAGGTCAAATTTCACCATAGGTTTGCGAGGATCCTCCACCATTTCGAATTACTGTAAGTAGCGGTTCGCTTAGTCACATACACTTGTGGCTGGCGAGTTGTGGCCTGTAGTTTCAGTGGCTCATACTCTCGGCCGGCGCATCACTCAGAACTCAACAAACAATGACTTCTACCAACCCTGCGAAGCTCCTCCTGCACCAGTGTGCACATCTCTGTGAACAAACACTCCAGTCACGAACGCCTTGGTGGAAAGGGCGTGGCCATGTCCAGCAAGTTGAAGCAGACCCGTCTCCTTCTCAGCGACTCTTTCCGAAACGGCCCAGAAGCCGTGGCTGGGACAGTACGTAATTCCAACAAAGCGTATGGACCGTCTTCCCTTGATGGAAAAAAGCATCGTGCGGGGCATCCTGGGACATGGTCGGAAGAGCACAGCTTCCGCGGGGGCTGTCTTCTGAGCCTTTTGGAGGGAGACGGGCGGGGAGGGGGTGGAGGGGAAAACAAGGGCCGCTCCCCACAATCCCCCCTTTACAGGACACCACAGGCTCTCCTCAACCTGGCCGAGGCCCATTGGCAGCAGAGCAAGCCAGGCACGTCGCAGAGACATGCTGCTCTCCGGGGTGAGAAGGATGGGCCTTCCGCAACACACAAGAAAAATGAGCCACCGGATTGCAAGGCTAGGGTCGCAGGGTCGAGCTTTCAGGAATCTTTCAAGAAACACAAGAGTGCACTTGCTTCTACTTGCTTCTGCTTGCTTCTTGTGCCATCCTACCCCTTCTGCACAAGCGATCTTGCAACAGTGGAAGTGGCCGCCAGCACTGTGCGCACGCACAGGCGCACGCAGGCCCACCGGCCCACATGCATGAGACGACGCATGATACCATGATACTCACGGCTGCTCAGCTCTGAATCTGAAGCCCGCAGTGTTCTTGCCTGCTGCAGCGGACAAAAGAGCGCCGGGAGGGCAAAGCACAGGCCGGTTCGGTAACACATTGCTGCGTCCGCGAAAGCTTGAACATGACGGTTGCCTTTAACCCCAGCGGAATGCTTCGATGAACCTGGCTGAAAGGCACGCCATCATGCAGAGGTCTTTTGTCCACATTCTGCCATGCGGCTATCCTGGATCTGCCGCACTTGGAATATTTCGACATACAATTAAAAGTTGGCCAGGACTCTCAGGGAAGACTCCAGGCACCAGCGGCGGGAACCGCGGCCAAGCAAAGCAACACTGGAACCATTCATCAGGAATCTGGAGGGATGCTCTTTGTCAGATACCTCTGGTCGAAAGTAATTATGGCGGGTCTATCCGTACAGGAAGTAGCGCGAACCCCCCAAAAGAAGAGTGCCACAAGTGACTAGCTTCTGCAAGAACCAAAAGCACCGCACAACACCACATAGGACAGAATTCGGTGCAGCAGGCATGAAGCCCAAGCCGCATGCCATGGGAACTTTGTGTTGCATACATGGCATACATAGGAATATTGCGGCTTCTCCTATCTATGAAGCCCTGCCGTACCATGAGTAGCCGCATTCTGGTGCCGCACGCTGTACAAAACTTGCTGAGGCCTCCGGCCTCGTATGCCATCACACACCACTCGGTTGCCACTACTTCAGCTGTTCTTAAATACCCGATTCTCATGCAGCTTCCCCCCAAAGGCTGTGCAGATGCTCAAGTTCTACGGTGCCTAAGACGCAGTCCTTCTACGAGGCACTGACCCCGGTGGAGCTTCGCTTGTTATGTCGACTGCGTGGTGTCTTGTAATGCGTCCGCGCCTGGGGCGCCACTTCTTGGAAGTTGGCGCCGGGGAGCTCACAAAAGCACTGTTTGGCGTGGGGGCTTCGTAGGGGGTTCACATGGGTTCACCACAAAAACTCAACTGGAGAGTCGGTTTGCTCTCAAACTCTGAAGAGTTCTCGAATCAGCCACGAAGAATGAGGATGCACAGGACTCAGGGAACAGGGCCGGCCACGATGTGAGGTCAAGGAACTGGGGGCAAGTGCTGCCAATCGAAAGGAAGAGAAAGCAATAAGCAGACAATGAGTAACGAGTAGAACAACAGGAGGAACGAAAGCAGCCCACATTGGAGGATGATTGCGGAGAGTGTATCAGTGTGTCTGTCTGTCTGTCTGTCTCCGTCTCTCTCAGTCTCTGTCTGTCTCTCTGTGTCGTCTCCGTCCGTCGGCCCCCGTCTCTGTCTCTGCCTCTCTCTGTCTCTTTGTCTGTTCGCTTGTCTGTCTCTGTGTCCTGTGTCTCTCTGTGCGTCTGTGTCTCTGTGTCTATGTGTCTCTGTGTCTCTGTGTCGCTGTGTGCATGCACGTGTGTGCTGTGAGGCTGCTTACTGAGGAGTCTTACATTTATTGAAGCTACTTGCGAGGCTGCTTCTTGAAGCATCTTACATATTTAGCTATTCAAACTACCTCGGAAAGCCCCAGTCCTCAGCTTAGACAGGGGCCACGTGCCGGTCACGACGGTTGAGGACGGCCGTGCAAAGGGACGTTGGTCGGTGCAGGCGGCACCCGATCCGTGGACACCGAGTACTGCCAGAAAACACTGTCCGGGTCGCGGTGCGGGAACGAAGCCGAACGACCTACTGGTGAATCTGGCAGGCGGACTCAAAACGCCAAAGACACATCGGTCGCCATGTGCACTGCAGTAGGGATCCGGATGCAAGTGGAAGGAGGGCTCTACATGCCTCTAACTGGCCTCTAACTACCTGCCCTTGCGAGACATTGACGGACCCGGGGACTCACATGTGGCTGCTTCGGCAGAGAGCTGCAGCAGGAGGTCCGTTGCCACCAGAGGTTAGGAGGCGTGGAAGGCGCCAGATTTTTTTCTGGCTAGTCGCGTTTGGGCACAGTGTGGCACACTATCAGGCTGGCGCAACACCAGATGCGGTTGCCGACGGTGCTCTGCTGCTCGCGCTAGACGCTGCACACGGATCCCAGCAAACATTGGAGGGTTTTCAATGAGAGCCACAAAATCTTCAATATACTACGGGAGAGAAGACATACGGCTAAAACAGCTACAACAAGCAAAAGATGGATCATGAAAGAGATCCTTTAGTGCGCACTAGCCGCGTCTCACGATTGGAAAGTTAACGACCCCTTTGACCCTGTAAATCCAACATTATTCCGAAAAACCTGACAGAATAATAGCGGCTTTCCTGGCGTTCGCGTTCGCTCTTCACCACAGATATGTGTACGGTTGTTTGCAGGAATTCTGTGGGCCCATTAAAACAAACTCATCTTTCATTGGCAACAAGGTCGAAAGGAGAGTGCTGAATCCTGGTGCTTCTTTGATTGACGATGACGTGTTTTTGACACGGCCCTCGCAGAAGAGACCTTTTGCTGCCCGTGTTGCACACATCTTAGGCAGAAGCCACAAGAGAAGCGAGAAGGAAGTCGCACATTATCGGGACCCTCGACCTCTGACATGCCCAAGGTTGTGAGTGCAAGTTGGAATCTGGGAATCTGGACCTCTCAAAGTATGTCAGATTGCCACTTCAGTGCTTCTGCAGGAAACGATGTACAAAGATGTGCAAAGCTCGGCTTTGCAATTTGACTCCATCAGGTATAAGTCAGGTACTTGCACCACACTGATGTACTCTTAAATCTTTCATCCCAGCCTTTGATTTGGTCGCCCACCTGGTATTCCGAGGGCAGGTCAGCGTTGTAAATCTTCACCCAGTCTATGCACCACTCGTCATTGCCCGTCAGTCTGAAGCAGATATAGACAGGCTTCACCGGCACATTCAGTCCAGCCAACCCGGCTATGTTAAGCCTCGGCAACGGAGCCCTGAGACCCAAAAAAAGAGAGCAAAAGTCACAAAGGCTCATAAGCAGTCAAAGCAGCTCTGACACTGACAGAAGTCTGGGAAGCCGGCGTGAAGCTGTCAATCATTCCCTGGTCGAAGTTGGGGCCCTTTCGTATCCCTAAATCGTGAGACCAACCGCCCAGATAGATTGTGCCATCTGGCGTGGCGACGTTCATCCTCACCTGGACCAGGCTTTCGAGCGCTACAGCTTCGCGCACCAAGGTTCCGGGACCTCTGACCTAACAAGTTTCAGGTTCACAGAAGCTATGTTCGTTTTCGAGACCCCACGGTTTGAGAGTTACTTCAAGATCTCACAGGATGAATGTGGAGTATTGCTACAAGGGGATTTCCCGAGTGATGGCCCAAACGATGCCTTGAGGGTTGGCGGTGTATGGTTACGAAACTCTTATCGAGCCTTTGGAGGACCCTACGATAAGACACTTTTTGTTGGGCTCTTCAGTCAAAGAGCATTAAGGCCTTAAAGTGCATCCCCCCCCCCCAGCCTGCACAGTTGAGTCTGTGCCGCAGTCGTTGCCTTTCGGGGTTCTGATCTCCACATTGAAGCTCTTCGCATATGTCACGTCCCTACCTCGGAAACGAGGCCCATTTTGCGGGCCTGAGCATGCCCTAACAGAAACCTTGTGTGATGTTGGCTCTCGCAGCCCTCTTTGCTTTATTCCCGAAAGCGTGGCGAAGGGTTTTTCAGCGGAGGTGGTCTTCCTAAAGGTCGAATTCGTGATACTCGTTACATCGTTGATGCATGTCTTCTTATTGCCCTGGGGAAGGTTTTTACCCGGAGGTGGTCTTCGGAAAGGTTGAATGCGCTATATTTCGTTTTGTCGTTGATGCATGAATGGATGTCGTGATGGACGATGATGAATGGATGGATGGCGCGATGGATTTCGTGATTTTCAAACCTATAACTGAGCCCCTTTCAACGCTTGCAAAGTATCAGCCTCAGCACATCGAATTTAACCCGTTTCCAAGGGGCGAAAAACTTGTTTGGACACCTGTTTGCTTTTGCCATTTAGGGTTGGTCTGGATTTTTTTGGGAATCCGGAGAGGCCTCCTTTGTGTCATTGCATTTTCAGAGGAGCCTGTCAAATACTACAGGATCTCTGCAAGGTGAGCGGCTTTTGGCTTGCTTCCAAAAACAAGATCTTGTTTGCACATCTGCGGGCAAACGTGCTGAAGGGCGGTCTTTAGGCTTCTGATGGCTTATGCGTCGAGGTGCTAGAGTGGTATTCGTGTCCCAGGGTTTCGTGTTCAGGGTTGAGGTGGAGGCGGTGCAAAGTGCAAAGTAGCGCAAACAAGTGAAAAAGTGTTCCGACAAAGCCGCAGCATTTGAACCCGTCCACGTCGATGGTGCATTTTCCAGCCCTGCCTGGGAAGAGTTCTCAGGGGCAGAACCCTCAAGAGGTGAGAAGACCCAGTTGCCCTAAAAACCGTCTCAGCGCTCAGAGACTCGGAGATGATCCGCTTATAACGTCTCATTTTCATCGTTCCAGCTCATAGGTGTTAGGGAAGAAGATGAGGGGGATTCTTGGGGATGAAGACCCAAAGAATCAGGTCCCTGTTTAAGAGACAAGAGGGTTAAGAAAGGTTCCCTCCCTAGGAGGTGTAGGGCCGACCCCATGTTTTCACGCTCCCGGAAGGTCCCTCTTTTTTTTCCCGAGCTGCAGGGCTCGAACCTCGTGTTGGGATCCAGGAGCTTGTAGTTCTTTCCCAGACTCGGGCATTGCGCTGCAAGGTCGCTTTCGCCGCACTTCTGCCTCGGATGAGATTCGTGATGTGGCACTAGGGCACGGGAGAGGCGCCCCCAGGACACTGCACCCGTACTCCAGGTGTACTCTGCTTTCCTTCTTCGGGACTTTACGGTTCCCGCCGAGCCTGTCAGCGGTAGGGCAGCAAGTGTCGCAGTCCAGCGAGCCGTCTGGTGACGTGCAAATGGGGCCTGCCGGCTTCACAAGCAGCCGAACAGCCTTTGATTAGGCGAGACCCACAAAACGACCCACAAAACTCCAAGACCATAATTACCGCGAAGCAGCTTGAATCCATGGGTTTAGTCGGGCCTAAGGGCAGGAGCACGCAGGAGCATGTGGGCAAATATTGCGAGCACCCGCTGCGCCTGGATTGCCCGGCTGCACTTTGCCGTCCTTGTCCGTGCAGAAGCATCGCCTCAGTTGCTGGGGGGGGCATCGGGCAAGATCGCGCAGCAAAACATCATGCGCGCTGTTCCGAAGCTTGTGGCATCAAGCCCAACCCCTCCAGTCCAGGGCCCCACCCCACCCCAAAAAAAGAAGGTAACCTGAATAGCAAGTAGCAGCTAAATAGCAAGTACTCGCAACACCCGACACCTCTGCCAGGAAGCTTGGGACGGCAGACCTCCTCCGTCTCATCCCAGATGAAGCCCTTGCTAGCACCTCCAAGTTCTCCAAGTCGGGGAGAGTTTTGCGGGATTCGGGGGTGCAAACCCCCAAACCAAGCGACAGCAGTGTGAAGCATTGAGGCTCTCAAGGCGTTCCTTTGCTGGTCTATCTCCGCCCTACGCCGTAGGGATCTGTAGGGCCTACGGTGCCCTACGGGGCGTTTTTTAGGGCGCCTGCAATTGCCAAAAGAAACGAAAGCCTGAACCGCCAGGAAATTCATCGCATCTCCAACCGAAGGTCTTGTTAAGAGGACGCACACACGCACAAGCTGATGCCTTGTACAGGGATCCACTCGGAGTAAGCCTCCGTGCAGGAGATTTCAGGCTCGTGACGGAGGGTGCAAAGGTTCGGGTTCCATGGGTCCATGATCAGGGTTTAGGGTTTAGGGTTTAGGGTTTAGGGTTTAGGGTTTAGGGTTTAGGGTTCAGGGTTCAGGCTTCGGGGGGGGATCAGGGGTCAAACATTGGGTCTTATCCAAGCTTCCCCTATTGGATGCTTTCGGGGCCTTGGCCCTCGCCTCAAGATGTCCGGCACACGAAATATCAGAGCTTCCGCGCAGGACAAAACATAAGACATGACAGACATAATCGACAAAACATGGTATGAACATCTGCATCATGCCATGGCTCATCCCGGACATCCCCTCGCGCACAAGTTGCGTGGAGTACGGGACACGGAACCGTGAAATCTTGGAGCGAAGGTCCTACAGCCAACATGGCCCCTGCCTGTCGGTAGAAATTGGTCTGCCCGTCTGATATGTTGGTCAGGAGCCTGGCCAGCGTGAAACACACACACAGAGACACACAGACACAGACACACAGACGCAGAGACACAGAGACACAGAGACACAGAAACGCAGACACACAGAGACACACAGGCACAGAGACACAGAGACACAGGGACACAGGGACACAGGGACACAGGGACACACAGACACAGAGACACAGAGACACAGAGACACACAGGCACAGAGACACAGAGACACAGGGACACAGGGACACAGGGACACAGGGACACACAGACACAGAGACACAGAGACACAGAGACACAGAGACACAGAGACACAGAGACACAGAGACACAAAGACACAGAGACACAGAGACACAGAGACACAGAGACACAGAGACACAGAGACACAGAGACACAGAGACACAGAGACACAGAGACACAGAGACACAGAGACACAGAGACACAGAGACACAGAGACACAGAGACACAGAGACTCAGAGACACAGAGACACAGAGACACAGAGACACAGAGACACCCAGACACAGACACACCCAGACACAGATAGAAACAGACAGAAACAAGCACAGACACAGAAACAGAAACAGAAACAGATCTACAACTTCCCTGAAGCAGCGAGGGAAACCCCTCAAGTCCCGCACGTGAGAAAGTGTGCCCGAGGTGCTGGATATCCGGGTCCATCTGGTAGGTGAGGAGTTTGACTGTTGGCCCTGCCTGAAGCTTTCAGACTTTCAGAACCTCTTGAGTCGTGTGAAAGCCTACAGCCCCTGCTGCCTAGGCGTCCCCCCCACACACAAAATAAGGTAACAAGAGACTGCAGCAGCGAGGTGGGACTGGGCGCTCCAGCTCCCATCGGATGGGAACAAAGCGTAGACTACGTAGACAACCGGCGATACACGGCAAACCCCAAGCAAAAGCCCTAAACCCAACAGCGAGGGGGTCTCCCTGCAATCCAACGCCTTTCTCCTCGCTCTAAGACCGTGGACCACAACTCTCCCGATGCTTTGGATCATGGACTTCACTTCGGGTGTCCAACTCTCATAGCATCTCCGGGCCTTTCGTGGCATCTCAGGGCCTTTGGGGCCCAAAGGGGCGTCTCAGCCTTTTGGGGCCTTGGGCCGAGGGAGGTCACGGTTGGCAACCTAGCTGACTCAACAGCGTCCCAGCAGCGTCCTCCTGACCGTAGATGGTGAATTGGATGGGATCCTGCACAACTGAACTTGCTGTCAGGGGTGCCCACGTTGCGAACTTCAGCGTCCAGCTCAGGCGGCTCGGGGCTTTCCACTGCCACTGTTTCCCACCTCTGAAACTCGAGTTTCCGGTGTCCGGTGTCGAGCCTTCTGAGATTTGAGACACCAAGCAGTTAAACCAGGGGCCTAAAGCCTTCGAGGGACCGCCTAGGGGCCGTTCGCCTAAGACCCCGCTGGGGCAAGCCTCGGCTGTCGACGGCGTTTACCATTGACCCCTGATAAACGGCCCCATCGCTGCATCCCAATCAGAAGCTGAAGAGTTTACAGGGATCTCATCCGACTCAAGGGAAAGCTATGCAAAATCGTGGCGGAACTTGCGAGCGTTCCTTGCTCGAGCCCGCCGCACTGAGCTTGTACGAGAAGTCCGTAATGGACTGTTTGGCATCATTCGGAAAGCCTTGGACGTGTTGAAATGAAGCAGTCATTGAGGGCCACGAGATCCAAAGCCCAGCTTGAAAGTCACAGGAAACTGGAGAAGGGGCTGCCCATAGCGAATGCCAACTCCGCGCCGCTAGTACAGGCATGGGGAGGTTACCCTTGCTGCTTGGGTTAGGGGCCAGAGCACCATGATAATGCAACGCAGCATGCAGCAAAACTAAGTTTAGTTGCCCTAGTTCATCAAATGCCACTGGCAATAAGTACAATAGTGGAAAGTATAAGCTGTTTTCTTTGATCCGATCGCAACACCAGACCTCGTTGCAAGCTGCGGCACCTGCGACAATTGACGGAGTGCCGGTGTAAAAGCTGTACCTCAATTTCTGCCGCACCAAGTGGTTGAAAGCTGGGGCGCCACACAAATTTGCCAGAACACACGTAATATACACACATATCTGGTCACGCCCCAAGATCCACAAGCCGTCTTCATCTCTTCAATGTTCCATGGCTCTCTCCTTCTTTTCCTTGTACAACACCGCATATGCCGATACTTGCCCGCAGCAGTAGCATTTGTTGCAATATGCGGTTTACGTCCAATCTCAAGCAGGGTTTGTCACTGCAGTCAACCCTGTCCCAACAGTGCCTGGCTGAAATTGATCCATGCTTCCGAATTCCTCACGTCTTGGTATCGTACAGTATGATTTGCTTGTAACAAAAAGGCCGCCCCCCATCCAACCCATAATCCAAGAAAAATCCCGGAAACGCCCCGGATACCTTTCCGAAAGCTTGGATGGCTTGAGAACTTGTGAGTTCCATATTCTTGGACTCCGTGGTCCATGATGCTAGCAACAAAAAAACCGAACATAGCCCTAATCTCTCGAAAGTCCAGGCGGCATCTGTGCTGTAGTAGAGAGCGACGTTTCCTGGCAAAGAGTTAAACCTTCCAAACTTCCAAACCCTAGGTTCCGAAAAACCTGCCTTCGATCGAAGCCCTGAAGCATTGCGCACAATCCCTTTCTGGCGCAGGCAGTGTGTGGTTCTAGGCAAAGATACAGTCTTCTGGTGCAAAGAGCCAAATGCCCAGAAAAGAACGTTCTTAGCAGCGAACCCCAAGAAAAGTCGCCATTCCAAGATTCCATGAGCCCTGCTGTGACCCCGCGGCCTTGTTCAGGCCAAACCGGATCCCTGCGGACGTGAAGGGAGTGCAGAGTGGTTGCGGTTTGTGGCTCCAGGGTTTGATCAAATGCAAATCGCATACGCAAAAACCACTGCCGAAGCACCATAACTTTTGCTTATCCATGAAGCAAGCTTCATGGCATACCTTCTGAACACTGATCATATACGAATATAAGTAATAGAACATGGACATGGAATGCAAAGAATACCTGCACATAGCTGAAAATTAAGTAAAAATTGCAAATTGCCGAGTTCAATACTCGAGAATCTTCATAGAAATGCCTGTTTTCAGTTTCCCCAACCAAATCGTGCCTGCTTCTAGGCAAGTAGCGTTTCCTAAGCAAATAGTGCCTGGTTCGAGGCAAGTAGCTCTCTTATGAAACAAAAAGTTTCATCTAAGCTGCTGAGAAAGTACGAGTTTCTAAGTCTGATTCAATACTCATTACCAACAAGCCTCATCAAACCCAAAAAGAGAGCGAACTCCCTAACCCCCGCAGCCATGGACATCAACCTCAAGGCGCGCCGAAACCTGATCTCCCAAACCCAGAGTGCCAACGTCGCTTCGTGCCTGCCAGCTCGGCCGCGGTCCCACCATTCCGCACTTTGTCTGCCTTGATCCAGAAGCGGCTAAAGACCTCCGGTGCGGTTGATTCCAGAGTCCGAGTTGCCAAAAGAATTTTCTGAAGGGCCTGGATACAGCTTTCGGGGCGTCTCTGCTTCAGTTTTACATAGGGTCTGGGTTTCAGACGGTTGCAAGGCAAGCCACGAGCAGTGTGCTATAACTTTTCAGGTTTTTTGGGGAAACGTAGTGCCCTCTCAGTAGAATCATGGGCTAGCCATCTGAAGCCCCAAACCGTTGGGCTGCATTTTTCCAATATATCATCGTCTACCTTTGACATGTTGAGAGAGTTTGAAACAGTGTTTCACAGGTAGTCGTGTGGTGAGGAGCAGAAGGACCTGTTGCCACAAATACAGATGACATGAACTAATGCCAGGCGTGATTGTGCACATCCATCCTTTGCTCCTCTAGAAATAGGATCTTCAACCGAGCCTTCAGAAACCTGAAAAAACAAAGCTGTGACCAGCCAAAAGACCCTTGATAAAACGAGAGAATCGTCAGGGAGACTTTGAGAACATTCTTGCAAGAGTAACAAGGGCTGCAGAAACCTTCAAGACGGAAAACAAGGGAGTGCGTGCTTGTGTGCATGCGCACATAAAGCATGAGCAAAAATCGAACTCCATGACTTTTGTATGACCCCTTCATGACCTAGTGCTAAACAAGGCCTACAGTCCAGCGTATCTGAAGAGAAGCCCAATTCGACCAACTCAAAAGCACCCGAGGCCCACGAAGGATAAGCTGAAGCACCCTACACTGAGCACAGGCGAAAGGCTATGCCACGAGTTCATGCAGCAGCCGCCCCCACACACGGCACTCCTTGCCATGCAATACTCATCTATTCAAGCAAAGCAAATGACCCTGTAGGACAAAGGCCTTGTCCTCAGCACAGCGCTGTCTTTCCAAGCGGTCTCGTGCATCAGTTTCGAGGCGGATGAGATTTTGCCTGAGCATGCAAAGAGGCGACGAGCTTTAGCTCTGGGGATTGCATTTAAGATGGTGTAATGTTGATCGCTTTTGTGCATCAAAGTAGTCACAGCCTACCGTCTTGGGTACTACAAATGCATTTGTTTTGTCCTGTTCATCTTCAGAGAGCTAGTGGCCACAAGACGAGTCCATCTTCGGTCCTTCTTCCTCCTTCCAATGACTCCTTCTCTGGAGGCAATAGGGTCGAATCACTTCGTGTAACGTCGTAATCCGCATTGCAGATACTTTGCTCAACGAGCTACCAAAGCACCAAGCCCTATGCTACCTGACTTGAAAAATTGAGACTTGTGGACGAACTTGGCTGTGGAACTCGACAATTTCGGTGAGAAGGGCTTGTGACGGCTACTGCGGCTACTGCGCAGAGGGTTCTCTTAAGCAGCAATGTCCATCAATACATCATCGACATCTGTACCTGAACTAGCTATCTACCCCTGAAGAAGCAAGCTTGCAACCTGCATACATTTACAGTCTACACATGTTTAACGTCGAACGCCAGTTCTCTAACATGTCAATGACTTTTCAGCAATTTCCTGGACGAAAACCCGACTTCAAACCCTTAACCCCTGGACCAGAAAATCCGCGGGTCATGTCCAAAGATCGCATGATGTGCAGATCATGCCCTAGCCTGGAAAGGCCTCCTATGTGATTTTGTGACAACGCCTAGAGATTTCTTCTGACATGGGCCCTGCACAGGCCAAGCCGCGCTTGCGTGCGCAGGGCATTCATGTTCAAGGTGCTCTCGCATGCTTTCTCCCGAACAGTGTCCTGCTGAGGACACTCGAAGTCAGCCCCAAATTTCTAAAACCAAATAACACCTACATCACCTTTTCTTTGAGCCTGGGACCGTAAACCCTAAACCCTAAACCCTAAACCCTAAACCCTAAACCCTTAGTGCATCCGCGACTAGGGGGGGGGGGGGATGATGATGGCTGGCTCTGGGCGACCTTGGGAGTTGCTTTGGCCTTGCGGGCTTTGGCCTGGAACTCTGAGATCCAAAATCCAGAGCCCAACCCTAAACCCGAAATCCGAAACCCGAAACCCGAAACCCTAAACCCTCAAGGCCCTTTTGTACAGCTGCCAGGGCTAGGAGGGCCGCTCAGGTTCAAAGAGGTCAGAGTTCGGTGGCAGAATATCTATCCGCCTGGGGAGCTCTGCAGGTCTTGAGGTGTGCGGGTTTGTGGGCCCTAGACCTCGATTGGGGTGGCGGAAAAATCTCACCGTGAGGTCTCGTGAAGTGGTCAGGGACTTCGAAGAACTCCGAACCCCTGTTGCCCTGAAGCCCAAACAGGTGTTCTTAACCACAAGGCAAGTGTCGTTGATTCGCGACGTGATGGACTTGGTAGGCCCGTCCAGATAGAGATCCAGCCAGCCATTGCCTTACGAGGGCCATGCAAATCATGCAAATGCAGAGGGCAAGCATAGCTCTCTTGTTCTGGGGCGCTTGCGTTCCATCATTTGAGAACAGATTTACTTCAAGAATCCGCCCCGCGCCCCCAAAAAACACACATATATATATATATATATATATATATATATGCATGCTACCCCCCCCCCCCCCAGCGACCTACCCTTTTTAGGCCTTTTTTACAAAAAAAGAATAGCGAAGGCCCAAAAGTCGTGTAGTTAATCACCGGGTAATGAAGGACATCTATTGGGACACCCACCTCGCAGGCCCCGATAAGCCAGCATTGGATTAATCTATATTTTGAATCTGAAGCGGGCAATGCTATTTTTATGTTTTTAGATCTTTGGTTTTTCTAGGCAAATTGTGCGTTTAACGGGCAAATAATGTTTTGTTCAGCAACTAATATATTACATATATACACAATTGTGTTTGTACTAGGCAAAGAATTAATCAAATACTATCTGACAAGTCCACTGAAATACCTTATGTTTACATATTCATGAAACAGTGTGCTTGTTATTGTATGCGAATTTAACTCCTGGAGTATTTAGTAAATAGCCCAATCTGACTCAAGCGAATACTATTCAAAATACCATACTCAACTAAAATATGAAAAAACACGAACAGCAACGGAAGCGATTCTACTTAAATAACAATGTAAAAGACTTCTCAAGTACTAAATAAAGACCACTTATATACCTTCCTAGAAAAGTAGTTAGTAAAGGCCATAGCACAAGAATTCTGCTTTGTACATAAAAAGAATTTGTACTAGGCAAAGTATAAACCAAATACTATCTGAAAAGTACACTGTAGTAACATATGTTTACATATTCATGAAATATTTCTTGTTTTGAAATCATCATGCTATGCGATTTATCTACTAGAGTAAGTACTAAGTAAATAGCCCAATCTGACTCAAATGAACACTATTTAAAATACCATACCCAACCAAAATGTGAAATAAAAACTAATGGAAATAGAACACTATTCAAAATACCATACCCAACTAAAATATGCAGTCAACACTAATGGAAATAGAAGCGGTTCTACTTACATAACAATGTAAAAGACTTCTCAAGTACTAAATAAAGACCACTTATATACCTTCCTAGAAATATAGTTAGTAAAGGCCATGCACAAGAATACTGCTTTGTACATAAATAGAATGTGTGCTAGGCAAAGTAGTAATCTAATACTATCTGAAAAGTCCACTGAAATATCTTATGTTTACATATTCATGAAATAGCGCCCAATTTGACTCAAGTGACTACTATTTCAAGGACCATACTCAACCAAAATACGAAATAAACACTAACAGCAACAGAAGCGATTCTACTTGCATAACAATGAAATCTTCCAATCCCCAGAAGGGCCACCCCCCAGGTTTGGAAGATCTCTGCCCTCCTGCAGAGCGGGTTGCACAAGGCCGTCTTGGTGGCGTCATCGTCCACAAACTCCCAAATGCCCACGCACTTGGGCAGCACGTGGTCGATGACCCGCCAGTTTGAACTGAACGCCGCAGCCAAACCTAAGGCTTCAGAACACCTTTGAGGGCTCAGTTTTTGGGGCTTAGGCTGCTTAGGGCTTAGGGCTTAGGGTTTAGGGTCTAGAGCCTAGGGTTTAGGGTTTGCTGCGATAAGGCGCAAAGGCTAGGTGTGAAGGGCAGCCGTGGCCCCGGCCCCACTGTGGAGGGCCATTCCAACACCCTCTCTCCCACCCCACTTCGTCTCTCAGGCGGCAAGGCCAGTCATTCGGGGTTGGGTCTCAGGATCCCAGAGGTGGGTCCCAGGGCGGTCCCAAAAAGGTCTCCGACGTCTCAAAAACGCGTTTCTTGAGCACCCTTTCGGCTGAGCTGGCCAGACGCCGTATTCCTTATAGTGGGTACTGGTGGGAGGCGAAACGACCTGGATCAACTTGCGCCGTAGAGGTCGAGTTGCTTAGGCGCAGTGTAGGGGGGCGGAATAGGCCTTGCGCTTCGAGCTTTCTAGGGATGGATAAGGGCTGACAGCTAAGTGGCTCTTCCGCCAATCCCCAGGGTTCGTGCCAGCTGCTCCACCCTGGCCAGTGCCGACAAAACCCGAAGCACTCAACAAAAGCATGTCCAACTTCGAGCACCCCCAAAACCCAAGCAACACACGCACAACTTGGTCTTGTCTTGCGCTGTGGTCACGGCCATGCTCACTTGTAGAGCTCTGCCAGGTTTCAGCGATTATCTCAGAAAATTACCTCAGCCACCCTCAATACTCTAGCAATACTCTAGGGTTCTAAGGATCAGGAACGCTCAATTCTGCCCACAAGGCCCGGCCATCCACGCCACCTAAAGCCCAAATCAGTGAGCCCTGGTCCTATTTGGCAACCACGCCGTTCGAGAACGTGCCGCAAGTAGTCTTCTTTCGTGCCCTTTCTTGAAGAGGATCCGAGCCCCTAAGCCCCATGAGCGCACAGCTTCGGAGTTGGGAGTCCACCTTTGAGAACCCAAACAAACTCACAAACTCGGTCATGGCGACGCGACCCACCACCCAGACCCACGTTCCTCCGGACCGCTGCTGATTTACGGAGCTTCATGTAAACTGTTGCGGGGATCGTCCGTGCTCTCACCGTGACCATGGTCATGGTGTGTCAACCGTCGCTTTCGGAGCTTCGGATCCTCAACAAGCACACCGTTGTGTCGCAGATGCGATACTGATGCATCGTATTCATGATTCGTGATCAGGCTCATGATGATCGTCATGTTGGTATTCGTCGTGGTCTTCGTGTTCGCGTACGCTGGCGTGTTCGTGTTGTCATAGTGCTGTGGCATCGCAGCTCATGTGGGCTTAGAGGCTTGTGGTTGCTCTTGTTGTGCTCTGGCATGTGTGCTTACATAAGGTGCTTCAAGCATACAATCATGTGTCAAGGGCAGAAGCTTCAACCAGCTCACTAAGCCCCAAACAATATGCCCTGCCTGAGACAAGCTCGGGCAGGGGGGGGGGGGGGGGGTCTCAAGCAAGCGAAAAGAAAGAACCCCAACCCCCTAAACCCTAAACCCTAAACCCTAAACCCTAAACCTCCGGGGCCTTCCAGGACTGCTCGATGGTGAGCTTGGTGTCCTTCGACTCAGTCCCGGAGGCCTCTCGCAACCATCTCGGAGGCTTTGTAAAAAAACATGATAGGTTCTAAACAAACTGTAGGTTCTAACAAAAACGGTACTTTCTTTGCCGTAACCGAACTCCATGAACCCGGCCCCCCAAAATCCAGAAACTTGGAAGACCCCAGAAGCCTGAGAGTTACCATTGGTGTTGTCAGTGCTGCCGCTGTTGTCGGAGGAACTCCCCGCACCTCCCGAGGCAGCGCCTGTCATGGGCACTTGGGGTGTGGGGGGGGATGTGGGGGGGGATGTGGGGGGGGGGGGGGGGGGGGGGGGGGGGGGGGGCTGGACCCACTAGAAAACCAACTCCATCCCATCCACTCTGAACCCTACTTGTCGCTTTTGGTGGTATTGTGGTGCAGGGGCCATGGAAAAGCCGTCCCTAAGAAAGAAAGGGGCGTCCAAGCGTTGGAGGATGGAGGGGATGGGATGTGCCGGGCCTCAGAGCCTCCATGTGTGCCCCAAAGCGTTCTCAAGTTTTTGGGGCACCTTTTTGCCCAAGAGAAGGATATGCCCTGTTTCCCATAGCATGGCAGGTGGCCTGACGCGTTGTCAGCTGTGGCCACAGAGGCGCCTCTGCTTCTTCGGGTGATCTCGGGAGCCTACACCAGGGCTGCGAGACCTTCGAGGGCTTAACAGGATGTGTAAAACGCTCCGATCTGCTTACTTCCAACTTCGGGGCTTCGACTGGCAAATTGCGCCTGGTTTCTTGAGCTGCTCGTCTGCTCGTTGTTCAACTCTGTGTTGATCTTGCTTTCAACGTTGGGTCGTCGAATGTCATAGTTGCTGCAAGGGGCTTGCAAGATGAAGAGTGAATGGGCAAGGGACATATCGAACCAATGAAGTGCCTACATTGCTGTAAAGCCTTAAGGCCAGTTGAGGCTGAGTCAAAATGGCTCGAGGGTTTGGCAGGGTGCTTGGGGCGCAGGGCTGGAGTTATGCTTCGGCTACACGGCCTCTGTTTCAGGCACAAGCCTTCGCAAACCCCAGCAACCGAGCTAAGCCCCAAGGACGCCCCAGCCCTAGACTAAACGCTGTCCGGAAGGCTTATGCCGAATGACCACGAGTCCGACTCGGCTTGGGTGATTGCCTTGGAGACCTCAGCCGCACTTGCAATGGCGAGAGTTATTGAGGACGCCAGGCAACCCCAATTACCGGTGACGAAAGTAAACGAGGAGGCCCTGGTAGTTTTTGTGAGGTAGGCCGCGCCCAAGAATCTCAAACGGCCAGGCAACAAACATACGTCATGCGACGACAGTTTGAGGGTGGCGAGACCCCCAACGAACTCACAACAATTCACTTCTAACATAGAAACATCCCACAAACGACCACAGTGAAGAGGATGGTGACCACGACCCAAGTCCACAGAGAGGGTTCCGAGAGAGGGCTTTTGCCGAGAGGGTTGCAAGAAGTTGCCACTCTTGAGCCCCGCGACGCCCTTGAGCACCTTTGCGGCCCTAACCCTAAACCCTAAACCCTAAACCCTAAACCCTATTGCGGCCCCAAAAGCCCCCAAGTGCGCACTCGAAACCTTGAACTCCCAACACTTTCAACGCAAGCCACAGGCTAAAATCTGAAAGTGGGCCGAGGCGCGATGTTGTCTACCTGCACACGGTCCTTCAAGCTGATGCTGGGTCTTTGGGAGGCGCTCTCTTATGGCTTGTCTTCTAGGATTAAGCCTATGGTGTAGGGCTCCGGCAGTAGGGCAAGTCTTCCAGCCGCCCTCTAAACATGCATTGAGTTCATACGGCACCCAGAAAAAATCCCAGCAGCATGCTGAGTTGAAAAACGATGTATTGCCACTGCTGGGGACAGAGGATGCAAGGGTGTTTTCGGAGGGCTTACCTGACTCGACATGGTAGTTGCAGCAGGGAGGGTGAAAGGTCAAGGACCATCCTTCGTTGTCGTGCTCTGGTATTTGGCGTCGATCCGCCAGTAGCCACCGAGCACTGCATCCATACAGACATGCGAGCCGAACCTCAGCATTTTCCAGGAGTGCTTTTTGGCCACACATCACATAGTTTGGGATAGTTTCGCCAGCCATTGCCCCTGGGGTACTCATGGCAGTGCACGCAACTTTCGCGGTTGCTGACGTGTGTGGTCTAGGGAGAAAGGCGATGAAGAAAAACCGTCACGAACTTCAGCTGCTACAGGTCCCAAGGTCAGCTCCCAGGTCCCAGGTTTGCTGGCCATCACTCTTTCCAGGGCCAAGAGCCTGCGCCTCATCTTGAGTTTACACATTACACGGATCCCCCCTTTTAGTTTGCAGCGGGCTTGCCAGTCCTTTGGGAAACTCCCTTCTCCAAGATTTCAACAGGGTTTGCCACTCCTTGTCAGGGGGTCAGGGAGGGCCCAAGCGTCTCATATCTCTCAAATGGCTAGCATCATGAGCACGAAGAACAGAACATGAATATCAAACAACATCATCTATCCATATTCACACCGAGGCTTCGCGCTTCCCAACAATCGTCTTCATTCTGCATCACTCGTAATATGATTCAACTGTTGACTGCAAGTTGCTGCACTCTGAAACTGAAGTTGAGAGATACCTTGTAGCATCCGCGCTGATGCTTTTCGGTCGGCTCTTGAAGCGGAGATTTTGGAGAGAAACTTTTGGAGAGAAACCAGGTCGAAAGGGATTGTGTGACTCTTGAAGGGAACACCAGAAAATGGACAGCAATGATACTCGAAAATGTCTGCCTTCTTCTCTTAAACCAAAAGGCCCACATCATAGCGCCTGCACATGCCTGGAAGATTGAGCTTGTTTGCAAGTGTCACCACGTCACCCTAGATGTGGCCGGGCACTGTCCCGGCAGCGGCCCCCGAATTTCTACGAGCAGTCTCCGCACCTTTGAGGGCGCATGCGCCCCCGAGAATACGAGGCCATCTATTCGCTTCGGGGTTCACTCTGACACGGCACCAGCTTGGGGCTTCCATGGCATCGGATTTTTCAAAAACAAGCCTCAGCCCGGCTTCTACGCGCTCCAAACCTTGAACTGGGCAGGACCCATACAGGGATGTCAGTCTAGGTATAGTGACCGTCTTGAACACCCTCTATCTAGTGGTCGAGTCACCAAGGACCTCGAAAAACGCTTATAAAGCCAACAGCTGGCACTCCGAGGGCTCCAAAGCCGTGTAAAAGACGAGACATCGGAATGCCGCGCAAAGCTCTGTGGGCCCCGCTTGTAGATCAGCTCCCTGACTTCCGCGTTCACCTGAAAGGCAGGGCTCTGAGAGAACTCCACTCTGGATGCCTTTGTGTTGCTCAACGGCACCCATTGCAACGCAAAGCTACATGGCCGGCATAGCTGGCATAGCCTACATAGCTGATATCCTTGAAACGATCCTCTTCAGACCGCACCTCCTCCTGTGTTGGGATCGGCGCTGTTGGCGTCGTTGGCGTCGATGGTTGTGGAATCGGCTGGGACCCACTGGCTGACATGTCGGAGAGCAGCAACTTTGGCTGAGGCTTTGCCACCTGAGGCTGAGGTCTTGGACTTTGAGCCTCTCATAGCCTCTCATCATGAAACAGGAGCTTACCTGCACAGGATCGAGAGCGGAGGCACAAGCATCCCAAGGCCCTAAGGCCCCAAGTTTCTGGTCCGTCTGCTCTCATGTCCATTCTGACTTGGGGCTTCGGGCCTCTATGTCGCCGCCCCCCCCCCCCCCCCCCACTTGCTGTAACGGTCTGATGCCAGAGTGCAAGAAGGCGGAGGATCGCGTGCTCCCCCACAGAAACGGAAGGAGACTGCCTTACTGCAGGAGAGCTTCGCGTCCAGCCCTAGATTTCGGCTTGCCAGGACTTGTCAATTCGATTAGGCTGATGCAGGTTCAGGCTGTCAGGCTGCTCTCATGTTGAGGCCAACGAGCCCGGACACAACGTGGCGAGAAACAAGAGAACGGGCTTGCCACGGCAGGGGCTTGGATCAGGGGTGTCAATGCAATAGGTAGATATAACAGGGGGTGTTCCGGGCTTACTGCCGCTCATCGGGAGCCGCGCGCTCGTCTGATAACCCTAGGCCAGGGCTCGCTTCTGCTCAAGGCTTCAAGCTAAGCTGGGGGGGGGGGGGGCACAACGAGGAGTGAGTCTCTAAAGTTCTTAAGGACTCCGAGGCAGCAATGATTGGGGAAGTACCACCTGAAAGCAAGGGCCTGCCATCCCTCTCTCTTTCTACACACCAGTTATAGGGCCTCTACACCGAAGCACCGAACCCTGGGCCCAGGCTTTTCGCCTCTAAGTTCCGAGGCACAGGGAAACTGGAATAGCAAGCTGCTGGAGGATCTTGGACTGCATGTAACCTGCTCCAGCCCTTCTTCAGGCGATAGAGAAGGGGGGGGGATTTTTGGGGGGGGGTCGAAGCCGACTGGGGAGATATCGATTCTACACCCAAGGGTTCACAAATTCACAAACGCAAACACACAAGACATATCACTTGCTTCGAAGGGGAGCGAACCCGTCACTGCATGAGATATTGCGTTCTGGAGTTAGATTTTGAAGGGCTTCCAAGGCCCCTAAACCCTAAACCCTAAACCCTAAACCCTAAACCCTAAACCCTAAACCACTGCTCTGAACCCTAAGAGGCCCTTGCGAAGTCATGTTCGCTCGGCTTGCACCCCTGGCAAGCGGAGGCCTTGCCGAGTCAGGAGCGAGACTGTCGGCGGTTCCCTGTACAAGCCGCGATCTCTGCACCAACGACAGTGAGAACAGAAGCACATCTACCCCCCGAACTTGCTCTATCTTACTCCCCTTAGAACTTCAATAAACACAATGTTTTCAATATCCTCTTGGGTTTTATATGAACAAAACATTTTAAAGAAAATAATTCCCAAGGGGGATATAGGCATGGGGGTCTGCGCCCCTGAGCGAGGGTGAGACCTCTCTTCTCCCCCCATCACAGGCGGAACACCCTGCAAGAGAATAAGGGACATGTGGGCAATTAGGACCGAAATCCGACTGCCCAGAGCGAACACAACTCCGAACTTCGGTAATATGCTCGGGTGCTATGGCCCTCAAGCATATGGAGCTTCCAAGCGACTTTTAGACTTTATAGGCCAGTGCCAGAAAAAAACGTCGAAAGGCCCTTCTTGCAAAGGTTTTCTGAACAAAAGCGCCATGGATCGGGCCTAAGCTTTGCCACCTCTGGAAGAACCTTGGCGTCATGTTCATGGGGCTCTTGGCGGGTGCACCAGCATTCCAGTACAGCCCGTCTGGATAACCAGAAAGACTACAGATGTCCACTTGAGGCTCGGGACATTTGGCCTGCAGGGCCTGTAGTGGTGTTTAAGATCAGTGCGTCATAGGATGTCGCCTCTCAAGCATTCGAGGACAAGGCCCAACACCTAAAACCCTACAACAAACCGGCCAGCTAGAACGCCTACACAGAAATCCAGTGACACCCTGGACTATTCCCCTCAACCTAGAAATTCGAGGCCCTCAGCCAAGTCTCTCATACCTGGACATGGACGACGGTTCAGTGGAGTTCTCAGTCTTGGCCGGGACAGTGACCACGACCTCGAGAGGCTGAGCCGATGCTAACACGTGGTACACCGTGGTACTCCTCATGGTTCGTCGTGCTTGGTAGCACTCTATAGTACACGGAATGGTGGGACATTGGTTCGTCCGAGTAGAAAGGGCCTGTCTCCATTGAGAAGCTCAGCCAGTTGAGCCAATTTTCCGTTGCAGGTGGAGAATCACGCACCGAGGGCAAAAGAAGTGCTTCTGGCCCAGGGTGTAGGGTGCGCTGCGTGTGACACGTCTGTGCAAAGATGGCAGCCAGTGCCAGTGCCCCACCGAAAAAGGAGGACATGATGCCAGAGGCTCTTGAGGGAGGACTCGAACCCGGGGGTCGTCTCTCAGAGCCCTAAACCCTAAACCCTAAACCCTAAACCCTGAACCCTAAACCATAAACCCTAAACACCTTCAGGAGCGCTTGTTCCCAAGTTGAGCTCTGAGTTGATTCTGCTCACGTAGCTGAAAAGTACGCTGCTCCACAGGTACTCGCCTATTGATGAGTACCAGCTTCGAGCTCGCACTCTTGCGGCTCAGGTTAGAGTAGCATCCGTATGCGATCCCTGATATTCTTCACCCGACCTGTCGAGCTGCTGCTTGGGAAGTCTGATCCCTAAAGCGACCCTAAGCTCCTCGGGAGAGCTGCTGCGAAGTGCGAGGCTTTGCGAAGCTTGAACATTGGCTTTGCATTGGCATGGTGCAGAAGCGCACGCCCATGCCCACCCCCCGGGCCCCCCGAAACCCAAAGCTTGTTTGTTTTTGCGGGAAGAAGCGCTGGCATGGTTGGGAATCATCTGGGAATCCTATTTAGATCATCCTTCCCACCCGGTCCTACTCTCATCAAACACTTCCCCCCCCCCCCCCCAAAAAAAAAAAATCCGAATTGGATGCAAGTCGCGCTCGTGTGATTGAAGCGATCCTGGCTCACTTCAAATCTCAGCTGAGCTAAAGGACGGATCCAAACGCAAGGTGTTACACAGCTTTGGTCAGGGAAAGATCGACCGGCCTACGGCCTACCGGCCTACAGCTCATTCTGAGCAGAGGCTTGACCCTTCTCATTTAAAACCAAAACATTGGGATGTTTTCCCCCTTATACTGACAGTCCTTAGAAGGGATTATGGTACCCCCCTAGTATACTCCCTATGAAGGACTCTTAGTATACGGGGGAACATCCAAACCAAAACACCTCACAAAACCCCCCCCCCCTTGTCCTCCACCAGAAGTCCACTTGGCGTTGAAGTCTTTACCTCGATCTCCTCGAGATCCATCGAGAAGCCGAGGCCGATCCTCAGCGGTGCATTCCCAGAAGTGGCCCAGGATCCCAGAAAAGACAACCCCTTAAGTCTTTCAATCAAAACAAAGAGAGATTTCGGAACCGAGGGCTTTTCTCAAAACAAAGGGGAGGCCTCGTGACAACATGGGTTCTCGCTTTCGGGAACCTCTGCATCCCTTTGCAAGTGCTTTAACTAAAAGGGGGCTAAAGCTCTGCACATCGCTGAGACGAAAAGGGGAGCGCGAAAAGAGTGTGTGCACATTCCGACACATTCCAAGGAGTTTTACCTCAAGAGAGAGGGCATGCAGACCGGAACCTGGCAATCTCCAAACTTCGCACTGGGACAGTACTGGGACAGTTGAGGTGTTTCGCTGGCAATCACGTTCGGCGCTTTGACTTCCGATCGGATCGGGCGGCGAAGGCCTCCTCCAGATGCGCATAGCCTCGGCAGTTCCGCGCCGAGGCGCGGTGATACGTCGGGGTTGAACAGAGTCGGATCCTTCAGCATGGTGGAACTGCGAAGGAAACTCAGAAAGACGCAGCCGGGCCGTTGATTGGCATGGATCCGTGGCGAGTTCGGGATCTGCAAGTTCAGCACGAAGTTGCAGCGATTGGACAGCCTGATTCCCTGCGTACTCAGGGGCACTTTCTTGCAATGTCAAAAACAAAGCTCTGAACACATGAACACAGCGAAGTCTCGCAGTTCGAATGGCTGTTTTGAAGTCTGCAGCGGCCGGGTCCTCGGATCGATGGGCCAGGCTTGGAGTTTTCTTCCAGGAGACCAAAAAAACGATGTGGAAGAGTGCCATCGGCTACCCCCCACGAACAATGAATCGACTTGAGAACGCCCCAAGAAACAATAAAAGAACAATCCTCCCCCAAAAGAAGGCCTTTGAGAGCTTCCGAGGTGCGATGCTGATAGGGGAGGCCTCAGAGAGCGAGGCATGGCATCCGTAAATCCCTCTGGAGACCACATGAAAACAAAAAGCAACCACCACTAAAATTCTTTGAGAGCACAGAAAAGTCCCCTTTTTTAGCCTCTTACTCACGAGACCTTAAATGAGAGCATTCCATGTGGAGTGATCACCCAAGCGGCGCCCATGAAGCAGCAACAAGACCCTACATCCTCCAGGGCAGATGAAGGCTCCTGCCCTTATTTCCTCCAGTTGCAAAATTTGGGGATGGGGGCGGCCTCCTCTCGCGGATTTAATCTCTGTGATTCTATGACTTCGCCTTGTAGTTCGTGACGATGAAGGAGATGATCGTGGGCACGTTCTCGCTGGTGTTTGGCTGAGCCTCCAAAACCACGGTCAACAGAACAGAAATATCACAGCTTAATTCCAGGGTTTAGGGTATACAGTTTAGGGTTTCGGGTCTTGGGTGTAGGGTTTATAGGGAGGACTAAGGCACCAAGGTGTAGGGGAACAGATTCTGTCGGTACGTACTAGGGCTCACAGGGCGGCCAGTGGGGTTTTGAGCCGCGGGCGGCGCAGCTCACTAGAGATCACTGAGACCTACTGGGGAAGCCAAGTAGCATCCCCGGGATCTACACCGTAGAGGTTGTCTGGCGGCACCTGCAAGGGGCACGAGAGCTCATGAAACCAAGCAGGTGCACAGGAACCTCCAAATCCTGAGCAGTCCACTCGCCAAATTGCCAAAT